GCTGAAAAGAGGGCTGAAGCTCAAATGTGGCAGCAGCGTGGTGAGAGGAGGCAGGATTCAATGCTGAGGCTGCTGGAGGATCAAACCAATATGCTCCAGCGTATGGTTGAGCTGCAGGAAAGGCAGCAGGAGCACAGACCGCCGCTACAGCCCCTGTGTAACCAACCGACCTCCTCCCCAGATTCCATAGCCTCCTCACCCAGACGCTCAAGAACGCAGTGGGGGAGCCTCTGGCCACCCGGCCACTCCACCCCAGAGGATTGCCCAAGCAACAGAAGGCTGGCACTCAATAAGTTTTAAAGTGCTGTTTGGCCTTGTGCTTCTCTCCTCCACCACCCCTCCTGGGCTACCTTGGTAGTTATCCCCCTATTTGTGTGATGAATGAATAAAGAATGCATGAATGTGAAGCAACAATGACTTTATTGCCTCTGACAGCGGTGATCGAAGGGAGGAGGCGAGGGTGGTTAGCTTACAGGGAAGTAGAGTGAACCAAGGGGAGGTGGGTTTCATCCTGGAGAAACAAACAGAACTTTCACACCGTAGCCTATCCGGTCATGAAACTGGTTTTCAAAGCTTCTCTGATGCGTACCGCGCCCTCCTGTGCTCTTCTAACCGCCCTGGTGTCTGGCTGTGCAAAACCAGCAGCCAGGCGATTTGTCTCAACCTCCCACCCCACCATAAACGTCTCCCCTTTACTCTCACAGATATTATGTAGCGCACAGCAAGCAGTAATAACAGTGGGAATATTGGTTTGGCTGAGGTCGAAGCGAGTCAGTAAACTGCGCCAGCGCGCTTTTAAACATCCAAATGCACATTCTACCACCATTCTGCACTTGCTCAGCCTGTAGTTGAACAGCTCCTGACTACTGTCCAGGCTGCCTGTGTACGGCTTCATGAGCCATGGCATTAAGGGGTAGGCTGGGTCCCCAAGGATACATATAGGCATTTCAACATCCCCAACAGTTATTTTCTGGTCTGGGAATAAAGTCCCTTCCTGCAGCTTTTGAAACAGACCAGAGTTCCTGAAGATGCGAGCATCATGTATCTTTCCTGGCCATCCCACATTGATGTTGGTGAAACGTCTCTTGTGATCCACCAGTGCTTGCAGCACTACTGAAAAGTACCCCTTGCCGTTTATGTACTCGCCGGCTTGGTGCTCCGGTGCCAAGATAGGGATATGGGTTCCGTCTATGGCCCCACCACAGTTAGGGAATCCCATTGCAGCAAAGCCATCCACTATGACCTGCACATTTCCCAGGGTCACTACCCTTGATATCAGCAGATCTTTGATTGTGTTGGCTACTTGCATCACAGCGGCCCCCACAGTAGATTTGCCCACTCCAAATTGATTCCCGACTGACCGGTAGCTGTCTGGCGTTGTTAGTTTCTACAGGGCTATCGCCACTCGCTTCTCAACTGTGAGGGTTGCTCTCATGTTGGTATTCTTGCACCTCAGGGCAGGGGAAAGCAAGTCACAAAGTTCCATAAAAGTGCCCTAACGCAAGCGAAAGTTTCGCAACCACTGGGAATCGTCCCAGACCTGCAACACTACACGGTCCCACCAGTCTGTGCTTGTTTCCCAAGCCCAGAATCGGCGTTCCACCACATGAACCTGGCCCATTAGCACCATGATGCCCACACTGCCAGGGCCCCTGCTTTGAGAGAAGTTTGTGTCCATGTCCTCATCACTCACGTTACCGCGCTGACGTCGCCTACTCGCCCGGTATCGCTTTGCCAGGTTCTGGTGCTGCATATACTGCTGGATAATGCACGTGGTGTTTAATGTGCTCCTAATTGCCAAAGTGATCTGAGCGGGCTCCATGCTTGCCGTGGTATGGCGTCTGCACAGAAAAAAGGCGTGGAACGATTGTCTGCCATTGCCCTGATGGAGGAAGGGGCAACTGACGACATGGCTTACAGGGTTGGCTTACAGGGAATTAAAATCAACAAAGGGGGTGGCTTTGTGAGAAACTGAATAGCCCCCTCAAGGATAGAACTCAAAACCTCAAGGATAGAACTCAAAACTGGGTTTGGCAGGCCATTGATTTCACAGAGGGAAGGAGGAGAAAATGAATACAAAACAAATCTGGTCTATTTCTTGTTTTGAGCCACTTCATCTATCTTTATACATCTTGCTGGCAGCAGACTGTGCAGTACGACCGCTAGCCGTCATCATCTCCTGGGTGCTCGGCAGAAGATGGTGCAGTATGATGACTAGCCATCATCTTCTACTGGCTGGAGGTTAAAAGACAGTGCACTGCCGGTAGGACTGAATCGCCACGAGACAAAACTTAAAAGGGAAATGACCTGGCTGAGTCACTCCCATGTTTGCCCAGGCGCCCGATTAAAAGAGCACCCAGGACTATGTCGATGACGGCTACCAGTCACACTGCAATGTCTGCTGCCAAAAGGCAATTAACTGCTGCTGCGTAGCAATGCAGTATCATGTCTGCCAGCACCCAGGAGACATACGGTGACTGTTTGCTGAGTGGGTTCCATGCTTGCCGTGGTATGGCGTCTGCACAGGTAACTCAAGAAAAAAGGCGCAAAACGATTGTCTGCCCCTGCTTTCATGGAGGGAAGGAGGGAACGGGGGCCTGACGATATGTACCCAGAACCACCCGCGACAATGTTTTAGCCCCATCAGGCACTGGGATTTCTACCCAGAGTTCAGATTGGCGGCGGAGACCGCGGGAACTGTGGGATAGCCACCCACGGTGCAACGCTCCGGAAGTCGACGGTTGCCTCAGTACTGTGGACACACTCCATGCACTTAGAGCACTTGTGTGGGGACACACACAATCAACTGTATAAAACCGCTTTCTACAAAACCGACTTCTATAAATTCGACCTAATTTCGTAGTGTGGACATACCCTAAAGGTTGTATTAGACTATGCTACCATGGTATTATACTTTCCCACCCGTCTGGGAAAGGGGCCCTACCCCATGGTCTTCCAAAGCCGAGTCTGAAGAGTTTAAGAATGATGGAACTCCAGCTTCCACCTTTTGCGAAGTCAGACGCATAGTCTGTCAAATTAAGATTTTTCCAGAGTCTGCCTATTGGCCAGTAACATTGCTAACAATACCATTTTAGCTAAATGTCAACTCTCATTGCTATCTTCTCCTTGCAGTTTCAAATGGACATGGCAGTTTTCTTTCCCAGTCCTAATCTGGTTGTCTAGAATCATAGAATATCAGGGTTGGAAGGGACCTCAGGAGGTCATCTAGTCCAACCCCCTGCTCAAAGCAGGACCGATCCCCAATTAAATCATCCCAGCCAGGGCTTTGTCAAGCCTGACCTTAAAAACTTCTAAGGAAGGAGATTCCACCACCCCCTAGGTAATGCATTCCAGTGTTTCACCACCCTCCTAGTGAAAAAGTTTTTCTTAATATCCAACCTAAATCTCCCCCACTGCAACTTGAGACCATTACTCCTTGTCCTGTCAACCGCTACCACTGAGAATAGTCTAGATCCATCCTCTTTGGAACCACCTTTCAGGAGTTGAAAGCAGCTATCAAATCCCCCCTCATTCTTCTCTTCCGTAGACTAAACATCCCCAGTCTAGTGGTATTGTGGACTCTTAGGCTCTGATCTGAGACACTCCGAGTGATTTCAAGGGGGATTTGGATCAGGCCCATAAACAACGGCATTCCTTGTCTGAAGTGGTTGTGCTGAAAGTCAACCAGAGTTAGGCACCTAAGTGCCTTTAAAAAAATCTCCTCCTTCTTAGACTATGTGAGTGAAGTGTTTTGATGTCTCAGATGAAAGGCACTATAGACAAGCAACATGCTGTTATAGCAGGACTCTCTCTGAAAGTTGGAAATTCCACTCCCCTCCTATTTTTCTTTCTATGCAGTACAAATCAGGTAAAAAGGACTTGAAACAATGTTTGCTACACCTGGCTCTAGCCTTCCATTTTGCAAGATGGAACCTATAATACACATTAGACAGATATCAGCACAGGCAGAACATGGCAAGTGCTACTAATTATCCATTGTACCAAAAAGCAAAGCCTTGGCCTGCTTACTGCTTTCGCTGTCTGGCATCCTGTATGCCATTTACTGTAAAATATTGAACTGCTACAGGATACAAAATGACAGGGCAGAATAAAATCTGTTCAAGTGTGTGGGAGGCTGCTGATGTTGTATACACACAGAAGAGCAGCATCACTGTCATGAGGTTGGCCAGATGAGCTAATCTGGGCAAGACTCTCCTGTTTTGTAACTTCTTGAGAATAGACACTCTGCCATAATGTTGATGATCAAAACACTGCACATGACCTCCTAACTAAATAAATCTGCCTCTCTCTCTCACTATTGTTAACTGATACATTACTTGTGGGGTCACGATTAAATTAGATTATAAACATTTCTGGGCAAGGACATTATCAGCTTATGTTTCTGGCAAGTGCCCAGGTCATCTCAGACCCTGGAGAAATAATTAAATAATAATAATGCTCCAGCCTCATTCAGGGCCTCATCCATTGCCCATCAGGGCCTGAGAATTCTTCCTCAATCCTGGCAGATAAACATATCACTGGCTTTTCCACTATTTGCACACCAGCCTTCTGGCTTTATTTCATCTTGCACACGGCCAAACTGAAAGAACCAATAAAACATCCCCTACTATCCCTTAATAAATTGTAGAAGTGGGGACCCACTGGAAACATTCACATTTGTATGTGAAATATTGTAGACAGCCAAATAAGGTGCAGCACTACCATTGTTAACATTGTTAACCTCACCAAAAGGTTCCCCTTGTAATGAACCTGTTTTTATTTTTCACATTTTAAGAGAGTGAGTTGTTGTTAAGTTTGTTATTAATTTTGTACACAATATATCACAGAGGGGATGCTTCAAAAACATTATTTTTTGAAAACATTATTGTAGTAAAGATTCAAAATGTTTACCTATCCCTTTTAGGGAATCATACCTAAACAAGAGTTGAATGCCACTAGCTGATTCTCCAGAGAACTCTGCTGTTCTGGTTTAAACATGCACATAAGTAGCAAACTTGTTACTCAAGCTCACAAGTGACAACTGGCTTCCAGGAAAGCAGGATTTTTACAGGAAAATTAAAATGAAAGTACACTTGGGTTCACTTTAAGGGTGTGGTGCAGGAAAGGGGACGAAAAAGATCAGGGTGAGTCACACCAGAACTGAACATTCCACTGTGGAACTTCCAAACTTCAGCTTCTCCTACCAGCTTGCCGACAAAAAAAACAGGTCAGTTCTCTTTATTTAAATTTTAGTATTTACTTAGCTGTACATGAAGTGTAATACTGAGCCTATTTGTAGCTAGAAGGACTGGAGAGTTTCCTCTTGGTGGATGTTATTGAAGTTTCTTTTACAGAGTATAAGGATTTCACTGAGCCAAGTAATCAACTCCAATTCTGAAAGTCGTGTTATTAATTAGGGATAGATTTCTGCCCATGTGGTACAGTAATGTCAAATCCGGGGGGAGGGAAGAAGGAAAAATCTGTACATTTCTCACTATGCATAGTTAATCGTAGTGGTGAGCACAAAACCCATACAGAGCGCTGCCTACCCACACATGCAGAGTAATACTGAATTCATACCAAAAAGGTAACTTCTGTAATCATTTTTATAAGATGTGCAAATTAGTATATTAGTATTCATACTAGAAACAATGCATGTCTATGAATAGGAATGTTGCTCAAGAATAAGAAATATTCTTTTTAGGGACAAACGGCCACCGTGCAGCATCAAGCAATTATTTAACACAGAACTATATCAGCTATCTGAACATGCTCCCCTACAAGCCTCCCTGCTTTATGATGCATTAACAAAAATGTCAGTTTTCCTGGAACTGTTTAAATTCCCTTTTTATTAGCCCTCAAGAAAATCTGCTAATAATCCTCTTCGATTAATTATTTCCAGATGAGCTCTAATATTTAGAGCATGGAGTCAGGAAACCTAGATAATATTTCAAATTTGCTGTCTAATCTTGAGCAAGTACCTTAATCTCCCGGACCTCCATTTCCTTTTTGGTAAAATGGAAATACTAATTCCTACCTTTGAATTCTTCCAATGAACGCGCTATGTAATTGCAAAAATATTAGTGTTGTTCAAACATCTGATAGATAGAAACTACCAGTGGTAGAATATATATAGTAGTATCTGTCTTTTGTCAAACAAAATAAAAATGAATAGAATCACTTTATCTTCTATACTGTATACTTAACTACACAGTAATACCAGATGACAGACGTATTAAAAAAACCTAATTCTCATTTTAAGTCCAGAATAGGAAATCTGTTGGAATTTTTTTCAGCCAACATTTCACAGAGGTTAAGGATTAAAAACAAAACCAACTAACCAAAACATCAATATTAAATAACCAGCATTTATTAATTTGAGAGCAGTTTCAGGACCAGGCAGGGAAACAATTTTTGGATTCAAGTATCAAATGAAAATGTTAACATTTATCAATTTTTTTAAAATTCAAGTTTCCAACTTGATTAATCACACACTCAGACCTTGCACATGACATTAACAACAATTTAACTTTTATTTTCAGAAAAGATATTTTTAAAAGATTTTCAGATAAATATTCTGAGTAAGGATTTGGCAGATGTTTTCTATAAGGACAGCCAAAGTTTTGTGTGTTTTTTCAAGTTTCAAAAACCCCACTGGCCAGATATCAGTTTAGCATCTGTTTTCAATAAGTTTAACACTAATATTCTGAAACATTGTACCAGAGAAAATATGTTTGCTCTATTTAGCAAATTTCTGCTCTTGGCTAGCATTAGTCCAGTTTATTTCCAGATAATGGGCCATTACAGGATCTTGCAGTCTCTATTTACGTTAGATAGAATTTCAACAAGTGAGTAATTCTATATAGGTATAGGAACTGGGAATGGGATACAGGGAAAATGTAATAAGTGATTTGTCTACAAGATGCAAACTGGAGATGGTATCTCCTAAACTTTAGGATTAAAGGGCAATAAGAAAGTCTCATGATGAGACTATTTATAGCATGTACTTGTACTTAATCATTAAGTAAATCTGTCAGCATAACTCTTTGAAATTTACTGAAGTTTTTGGTTTTGAACAATTTTGCTGACTTTTAAAAATTCTCACTAGATACAAAACTGTCTGTGCATAGTTTACTGGGAAAACTAATAGGTGGCTTCCTTTCTTTCCTCAGGACTGAGACTGCCTCAGAGGGTACGTCTCCACAGCAAAAGCTGTACAACGACTAGCCTACACAAGCAAGCTTGAATACATCTGGCACAGGTAACGATAGTAGTAAAGACAGTGCAGCCCTGCATACGTACTCTGTTTGAGAGCCTGTTCTGAAGCCTGCATTGCACTGTCCTCACTGTTATTGTTATGCGCATTCGCTGGATTCAAGCAAACTTGGGTAGGCTAGCTTTTGCTGTGGACACATACCCAGACTATCAATTCTACAAACAGATCCGTGTAGGTGGACCCTGCACTCATGCAGAGCACCAATGAACTCAATATGGCCAGAATTGGGGCCAATTCTGCTCTACTGTTTTTAAGCAGCCACCTCCCATAAGCAGCTGACTTGCACCTGGCAAGTCTCACACACACACTCACACCCCTGCTGAAATATACAACTGCAGGCACCCCTTAGCAAGGTCTGCCTCGGTTTCAAACAGGTAGCTCTCCTTCTCAGTGTATGTATTCTGATAGCACCCTAACTCTCCAGCCAGGATTGATTTGCTCAGATGTGCTAGGTGCTCTATAAACAGATAGGAAGACACGGTTCCCTGCCCCTAGGAGCTGGAGCTCTGTTGCTTGTTTGGGGTAGTATCTTACTATTTTCAAATATATTCATAGTATTAGTTTTTACTTGTATTTAGTTTAGATCTTTATACAAACCCTAACGTGTTCTAGGGCCCACTGACAATCTTTAAACATGCAATCAACTTGGATTTGTTTTTTGTCTTGTAGCTTTTGCCATGGAGCAGGGTGAAAATACCTCAATGGACTATTATGAGGACAACAGTGAATCAAACTTCACCTTTGACTATACTCAGTATGAAATGCTTTGTGAAAAAGAGGAGGTGAGAAATTTCACTAAGTTGTTCCTACCTGTGTTTTATTCACTGGCTTTCATTGTGGGAATTGCAGGAAATTCATTAGTGGTGGCAATCTATGCCTACTGCAAGAAACCAAAGACTAAGACAGATGTTTATATCATCAACTTGGCAATTGCTGATCTGTTACTGCTATTCACCCTCCCTTTCTGGGCTGCAAATGCAGTCCTTGGATGGGTGCTTGGAAACATCATGTGCAAGGTCACTTCTGCTCTATACACCATGAACTTCAGCTCTAGCATGCAGTTTCTGGCTTGTATCAGTGTGGATAGATATAATGCCATTTCCAAAACCCAAAGTCACCATAGAAGTGGAAAGCAATGCAGCGTAACCTGTATCGGTGTCTGGTTGGTTGCCATTTTGTTGAGCATTCCTGAACTGATTTTTAACACAGTCAAGAAAAACAGTGACCGGTATGGATGCTTTCCTGTATTTCCAATGGATTTGGGAACACTCCTTAAAGCAACCATTCAAATCCTGGAAGTCATGCTAGTGTTTGTGTTACCCTTCCTCGTCATGCTGACCTGCTACTCAGCTATTGCCAGAGCACTCTTGAGGTCTCCAAATGTTCAAAAATCTAGGCCCCTCAAAGTTCTGCTGACAGTAGTGGCTGTTTTCATTGTCACTCAGCTGCCTTACAATGTAGTCAAGTTCTGGCGAGCCATAGACGTCATCTACTTGCTGATTACAGACTGTGACATGAGTAAAACTATAGATGTTGCCCTCCAAATAACTAAGAGTATAGCCTTATTTCACAGCTGCCTGAATCCAATCTTGTACGTCCTTATGGGAAACTCTCTTAAAATGCACATTATGAAAATAGCAAAAAATTTTGGACATTGGAGGAGAAGTCGCAATACACCAACTGAAGAGATTTCTATGAATTTTGACGGCCACACAGAAGAAACAAGTAGCTTTACAATATAGCAGCTGTAGCACCCTCTCTACCCAGTGTAACAGAAGGGAACAATTATAATACATCTGAGAGCTATTTCCTCTTTGATGAAACTTAACATCCATGTTACTCTGCAAGTCAAATCTGAAGTGATGTTCTGACACATGAACCAGCCAAGATGTTGCAAAGCAGTTCAAAATAGAATAAGATCAAAAACCATATAGTAAAGGTAATGGAAACAACGCTTGAAAAAAGTGGGATTTAAAGCAGAGGTGAGCAAACTACAACCTGCAGGCCACATCCGGCCTGCAGGACCATCCGGCCTGGCCCTTGAGCTCCTGGCTGGGGAAGCTAGCCCCCAGCCTCTCCCCTGCTGTGCCCCCTCCCCTGCAGCCACGCCACCAGCGCGGCTGGCTCCAGCTGGGTGACTTGGCTGCCAGTCCTGCCACTCTGAGCAGCATGGTAAGGGGGCGGGGGTGTTGGATAAGGGGCAGGGGGTCCTGGGGGACAGTCAGGGGACAGGAGATGGTTGGATGGGGCGGAGGTTTTAGGGGGGGGGCGGTTATGGGATGGGGAACGGGGGGGTTGGGGGGCTGGATAGGGGTTGGGACAGTCAGGGGACAGAGAGAAGGGGGGGTTGGATGGGGGTGGGATCTTGGGAGGGGACGGTCAGGGGGTGGGGGTCGGGCTGATTGGGAAGGCACAGCCTTCCCTACCCGGCCCTCCATACAGTTTCGCAATCCTGATGTGGCCCTCGGGCCAAAAAGTTTGCGCCCCTCCCCCCATTTAAAGGGTCACAGCGCTAGGCCATTAATTAGATGAGGAGTGAATGGACTACATACTGGTATGCTAATCACAACAAATATACACTTAACATGTAAAAAGGGGGGAAAAAACACACACACGATGACACTGAATTTTGTGCCCCAGTTAATAATCTTCAGTCCTTTAAAACGTAACCCTGCAAAGTTGCTTCTCAAAACTGTTTCAGGTCTTCCTACTGATTTAAAATGTTTGTCTGAAATTGCAACTCTGTTTTTCCTCAGCTGTCACTTCACAAATAGCCTTTGAGGCTTGAGATGAGGAAATAGTTTATCTCTAGTATTTCACAGAAGCAGCAGTAAATAGCAAGCTATGGTCCAGTGTTTTATGATTCCAAATGTGTGTGGCATGTTTAAAAGAGTTCCTTTTCTGTAACACAGAATGCCTTTTAATTATATTCTGCCTGCACTAGATTGCAATGAGTTCTTTTTCCTATTATAGGCACATGCCAAATCTTTGGTTTTAAATCCATATTCGTATGAGATTACTCAGAGCCTCATTTTGGTCATTTTCTGCAAGGCAATTCACATTTCCTGTGACCTCTATAAAATGCTTTGGGAACTGATGCAACAATCAGTGACACTTATGACCTAATTTTGAACATGTAGCCCTATACTGTGTTATAGAAAATTAGTTTTGATTTGTAAATGTATTGCATGCATTTATGGATATTTTGCAGGTGCACTTCAGGCACCAATCTCTCTAGCTTTAGCTCACAGAGTATAAATAACTGGCTGAAGAAAGAGCATATTTATACTCAATAGTTCATGAGAGGATACAGTCATGGTCCTTAGGGAAGGAATTAGTGAGATTAAAAAGTACTGGCCTGTGATAGCTAGAAGGCAGACAATTTTTTTAATTGTCCATTTAATTGTTACATGTAAATGTTTAAAGAATACTCAGTTTCCTTCTACTCTCTGTAGTCTGTTTACATGAGTTTCACTGAGAGGATGATTTTGGTAACAAAGGTGGATCTAATTGGCTACGCACTCCACGTTACAACACTCTCAAGACAGTCATATGTATTTGATGCAGAAAATAAGGTAATGAATACAGACCCCCTGAATTAAGAAAGGTGGCTAATCAGTCAGCAAATCCTGTGAGCATAGGGCCAGGTAGCTGGTCATTTGGCTACAACGTAAGCTCCCTGCCCTAGAAAGAAGGGGGAAAAAAAACAAAAAATGAGGAAGCTAGAGCAGGGAAAAGATTGGGCTCACGAGAGCAGGAAGGTAGATATGTATGTTGGCAAAAGATGAAAGGCCGGCTTTGTGGCCTCCAGTGTAGAGACACTAAACCATTACCTGCGCTGCTGCAAGGCAATTCTGCCAGTCAGTTTTACTGGGGAGATGCTAAAACGGAGGAGTTGGTGTTGTGCCCAGTAGCTAATTTTGAGAGTTTTTTAAAAACATATAAATAAAACAACCTTTATTTATACTCAAAGCCTCACCCTAGTGAAACTAACATGCATTGATATATCTAACATTCTTCATCTGTAATATGCATGTATTGTGGGCTTCACTCTCAACTGGCGCATACTGGCATACCTCCACGATTTACAGCGGATCTAGCCCGGTGTATGTTAAAAGCAGTGTAATCAATATATTAACAAGAATTTAAGTCTATACAGAAGAAAGCGCTCTAAGGCAACCTCCACACAAGGGGCCTGGCATTTCCACATGAAGTAGATGCTGTGGTAATTACGACATACATACATAAAAATAAAGGTGATACTGTAAAATAGTGGCCCGGTTGTATTCACTTCTGGTTTTAATTATATCCTTGCTTTTTATTAGTAAATCTAATATTTTATATTAGATTTATAATATATGGAGAAGTAAAAATCTCTGCCACACTTTTTATATTTGCAATCTGTTGAAAAATTAAGCTGTTTCAAGCAACTTGCATTTCAAAAGGTGTTCCAAAAACAAACACTTCAAGTCATCACTGGGCTCCAACATAGGGTATCATTCAAAGCCCACTGAAGTTAATGGAAGTCTCTGGATTGATTACAATGGGCTTTGGATAGGCCCCAAATGCACTATTTTGACCTGTAGAAGAGCTCTGTGAAACCTTGTCTGTCTCTCTCACCAAGAGAAGCTGGTCCAATAAAAGCTACTACCTCACGCAGTCACTCTATTTTGAGAAGTGTGAGTTGTGTGTTCAGACTAACAATAGGTATACAGGTTGCATCCGATGAAGTGAGCTGTAGCTCACGAAAGCTTATGCTCAAATAAATTGGTTAGTCTAAGGTGCCACAAGTACTCCTTTTCTTAATAGGTATACAAGAAATCATCAGGCATGCTTTGTAGGTTTAAGCTTATGGACTGTAAGAAACCTGTGTAAGATTAAAGAGAAGACAAGAGACAATCTTCTTTTTTATGTTGCGATAACAGCAGCTATCAACCAGTGATACTCCCATTTTGGAAGGTGACAAATATGACAAGTTTCCTTTTCACTTCAGTCCCTGAAGTATTAGGCCGAGAGAGAGCCCTCCATCCACTGGTGATTCTAGATATTGCAGGTCAAACTGTATTAGTAAATTATTAGAGCTATTTGCAAACTCTGTGGATGCATCTCACTATGTAGCTCCATCCCCCCAACCCCCCCACACATAGGCAACACTCAAGCTCCATTCCAGTTAGTGTCAGTATAGATATCACTACACCATATTTGTGGCCCTGCCCTGCAAAGTGCTGAGTGCCCTCAGGTCCCATCGACCGATGGTTTTCTGTTTGCAGATTTTCTAGAAATACAGTAACAAGGTTATTTAAATGCAATTTAGTTGATTTTATTGGGAATTCATTATCAGAATCTCCTGGGATTAGATGCTAACTTAAAAAATACAACAGTGAAGCCTACAATATAAGCAATTTATGTAAACTAGAATTGCATTAAGCTATATTGGAATATAGTATTTAGCATATGTATTTCTGGAAAGTCTACAAAAAGAAAATGATCATTTTTTTCTATGAGCTTGGAACTGCTACTTAAAATCAAAGTTAATCACAGCACTGTCATTGCTTCAGTTACTTTGCAGTAATTTGGGATACATTTTACATTCATGCTTTTTTTTCTTTCTTTTTTTTTTGAATGGTGAGTTAAAATGTTCTTTATAGTACATTACATTGTCTGTGCTGGTTTAAGGCTAGAAAGATTAGTGCAGAGACAGCAGAATTCCTCTATCCCTCCCCAGCTATCAAGGACAGGAATAATATTTGTCACTGCAAGGTTCACCTTGTGATCCCCCTTACAATATTTTAAAATCACACCAATTAACTGCTTCCAGACCAGCTTGTGGAGAAACAGATGCTCAGCCATGCTGAGGGTAGGATCTAGGAAAGCAGTTGAGTCCTATTTAGTAAACCTGACGGTATGTCTGTACTATCTGCTGGACCGGCGGGCAGCAATCAATCCAGCGGAGGTCGATTTATCATGTCTAGTCTAGATGCGATAAATCGACCCGAGCGCTCTCCCGTTGACTACGGTATGCCACCAGAGTAAGAGGCGCAAGTGTAGTTGACAGGGGAGTTGACAGCAGTCGACTCACCGTAGTGAAGACATCATGGTGAGTAGATCTAAGTACGTCGACTTCAGCTACATTATTCATGTACCTGAAATTGCGTAACTTAGATTGATCCCCCCCAGTGTAGACCAGGCCCGAGTGTACTATAGCACTGAATAGAGAGACTCAAGATAAGAATATCCAGGTTGTAGCTGTTACTCATTTAAATGCTTTGGTAAAGTTTTTGCACTGTAGCTTCAAGGATATTCACCATTTATGCACCAGCTCATAAAGCTAGCTAGGAAGTGAGACAGGAAGCGTTCAGACTAGGGCTAATGCATCAGCACCAAAGCCTAGTCTAAAGTAGTAGCTTTTATAAAGAAACAGCCTGGGAAGCATGACTTAAAATAAGCTCCTATATAGCTCTCCATAGTGTCCCCGTTCCATGCACGAACTGCCAAATATGAAGAAAGCCTCAGGACAAAGCTTAAAATACATGGGTCATCTGATGGAAAGATACATTAGAAGAGTACAGTGCAGCTCAATAGCTTCTGGAAGGGTTTAAAAGGGTCCAAAAAAAAAAAAAAAAAAGAGTAAAAGGGTACAAAAAAACAACAGCACACATCCCTAACAGAATGAAGGTTTGGGTTTCATGAATTAAAACCAAGCCTGAATATCACTTTCCCCACTGTTTTACAATCCAGCACCCTGGTCACAGAAGAGAGACGTGAACTTCTCAGAACTGGAACGCAAATTATTTTTGTTTCACCATGTTTAGAAGGAATTCAAGCATAAATTCATTGTTCTAGAATGATGAGCTTTGTACTTACCACTGATCCACCATTTCCTGCCATTGATTACGTAGCTATCTCCATCTCGCCAAATGCTGCATTCCATGTTGGTGGCATCACTCGAAGCGACATCAGGCTCTGTACAAAACACATTTATGAGCATGAACAGTGTTTTTGCAGTTAGATCCATTATTCATATATTATGGGAGGAGACTACTACTAATTTTGGTTTTGCTTATACAAACGTCATACAACAAAAAACTGGAGAGAAGGTAAAAGAGGTGGGGATAAAAAGTGTAATTCAAGGCTAAAGCAGAAAACACTGACACTATGCTCTCTAATAATCTCTCAACACTTCTGGACCAAGCATTTCAAAATGCAGTCATAATTAGGGCCATGTGGAAACTTTTGTGCAGTCATTAGAAAGCTAGTTTGCTCTGAAAACACAATTGTAATGTTCACTGTGAAAAATATGGCTTAAAAAGTGATTAGAGCTTTAGTTATAACATTTGTCTATTTAATTGTAAGGCTTTTGGGACATGGAGCTGCCTTATTCTATGTCTGAAGTACCTCAGGGCCCTGGATAAAGAATTAATTTCAACAGCCAGTCAAATTTGTTGTTTTTAAAACCCTGTGTGGACTTGTTCTGGTTTATCTCACAGACCTTGGCTCAGGTTTTCTGCTCATCCCAGTCACTGCTGGAGGCAGGGTACAGTCAGGGAGCCAGTTAAGGCTCCTTAATTCTCAAGCTGGTCCCAGGATTAATTGGTAAGTGCCAGATGCAGGCAAACCCTATTCTAGGACAGGGTGGGATTGTATAAACTCTATGCCATCTGAGGACACCCTCATGACAAAGGAATTCTCAGCTGGTGAGACACAGATTTTTTTCTGGACCCTTTCTACTACCAGAGAGCAGAGCAGGGGAGAAAATCTGGGTCCTTCTCATTCTCTACATCCTCCTAAAGCCAGTGACCCTGGAGTTCTTCATAGAATGTTATCACTGATAGAGCAACAGTCTTTTCTTTGCAGCTCCTGCTGTTTGGAACAACCTCCCTTCAGTCTGCTTCATCAATATTCTATTTCCTTCCAAATCTTAGGTGAAAACACCTCTTCCCCTTTGGAAACACAGCAGTAAGAGAGATTATATCCTATCCTGCAAGATGCAGGATTATCTAAACTCCCGCTGACTTGCAGGGGGCACTTAGCACCTTTCAGGATTTGGCCCTATACCTGTGGACCAAAATTTTCAAGCTTGGGTGCCTAAAGATACTCTCCTATATCAAAAGTGCCAGTTTTTCCAGAAGTGTGCTGTCCACCAGCAACTTTCACTGAGAGGATCATTTCAGGCACCCGGGTTTGAAAATTTTAGCCAAAATGTACAATGTAAACCCAAAAGGAATGATAAGCAATTGCTATATAGGAAAGGCACCATGTTTTGGGGGTGATTTTCTACATTACACTTCACAAACATATGAAATATTTGCAGATGGACTGTCATTGATGTTTGAAATATTATTAGCTGCTAAAGTGGTATAATATTTAGCATATTTACAGTGCGTTTCATCAGTGATCTCAACACACTTTACAAAGGAAGGTAAGTTTACTGTATGTCCTGTTTGCATAGTAATTTTGTTTGGCTATTAATAAAAAAGCAAGAGTGAAGATATTCTTACAGCAAATAGTATCGGGGGGGTAACAGTGTTAGTCTGTATCCACAAAAACAACAAGGAGTCCGGTGGCACCTTAAAGGCTAACAGATTTATTTGGACATAAGCTTTTGTGGGTAAAAACCACTTTTTCAGATGCAAGGCCAAATAAATCTGTTAGTCTTTAAGGTGCCACCAGACTCCTTGTTGTTCTGATAGCAAATAAATTAATCTTAACTATGGGAAATGGCAACTACTGTAACTGTGGAGACTATGGATCTTGCAGAATTAGACCCTCTGGCTGTCGATAGCACATAGAGAGGTTCAAAGCCATGGTGGAAAACCAAAGGTATTAACACATAATAGCTTGTGTTTCTGCACCTCTCTGCACTGCTGTGAAACGTGCATGATGGGGTGGGGGTGGGGGCAGTTTTCAACTGCAAAAATGTTTACCTGTCATGCAGAAGCAAGAACTAATTTTCCCTTGAAGGAGAGGCTCAAGCCACTGTTTCTTTTGCTCTTCAGACCCATACAAATGCAGGACCTCCATGTTTCCAGTATCTGGGAGAAATCAGAATGTGTCTTTTTGCAATACATAGTTCATACAGCATAAAATGTTCACAAAATTGTGACTAAGGAATGGGGGGGGGGGCGAGGGGAGGGGCGTTTGCTAACCTGGTGCATGACAATTGAAAATTTCTGGGGCAAAGAAGCATTTTCCTGTCTCCTCTGCAATTAATGCATAGTCAACCTGACTGAGACCACTGATGGCTGGCAGGAAAAGGTTCCACAGACCCTCTGCTTTGGCCATTTCCTGTCAGAAGAAATAAGATCAACACACAGTGAATCTTTATTCTGAGATTACATGATGATTCAGTAACCATCTTGCCTCCCTCAGGTCAATCTTGCAGTCCCAACTATAGTTCTCCTTTCCTGAGTCTCTATATTCCATTTTTTGGCATAACATTCAGGCTTCCCCCTCACACTCAAGCTCTCCCTAACTTTTTCCATGTGTACATCTCTCTCACACACACTCACCCTTTCTTTGTTTCCTTCACCTACGCCTGAACTCCAGGGTTTCTACCACATAGCCACATAAGTCCGGAATATCCACCCAGACAGTACATGTCAAGCTTCCACACACTCCTTCAAAAGAACAACTGTTAAAAAATCTGCATGCTCCATGAAGTATTCTGGCTAGAATGGCGATAACTCACTGTGTGCGCATGCATGCATTCTGGTTTGCATGGTAGTATATTGTTTTCCTTTTGTGCTTTAGGAATCTATGCTATATGAATGAGGAGATGGCTAATTGTTTCAGCACACATCACCCCTGTACAGCACTATGCTGTATTGTGATGGTATGCTCCAATCCCAGGACAACTAAAGAAAGGAGCTCTCGCTCTCTCTCCACAGTGGTGCAGGGCCTCCCTTCTCATGGGACCAGGGTACCCCCCTAAAGACACTGTGAATACTTTATTTCAGCTGTATTAAAAATAGAGAACTGGAATATAGATTAGTAATGTGTGAGGCAAACTCTGTTCATGTCAACATAACAATGAAAACAGTTTCAAGTGTAAGCACAGCATTTTCTAAAGACCGTGTGTGCGCGCGCACGTATGTGCCTGCACATGTGCTGGGGTGGGAGAGGGAAGGAAGGGAAAGACTTAGGGCTTATCTAAACCACACGGCTTTTAGCGACAATGCGGTCTCCACACAGCCTTGTCACTAAAAATCAGTGTGTGTAAACACTCTTTTCTGATACTTTGTCGGCACTTTTGCAGACAAAATACTTCCAGCCCCGTGAGCGGGGTTAACTTGGTCAGCAGGAGAGCGCTCCTGCCGACAAAGCCGCATTCACACTGCCACTTGTGTTCGCAAAACTTTTGTCTTTCGCAGGGGGGCTTTTTTAAGTACCCGTGAAAGAAAAGTTTTGTTGACAACTTCGCAGTGTAGACAAGCTCTCAGACAGGCCTCCCACTTTTTCTCCAGTCTCACATCTTTTTTTAAAGTTTCTAGCTGCTCTGGTTGTGAATAAAGACTTGAAAATGTGACCCAGCTATAACTGATGTAATCACCTCTGCTGGAGACTGCAGAGAGCCTGAAATAGGAGCTTGAGAGGTGTGAACTTCCCCATTGACTGAATGCATCCCATGAAGTGAGCTGTAGCTCACGAAAGCTTATGCTCAAATAAATTTGTTAGTCTCTAAGGTGCCACAAGTACTCCTTTTTTTGCATTCATTTCGGTATGTGCTAACTTCTGAAATGATTACACTTTAAATGTCAGTGTTGTTAACTATTTCACTGCTCAAAGCACGTAAGAAAGGAGATGAAGAACCAATATGAAGAACACCACAATCTGCTCTGAGATGCCGCTTATACTGTGTAAGACTGTAAAAAAGTCTAGATGGAATACCTGGGCTAAACAAAACCTTAAACAAGGTTTAGGGTTAGTTATACAGAGACCTCAGCCTGCTTAGTACCCTGGCAAACACCATTAAAATCCTTTTATTAAAGATACAGAAAAGCAGGAAAAAACAGTTAAAGCATTTGGAATGTAAAGTAAGGCTTTCATTTCAAGAACAATCCTTATTCCCTTTCTCTCTTTCGCTGGAGAGTGTCTTTAAAAGAAAAAAAATGATCCTTGTTTGACAGTCTTTAAGATAGTAATAACACATAGAAAATAAATAGGAAAGACAGAAGATGCATTTTCTGTCTCTGATGTTGAGTCACTTGCAAGCTCACTGCTGGAAAAATACATATACAGCACACAGTGTTATCAGCCACTGTCAAAGGCTTACAGACATATGGCAAAATATGCAGTCTCGGCCAGCTAAGCCAGACTCTTATCAGACAGAAGGAAAAAGGAGAGAGTTAAGAAAAGGACTTGTGGGGGATGGGGCAAGACAAAGTCTCACACTGCAGGTGGTAATTGGGATTTAGCTAGAGCCAGCAGAGATGGCAATGTCATCTGGCTCCCTCTCTCTGGCCTGATCTGGTTAGAACCTTTCTCAGGGATTAGGATGAAGAGGGTCCAGGGACCCATGAGACGGCAGGGGTGTCAGCTATGATGGTGAATCTCACTCCAGCAGCCAATTTTTCCTCCCAAAGTCTCTTCCAAAAAGGAGTGATGAGTGGAACAGTCCCGACCTCTCATTTTGTTCACCAATTAGGCCTATTTTCTGACACACCAATTTGGTTCAATGATTTCTGGTTCCCCGCATCTCTTGTTTACCAAGCATGATCTTAACACAGCCCTTAAGTTATATCAGTAGGCTTTTTCGTTTGGACGAATTCAATCAGTCCCGCTTTTGCATCTTTCCCCATCAGCATTTGTTATGGGTTATTGTGACATCTTATGAAATTATGCTCACTTCTTGGAGTTGAGTTCACCATTACGGTAAATGTGTAGGCCCAATTATCACAACATCACCATATGACAGGGTTGTAAGGGGCACAAAAGGTTTTATTTTCCTCAGCTTTCAAAAGCTTGGGAAATACATGGATTTTTAAACTGCAATTCCTTTTTAAAAGCGTATTGTATTTTATATGCATAAGAGAAATATGATGGTCTAAAAGGTAAACTACTCTAGGTAATATTTGCTCAGGCAATTGCATAAACTCCCTCATTTCCATCATCACTGCAATACTCAGGCGAACATTCACTTTGTATTACCTTCAGTTTCACAATCACTGAAGGTTTCTTCCATCTGTCCAGTGAATTTTCATCTTTGACATAGTACTCAACCACTTCCTTAGGAAAAAAAACAAACGTACAATAAAAAGTAATATATGGTTTCTTCTACTGCCTCTTTCCCAATCTCCACAAACCGCAATGAATTCCTATTACATACTAGAAGTGCATCTTTATTGTATAATAGTACTGTATATGTTAAAAAAAAATTAAAAACCTAATTGCAATCTGATTATGCCTCACATCTAAAACAGGCTTGAGACTCCTCGTGAACTTTAGCCAAAACAGTACCTCACTTCAGATATAAAAGTGACTCAGTGCTATTCAAAACACTTTTCTGGTGGTGTCTGAAGTTCAACATTTTCCAGAGATATGAGTAAGGACTTGTCATGACTAGTAATTCTTGAATGGTAATTGTATACAAAATTAATGACACTGTGATGAAATAAGCATTACTATATACAATTTAAGCTGACTATGTTGACACAGCACATGTAGTACTACCAGTGGAATATTGCAACATGCAAGCTAGGTATCCAATTTTAGTATGCAACAAGTGAAAACATGAAGAATACAGCTGTTTCTCTTTAAATAGGTGATCTTTTCATTGTGTACTCGGTCATTTCGAGTGCTAGATATTAGCACTATATACGGTTGTGCCCTTCATAGCAATCCTAATGCTAAATGTTGCTCTCTATGGGAATTTTGAAGACTAATTTTTTTATGCACTGATTATATTTCACAGTTTTTAGTGCTTTTTATTCAGGGATCTCAAAGCACTTTTCAAACAACTTTTGGAAGGTTAAATGACTCATTATACTGAAAGGTTAAATGACCCACCTAAAGTCACACAGTGAATCAGATTTAGGAATGGTTTCAGAGTAGCAGCCGTGTTAGTCTGTATCCGCAAAAAGAACAGGAGTACTTGTGGCACCTTAGAGACTAACAAATTTATTTGAGCATAAACTTTCATGGGCTAAAACCCACTTCATCGGGTTTTAGCCCATGAAAGCTTATGCTCAAATAAATTTTGTTAGCCTCTAAGGTGCCACAAGTACTCCTGTTCTTTTTGCAGATTTAGGAATAGAACTCAGGAGTCCTGACTTCCCAACCCCAGCTGTAGCAAACAAACAAAAACATACATGCAGTTCCTTTAAAGGATTACGTAGGGAACGTTCCATATTGTTTTTTTGTTAGTTAAACACACATTCCTTAGAACACATTTTTTCCTGAAGAGAAACAAAACTAGTTGTGACCAAAAGATGGCTGCTCAACCTTTGAGAAAATCTTTCAGAAACAAGAACTCATCTGGAGCAGGTACATTAAGAAATCATCTTTTCATAATTATGGACCTCTCTGGCCATTTCCACTATCAGCTTTCAAGCCTACATTAATGTCAGACACATCTAGGAACTGAGGGCATGATGGTATATTACAGAAATGTACTTAATATCAGATATAGACAACGCTTAACCTTGTTAGAAAGGGCTATGGGAAAGGTAAAACGTTCCATCCAGGATTGGGGGTAAGAACAGCAGCCTTCCTCCTGGATGACAAACACCCCTCCAATGCAATTCTTCCCTCTGGGAGGCAATCAAGCCTCTAACAATCTTAGTAGCATATTATGGCTCCACAAGAATCAATGTCCTATGGGCCTGGGAACTTACAGTCAAATACTTTACTGAATATTACATTATCTTCTAACAACATCATTAAAGCAGGACATCAAAGTTTCTAACAAATTAACCTGGTTGCATGGCATGTTACCTCCCACACACCAAACAAGAGACCAGAGAAAACAAACAACCTAGCGCTGCAGGCAAAGAACAATCACAGGGACAAAATGCATATCCAAGTAGAGTATTAGCCAAAAAACTGCTTCTTTCAGAAGGCTTGGATCTTCAGACTTAATCCCAAATTTCCCAACAAGCAGTTTGTCCTGAAGATCAGAGATGTTGTAAGGGAGTTAGTCACAGTGCATACAGAACTTGCAGCAGCTGTAATGCAACCATTAGTCATGACAACACATTAAGCAAACATAGTTGGCAATGATTATACTAGAGTTACTTTCAACTAAGGATCTCAAAGCACTTTATAAACAATTAATCATCATAAACAAATTTGTGAGAAAAAAAATAGATACAGAGAGAGGCTGAGCAACATCCCTAGGATCATACTTAAGTGAGCAGCAATATTGGGAACTCAAGTATCAACTCCTAATCTCCTGCTTTCAGCACTCCCTCGGATCTGAAGAACCATGAACCTCGAAAAGCTAAAGGAGAAACAATCTGGGCCAGGATTCAGGCAGACCCAGTATGGTATAACTTTGTGGACCATCAACATCCTCCAGTTTGTGAGCTAGTCAGAGCACAATAGTGCCTGTCTATGTCCAACATCAGGAACCCCCTTTGCACTCACTCCCTACAACAGTTCTGTCTTCTCTACTGTGAAGGATACTATTATATTTGTTATTAGTAGAGTATTTTCTCGCATTCAATATTCTTTCTCTAGCATTCACTACTAATTCATACACTGATTTATAATCAGTAATAATCTGCAAAAAATATCACTGACTGGACAAAATTAAGCTCTGTCTCTGTTCCTAAACAAAGTGAAGATGTGAGCTGTGAAGTAAGCTCTGAATTTTGGCACAAACATACTACTTCCTGAACAAAAAGCTTCTACCTTTTCAGCTGGAAACACATGCTGCTTCATGAACCTCTTCACCTTCAGCAGAACCTCCTGGCCTTTTTTAGTCTGCTGGAACAGCTCTCCTGTATCACTGGGTTGTGCATCACCAGTGAAAGAAGTTCTAGGGAACAAAATTAAAATAAATAAATAAGGTCAGGTTCTCCTGCTGTTAATACAAACTTCCTTACATAAATATAACTATTTAAAGAAATATATAAGAAAGCTGTGAAAGGGGTGACTTGAGTTAGCCAAGCCTTTTACGGCATATCAACACAGGGATAAAAGACCCAGGTCAGCTGACTCAGGCTCGCAGGGCTTGGGCTGAAAAATTGCTGTGTAGTCATTTGGGCTGCAAGGGTGGAGGGTCCCAGAGCTTGGGCTACAACCTTAGCCCAAATGTCTATACAGCAATTTTTCAGCTACAGAGCACGAGTTCTACGAGCCAAGGCCAGCTGTGTTTTTTTAACCCCTGCATAGACATATCCAACAAGTGCTCTCACCTTTTTGAGAGCAGTAATCCAGTTTCTGCCAAGGGTTTCACCATCTCAGCGAACTCATAACTATTCTCTGCAGAAGAATTTCCAAGGAGATATCTAGCATATACACCCTAAAACCAAATTAAACGGACATATATGATTTAATATCTGCTTAAAATTGGAGTCCAGTATGACGTAATCTTTGTGAACTAGTGGACAAAATTAAATGCATATATTCCCAATAAAAAGAAGTAGTCAGTTTTCCAATATAAAAATTGGTCAAATTTTAGTTGAATCCATTAGTAGTGCCATTGATCCATTTCCAATCAGTAGCGATACTGAGACACTAAAAGAAAATACTCACTCCATTGTAGACAGACTAATGGTCCAAGTCCAAAGGACAAGCATCAAAATCAGCAGCACAAATGACAAGTATTTACTGTGCAAATGTCATATACATAATTGAAAAAGTTCATGTGGGGCCTGATCCAGTGCCGGCTGAAGTTAATGGGTTCCCATCTGTTGATTTCAATAGGCACTGGATGGGGCCCACAATGCTCAGAGTTTAAAAGGACAGTATGTGATTTTTCCTGAGGTCCCACCCCCCCTCCCCCCATCATCTAGCATCCATGATGATCATACCCAAAATGAACAAATCTAAAGAAAGCTAATGTCTGCTTTAAAAATTGAGTCAGCCATCACCAGATCGGTAGTTTTATAAAGGGAACAATAGCCCAGACAGCTACTATTGACAGGCAGCTAACATGCTACAGCTTTTAAAAGAATAAATAAAATTACAGAAGCTTTTCAACTTTATCACATTTCAATATTTTTTTACATTTTTAATTTACATTACCAAACAAAATAATAATAATTAAACTATAAGAAAATATATTAAGTATTAATGAAAATTTTACCTGGCATATTCCAGCTATTTTAAAATATGAAAGAGCAAGAAAGAAATTCAAGTTCGAAAGATCTGCGCTAATACCCCTGCAGCGGCAGTAAACTGAAATCAATTCTTCAAGTGATGGAATTCCTAGGAAAACCATACAGAATATTTAGCATGTCCAAAACTTCTCTCTTCCTTCGTTTTTAAATTCTAATTAATTTGTCACCAATTATGCTGTTTGTTTAGTCGTACAAACTATATTCAAATTACACAACAAAAATAAACTAGTAAGTGCCACATACTGGTTCTCATGCACTAATATAATGCAGTTATATTTGGGAGCCAAACACAAATGGGGACTGTTTAAATTCCAACCAAATATAAACACAGCACTTTTTCAGGTCAGTAAAAAAATAATATTATGTTAAAAGACAAGACAAAAAGATTAAATTTTAGGCTTAAACTATCTCAGTGTCTCTTTAAGAAAAAGAGCATTCAAAATATCCTTTCACTTAAAGGAATATTAATAAACACAAGTATATTTCAATATACATTTCATATCTATAATTTTATAGAATGTAATAAACTTGTTGTTAGTAAACTATGGAAGTTATTTTCAAGTTTAGTATGGTATGCTTAATAATTAGCTATCAACTGTTTATAAAGATAAAAAACTAAATAGAAATCAATTTTTAAAAAACTAATTTCAACAAAATTACAAATTACCTACAGTATCTCTAAAGCTCAAGGTACCCCCATGGCCTAACTGTTTAATTGTGTTAGGCCAGAAGTAAAATGCAGCGGTATAAGCTAAATCTGCTAAAGGATGCCCAGTGGTTGAAAGTTCCCAGTCCAGGACTGCCACAACACGAGCCTAAATAAATAAAAAAAATCCAATGAATGATAAAGGTAAGCAACTTAAATTAACTACATCCATGCCCCTTCCCATTTAGAAGACTAATATAGGATGTGTGGGTGTACAGATATATATATATATGTGCACCATAAGATTGTTACAGTGATGATAGTTCCTTAATACAGTACTAGGTCTTGGGATCTAGAGAAAAGTAGTGTTCATTTATATGAACAAATTAATTTTTACTTATTCTATTGAGATAACATTATATACACTTAGCATCTATATAGCTCTTTTCATGCTTAAAGCCCTTCGTAAACACTCTAATCTGTCTCACGGAAGTCCTGTGAGGGAAGTAGGCAAGGAAGTTTGTAACCCTATTTTACAGATGAGGAAATAGCACATGACCTGTTCCTAGCCACAAAGAAGAGTCAGTGACAGAGCCAGGATTAGAACTCATAAATTTGTGGTTCTATGTTCAAACCACAGGTCCCTCTTTGTAACATAACAGTGCACAACAGACTAAATCTGGAACTTACTCAATTACAATATAGACTAAGGGTAGGCAACCTTTGGCATGCAGCCCAACAGGGTAATCCGCTGGTGGGCCGTGATACAGTTGGTTTACATTGACCGTCCACAGGCATGGCCGCCCACAGCTCCCAGCAACTGCAGTTCACCATTCCCAGCCAATGGGAGCTGCAGGAAGTGGCGAACCACTGCCACTGGGAGCTGTGGGGGGCCGTGCCTACGACGGCCAAGGTAAACAGTGTTGCGGCTCGCCAGCAGATTACCCTGATGGGCTGCGTGCTGAAGGCTGCCAACCCCTGATATAGACAGACACTGTTCCCTTGCTATAAAGGATGGGGGGAGAACCTTTGAAACGTGTCCCGTTTGGCATGCTTGAACAACTAGCACACAAGGGATTACTAAACTTGCGCAGAAAGATTGTAGTTGGCTTTTATGATCCCGAGAAGATTGTTTTAAAACAGAGTACACCTCAAATGTCATTTACTGCACAATCTACACCTAATGCCCAGACTCTGAACTGTGTTCTGCCACTGTTGAATAATTCTGTTGATCATATGGCCTAGGTTTACCTTTCACCCACAAAGTGACATACAGTATGTGGGAAGGGAGCACTAAAGCAGCCAATGATTCATTACACATCATTGACAAGAAAGAGTGTGGTTGCATGCAGAGACCAGAGAACAATCCTCTTTCTCAAAGAATGGCAGATCATGGGTTTCCAGCGGTTACATGATACCAGCCTTGATTTACGTACTCTCCTTACTTCAGGCCCCCCAACCAGGGGTGGGGCAAGGAGGGCAATTGCCCAGGGGCCCGAGTGATTTAAAAGGGCCTGGGGTCCTTGGCCACTGCTGCAGTAGTAGCCCCAGGCCCTTTTAAATTGCCCAGGTGGGCTGCAGGGCTCCCAGACATAGGCGTTGAGTGCTGAGCATGCACCGGCGGGCCCCTCCACCCCATCCCCCCAGCTGATCAACTCATCCTCATCCCCCTAGTGCCTCCCGCTGTCAGCTGTTTGGTGGCATGCCAAAGGCACTGGGGAGAGAGGGAGGAGCGGGGGTGGGAAGAGGTGGGGCGGCCCTGGGCAACGCATGGCCCAGATGCCGGGAGTGGAAGGGGCAGGACCAGTCCCTTCCAGACGCTGCTCTGCAGCCCTCCCTGCCTGGGGAGGTGAAGTCTGCTCCCTGCCTGGGCTTGGGTGCCAGGCAGGGAGCTGAAGCCGCCTCCTCCCCAGCCAGGCTCTCTCAAGCAGCTGCCAGGGAGGGCTGCAGAGCAGTGACCAGGAGGGGCTGGCGATAAAAGCAGTTCCTTCCTGTTCCCTGCCTGGGCTCCTGCCCGCAAGGGAGAGTGGCAGAACATGTGGGGTGGTGGGGCAGGCACAGAGGGAGGACAAAGCGCGCCCTCCCCCGCGGTAACATGGGGTGGGGAGAGCACAGTGACCCTGGGAGGGGGGGCAAACACATGACCTACCCTTTAGATCGTGCCCCCCTCCACTATGGGGAAGCACCAATTGTATATTGTATGAACAGGGGTGGGAAGAGGTAGGGTGGGGATGAGGCATTAGGGGAATGAGCCTAGGATGGAGCGGGGGGGTGGGTGTCGAGCACTCCTGGGAAGTCTGGAAGTCGGCATCTATGCTCCTAGGAGCATGCAGGGTGGTACTGACAAAGGCAAAGGCACCAACCGGGCAGGCATGTGTAAGCCCTGGCCATGCCAGAAGACCACACAGAAGAGAGGTGGCCCATTGACTGTTCTGCCCTGGAGCCCGGAATTGCTGTCAGTGGGCCTGCCGTATTTTCACAGGTTTTTTTTTTTTCCCCCTTCTCCCTTATTTTTATTGAGATTGCATATCATATATTTAGACCTTTTCGCTCAGTGTTTGTACAGAGTCTATCACTATGGGGTCCTAGTCTATGAGGACCAGGCCCTGTGAGAATACTAATAGTAAGTCCTGATCCCAAACCACCTGAAGTTATGTGGAAGTCTTTCCATTGACTTCAGTGGGCTTTGGATCAGGAATCTAAGCATGTGCTCAAATATCACTGATCGATATCTTACATCGATTTTATGGTTCCCTTTTTGAGCTATATACTCCAAATACAATAATGGAGCAGGATTGTTTGCACTGGGGGATGTGAAGATGGGAAGAGAGAAAAGAAGGTCTAATGAATTGGAGTTAGGTTAGTGAATTTGTTTTAAGTAGTCCTTAAATTTACCTCAAGAAAATTGTACTCTGCAACGCCCGTCAATGTCTATTACGTAGGTAGGAAGGTAGAGAAACAGTACAACAAGAACGAAGAAGTAAGATTAATGTATATATATGTTTGGGGTACCTCTCTTGGATGGAAAATGATGTTATCTATTCTAAAATCTCCATGAATCAGATTTTCTTCATTATCACCAGCTGGCAAGTTGTTCATTAACCACTCAGCCAGCTGGTTCATAGCAGGAATGTCTAAGTGAGCAGATGCATCATACTGTTTTTTCCAAGTTGTAACCTGAAAAATATAAAAAACACATAAAACATCAGCTATTTTAAAGCAGAACATTATACAGCTGAGGGAGCGAGCCATTCAAACTTCCTTTTTACTTGTTATAATTCAAAGGTGTTAAAAAAATATTTGTCACCATATACCATCCCTTTTCTATGATGGTTTTGCTCTTCATTTTTGTAATTATGGCTATGAATATGTCACCAAGATGGTTATGAAACATGATGCACATTCAATTTTTCCACTGGTAATAGTGACAAAGACCATTGTTGAGATTTTCTATTCACCAGTAAACTTGGCACTCTTTTTTCCCCCCCTCTCTCTTCTTGGATTCTAGGCTGACACAGCCAAATGATTTTATTTAAAGGACAATAATACATTATGTTCCAGTCATAACTATGCACAGGTGCAGGGACGCACTCACATGCAGCTAGTTGTGGGCCTGGGAATTAGAACTTTAAGGTGAAGAAATGTAACTGGCAGGAATATGCTTGATTCTGTTATTCCCTTATGCATTTAAAATCCCATAAAAAATGACAAAACTGGCTGGATCTAAAGGGTTTGCACTTACTACAATTTGTACATATATATTCCTATCTTGTTTTCTCTAGCTCTTCAGCCCATTATGGTCAGCTGCTCCAGCCCATTCAGTCCGCCCTGTATGCTCCCTTTGAACGTCCCACTGTTATGGTTTTAGGCCTCGTCTACATTACAAACCTATAATGGTATAACTACATTGCTCTGGGGTGTGAAAAATCCACACCCTAAAGCAATTTAGTTATACCGACCTAATCCTCTCTGTAGATAGCGCTATGTCGGCTGGAGAGCATTTCCTACCAACAGAGGTACGCCTCTCAGGGAGGTGGATTAACTATGCCGATGGGAGAGCTCTCTCCCATTGACTCAGAGCGTCTTCATTAAAGTGCTAGGGTAGCACAGGTGCGTCAGTGCACCTGCACCAATGCATCATTTTAAGGGCAGACTTGCCCTTAGTTTACAAACCACATCCCACTGCACTTTTCTGTGTGTTGCTTTGCTGCTCTGAGCTTCTATTTCACCTTTACTCATGGGTCTCTGTTTTCTCAAGCCCTCAGAGCTCTCAGTCACTTCCAATTGCTCACTCTGATTACAGCCATCCAAAGGACTTCTGGTTCCTTAACCCGTCTGATACCAGCCAAGCTATTTTGATCTCTGCTCATTGCCCTCCGGCTTTAGATTATTTTAGAGATCCAATAAGGTACAGAAGAGAATTCAAGAAGGTTTAATAAATAGCAGAAAATTACACTTCTCAATCTTTAGCCTTTGTTTCTATCACTGGCGGAAGGCTGAGTGCATATTTTGTTTCATAACCTTGCTATGTGTTACAAATGTAAGCACAACAGAAAATCAAACAGCATGGATCAACTCCTCAGAGATACTGTTCAATAAGCTTTGATACTTCCACATCTTCACACTAAAACAAAAAAGAAATAGTCACATACAGAGTCAATTTCTGAAGCTCAGGAAACTGTCTAAAAAAAACAAAAAACAAACAAAAACAAAAAAAACAACTTAGGACCAGATTCTGACCTAGGCTATACCACTATAGATCCACAGCAACTCCACTAAAGTGATTCTTGATTTATACTGGTGTAACATCAGATTCTGACCCATTGGAATACATGATTAAGATCCTTTCCAGCTTCCTCTAAAAGGGACAAAGTAAGTCCCTATATCAACGTGCACAGGTGATCCAAATTCATGAAAATTAATCTTGAGAGTTCTATTCCTGCTTCTGGATTTTGACAGTGTTGTTATACCCTTAGTAGCTCAGTAGATTTAAATTTGTATTAAATACATCTGGAAAGGAAGAAAGGACACTGAAAGATAGACCTGATCTTTGTTGTATTTCAAATATAAATCCCACTGCACGTGTAATTCCAAATCTGGAGGTGCGACTCAGGTGAATGGATACTACAGTCTGATAATAGGACCATAAACTTGTTCTAAAGTGTTTAGAACACATTGATTATGTAGAGTAATTGAACTAATTATAAGATATTAGGTAAAGCCAAAACCTTGAGTAGTTTAAGGATGTTAGTTATTTTAATATAAAAAGTGTTGTAACCAAATGAATACAAATGAAACATTCAAGGGCATTACAAAGTAAGTGGTTTTTGAGACCATTACCTGCCTCCTACAGTATCCTGGTCCTCTGCCATATCCTTGGAGACCCAATGAATGCAAACTGAATGAGTGCAACCGGGCCAGGGTTTCTATCATAGCAACATATAAAGCAGATCGCTCCGCTGGACTGACTTCAGGTAGTGAGAGGTCTCGGAATACACGACCCTAAAGACATCATAAATCAGATATTTGGTGGGATGGAAAGAGGAGGGGGAGGAAAGGTCACACAACAACAGCACAAGATGTGTATGATGTATTAACAGTCATTGCGTCAGTAATCTCTTCCTTGCTCACTTGTTTCTTGTCCAGGAAGGTCAAGGCACTCTTGCTCACTGAAATCCAAAAACTACCAATCTCACAGGATCTCCCTGAGCAGTGAATTTAATATATGTGTCTTGTAGATCCTGAACTAGAACTCTAGAACCAGATACCCTCCAAACTCTGAGGTGTCTGCAAACTAGATTGTATTTCTTGGGTCCACTCAAATATTCTGAATCCAAATAATTCAGTGTATAAACTGAAAAATGAAATAAGCTCTAGTTTTGTAAGGTTTTTTCACATTTCAAAAACAGTTAAAAGTTATCCGCTTAATTTTTGGGAGGGAGGGAGGGGCTATCATTTGCCTCTGAAGTGGGCCCTTTAATATGGGAAAAAGGAAAAACTAGGCAAATTTTCCCTCTAAACCCACTCACTTCCAGATAGTTAATGGTTTAAATAAATGTACACAGCTAACACACTGATTAGGTTAGTTTTTGCCAATTAATTGTGGAAGAGTAGAATTTATTGTAGCATTACATGATACTGTTTAGTCAACATACATGTTTCATCAAATTCTGTTCTATTTTCTAAAACCTTGGACTATATTAATGAAAAAAAATAAAATAAAAGCAACTCGGCTATCCAATTTAGTCAAGTGTAAACTTACAACCTTGGGAAAAAAATAAATACTGAGGGAATAGATTTATTAAGAAGAAACTTCTTGCTCTAGACAAGACAGAGAAAATTCCAAATGTATAAACGTACCAAAGCAAAGATTGAAAAACTGCTGGGATATTTCTAAGTTAACCTAATTGGAAGCAGTATTAGAACATGGTTAACAAACAAAAACACACACACACACACACACACACCCAACTCATCTGTCTCCTAAATCGAACACACAACCTGATGATTTGATATTAACCCACTTTCTTGTAATTTGATTTGTTTACAGATCATTTATGCTTTTGCTTATTTAAATTAATAAAATATAGAACATTGGAAACATATGTGGTTTGGATCAGAGCAGTCCCCAGAGTAAAGAAGAGGCACCTCTGTGACCCATCTAGTGGTGGTCCATAGACCTTCCCTATATTCCTATAATTGCTGCCTGAACTACAACTCTCTTAGCTTTTGAAGGACACTTGATTAATGCATTCATCATTTCTTTCAAAAACCCAGAAACTTTGAGGGTCTGGGATTGAGAACATTTACCCAACCTTAAAGCCGGACCAGCTCCCCCTAATGAGTCTAGGGTTCTCACACCAGGGATCCTGTCTGATTTCAGAATGTCTGCCTACAACCAACCTGAGAAGATCATGTTGAATGGTGAGCCAAACACATGACCCTGCAAGAGGGAAATAAGTCCTAAAAAAACTGAAGTCAATGGCCGCTATTGGTGATCAGCACCTCTGAAAAAAATCAAGCTATTTTTATTTAGGTGCCTAAACGGGGGCTTATGAGCCCTATTCTAGGCACCCAAGATTGAAAAATTTCATCAAAGTTCTTATTTCAACATATAAAACTTTAGATATTTTAAAGCAGTTGCAATGGAAATAAACCCAAAAAGAAAAGAAAACAAAATCCTACAACATGTATTGACTAACCTGTACATGTTCCATCACATAAAATTCAGTTCCAATCACAGAAACATCACTGCAATACAGTAGGGGCTCAGGGACTGGAAATCCAGCTGAAAATAACGCTTTCTGCACATGATATTCTCTATCAACCTAAGATAGATATAGTATGGTAGGTACAGAATAATGTTCAAATTCTTCAAACACATTTAAACTTATTTTACATATACACAGAATATAACATTGTGCCCTACTAAACACCAAGCACTGGATTATGCAATACAGAACACTGGTACTGGTTTGTGCATTTGAATAGTTAATTGCATTTTCTAACATTTAACACTTCTAACATTCAATATCCACTTAAATCTTTATGCCAATCGTTACGCGAGGAAAATAGGCCACTTGAGAGTTGGGCCTGGTATAAACTTTAATTTTCTTTATCTTAAATCAGATTTATATTAATAACATGTAGAGCAGCTCTGTCTCTGGGTTAAAGTTGCTAAGAGCAAGACAACCCTTCAGCCAGTTAAAGCAACTAACTGGTAGTTCCCCAGTTCCTTGTCAGGATAGGGGTCATGTGACAGTTGCAAAGAGGCCTATACATTTGCTTTAAGAAATGCTAAGAGAAGATATGGAGATGCGTGAAATGTGTAACCCTGGGCAAGGGAAGTTATAGCCATCAAGGCCTTCTAACGAATTGGTGCCATCTGTACCAGCCAACTGAAGACAAAGACCACCACAGACTAGGCTTAAGTGCCCAGAAGATTTTGCCAGCACCGAGGTACTGACCAGACATAGCATGACCCAACATGGGTCCCCGAACTGTAGTCCTGACTGATGCAATGTGATGCCAAAGACCACACAAGCTGAAGAATGCATCTTTTTCCTTAAGTACTTCCCCCTTTTTCTTATGTTGTTACTGGGTGGTGATGTCCCCATTCTTCTTCTTCTCTAAACACTTAAGATGTGCATGTGTGTGTTTAAATGATTGGATGTATATGAGAGTTCATTTGGAATAAGCAATATTAATCATTTCCTAATTCAAGTTCTAGGCAGTCCTGCTTTAAACTTAGACTGTTGCCCTGAATAGTGAAGGGTGTCAGCAACACCACGCTACTCTACAGGAGAGGTAAGAGCTGTCGACTCTGTTGTATCAAAGACTGGGTAATTAAACCAGAGAGGGAGTGATCAGTATAGTCACTAAGCACACAGTAACTTTGGGAGGAGTCCAAATATTACTTCAAGGGCTGAGAGGTAAACAAGTTTGTTTCAGAATCAGAAGCATTCAACCAGGTCAATAGATTACTTTGCCAGGAGCAAGATCCTGTAACTGGCGGTTAGAGCTAAGCAGGTGGCTGCCTCCTCAAGTTTTTGTATTTGTAAAAAATTGATCAGGTGCTGTACTAGCTTTCTGATTAAGGCTATGATTATGTCATGGAGGTCACGGAATCTGTGACTTCCAGAGACCTCCGTGACATTTTCTGCCCTGGGACTGAAGCTGTCAGCCCCACAGCTCTCAGCCATGGCTAGCAGTGGGCCCCCTGTAGCTACCCAGCTGCGGTGGGGGGACCCCTGTAGGCTGCCCAGCCCAGTGAGTGGCGAGAGGACCCCAGAGCCCCCAGCTGCTGCAGGTGCTAGACCCTCCCAAAAATTCAGGAACACCAATGACCTGTTCCTGACTTTTACTAAAAATATCCCTGACAAAATCTGAGCCTTACTTATGATTTGATTATTGTATTACTTTGATGACTTGATTAATTGGTGACTCAGTTCATATTATTAATTCTAATTGTGAGCTTGATTTGATAATTGTACTGTCTAATTCTTAGTATAGTATGTGTTTATAGTAGTTAACTTTGTGATAAGTTTGATTAACTTTAAAGTTGCTTATTTATTGATGTGTAATAAAATCCATAAAAAGTATACAAAGCCAGTTTTTTTTTCAAATTTATAACTGGGTCAGAAAGCTTTAGAATGAAGATAATTTAGCCTAGGTATTTGTGAGCCATTTGGCTCTGTCCTTAAATTAAAACATTTGTTCCTCACAATTATGTACATTTATAGTTTGCCAAAGAATTGGCTACTCACCTTGTGAGCTCTAGGCAGAAGAGGGCCATGAGGCTTCTTCCTAAGCACATATGCCCTAGAACCCTTCTGCAAGTAAAAGGTTGGATTGGACTGGCCTGAGCTACAGAGGAACAAGAAATGAATTACTAAGAAACAAAGTTGCAAACATTTAACAGAAAGAACAACAGCAACTCAAAATTGGAAAAGTGCACATCATTGTTTGGGCTGAAGAGGATGTCCAAGTACAATTTGGGAATTCATCTCAGGGGTGTTCTTTTAAACATACAATCTTACAAATCAACAGATGACAGTTCAAAGTCAGTAGTCATGGGCTCTATTCCCAGTTCTGCCACATGTTTCCTGTTTGACTTGGGAAAGTCACAGGTATTCCATGCTTCTGTTCGCTCTTCTGTAGAAAGGAGGTAACACCCACAAAGATGTTGTGAAGATTAGTTAATGTTTTCAAAGCACACTCAGATTCTTAGATGGAAAGTAGTGGCCTTAAAAATTTACCAATCTGGATTAAGAAAAATAGACTAATTTTTTTTACAGTAGTGCATAAACTTCCGTTGACTCACAATAGATGTGTCAGAAGTGAAAATGTTCTGTAACACATTTATGAATGATGCTCATGGCAGTTAACCCTTTGGCTTAGTATTGTTACCGAGTGGGTGCAGAAGGGATAAAATGCTTCCCTTGGAACAGAGAAAAGGTATAAGGTATTTGTGCCAGGTAACTGTCTGGGTTGATCTCAATGAGCCATCAAGCGCTGGCTGGAATCAACACATATCAATGGAAGATCCACAAAAAACAATGAGAACCCCCCCCCCCCGTGACTAAATGATTAACACTTAACAGCAGGTTTCAGAGTAACAGTGGTGTTAGTCTGTATTCGCAAAAAGAACAGGAGTACTTGTGGCACCTTTGAGACTAACCAATTTATTTGAGCATAAGCTTTTGTGAGCTACAGCTCACTTCATCGGATGCATACTGTGGAAACTTAACAGCAAGATGCTCAGGCAGGCTGGACATGGAAACTTGGCATGGTTTTCAAGTGGAAGTACCAGAGGGGACAGGAATCTGCAGTAAGAACTGGGCTGACAGAGACACAGCAGTTCTCACTTGGGATTGACAGACAGAGAAAGCAAGATCGGCAAGAGAGCAACCTGGCTTGGTGGAATTCTAAGGGCTAGTCTACACTAGGATCACTACAGTGGTGCAGTTGTACTCTGTAGCGCTATTAGTACAGATGCTTTACGCCGATCAGAGAGAGCTCTCCCATCGGCATAATTCCTCCACCTCCCTGAGTGGCAGTAGTTATGTCAGCGGGAGAGCGTCTCCCATGGACATAGCGCTGTCCACATCAGCGCTTAGGTCAGTGTAACTTACGTTGCTCAGAGGGGCAGCTTTTCCACACCCCTGAGCTACAAACTGTTTCAAAGTAAGCATTAGTGTGTACAAGCCTTAACTTTGGCCAGTCTGAACTGTCTTAACCTTTGCTTCTCTACACTAACCTAAGGAGTTCCTGATGCTATATTCCAGTTGATTAATACACCCTACTCGGTTTTGAAAAGGCTGCCTAGTCTTGCTGCAGACACCTACAGATGTACACTGAGGGGTAAAAGTCTCAGAACAGGAGTCTCCCTCAGTTGGGACTCACTATTCAGTGACCAACCCTTGTGGAAAAGTGTGATCTGTTGGCCATCTGGCATATAAAGGGATACTCCCAGAAGACTGCCTAAAGGCCAAGACATAGCACAGATCCAGCACATCCGTGACAATAGGTTATATCTTGAATACAGAACACATTGAGATAGTTCTCTAATCAAGGCCCCAATCCTATGATGGAATCCAAGCAGGTGGACTTTTGCATTAGCACTGAGCCCCAGTGAAGCCCATGTTGCTCTATATGGGCACACAGGTCTGCTCATACTCACCCTGTGTGTGATCTGTCCCTAGGGCACTGCCTGAGACAACTGGCAAGTCTTTAATGATGAATGTTGAAATTGGGAAGTATGCTATTAAATACAATATTAAGATTGGAGGTGTGATTTATTACCAAGCAATGTAATCAGAGTGTCCCTCCCTCTTTAAATACCTTCAGGGACTCCTCTCTCTCCACCATATCAAGTTCCAACTTCTAGTCCTCACCTTCAATGCCCTGGATTGATCCACTGTCTTCTCCTCATTCAAGTCCCTCCTTAAGATTCACTCTGCACCAACACCTATGAGATATTAGATGACTAAAACATCTATTTTGTTTAAAATAAATATATCTACTCCTCCATACTATGCTTGCCAAATAACCATGTAATCATTCTGGTTACCCTCTTCCTCTTCCCAAAATCCTCCGCCTACTATCTTGCTACCCTCTTTATTATGTCATGGGTAACTAGGACGTTCTGGGTTGCAATCCAGTACTAGTGAAGGGCTGTTTCACCCCTGCCCTGCAACCTGGGGTGTCTCATAGTGCTTTGCAGAGGTAACTTCCAACTTGGGTCATTCACAAACAGCCTGCCAGCAATCAGATCACATCTGGAGTTCTGTCTAGAGTTACAGCCCTGGTTCAGCAGCTCTGCAACCTGCCAGTACATACCAGTCATGCTGTGGCTTCCACCAGCCTTGGTTACCACATGCAGAGTTACCCCAACCCGCTCCCAGATTTTCCTAAAACATGTCTGCTCTGCACTGTCAAGCCCTCTCCTGCACAGTCCAGCTATATTAGGTATATTGCCCTTCTAATGGGTCAATATACAACAATTTGCCACTTTCAGTGAAATTGCCCACACAGTTCACAACACTAGATTAGTTCTGATTAAACAATAAAACAAGTTTATTTAATTACAAAGAGATAGGTGTTGAGTACAAGTATTAAGGCATTAAATAAAAAACGTTTACAAGAAAAATAAAGATAAAATGCTTTCTAGTCCTAAACTTAAAGTAGACTTTGTTCAAGGTGACATTCTTACCACAGGTTTTCAGTGGCACTGCTGACCAAGTTTCAGTTCAGGATCTGCTCCCAAGGTCTCTTAGATGTAAGAGGCCAAGGGACAGGAAACGATAACTTGAGGTGTTTTTGCCCCCCACTTTTATAGTTGAGTCACCCTTTGAAAAGCACTTTCTTGAGTGTGACCCCTAGTTAAAATTCTCTCTCGCTGAGAGCACAGAGACATGGAGTCTGATGGAGAAAGAAGGCTTCATGCCGTTTCTTTTCACCCATGTATGCTGTTGCCGGCAAAAATGTAGATCTCTTTGTTCCTGCTCTCTTCCCTTGCCAAATAATGGCCACCTGATAGATCATGGCCCATCAGCTTTGATGACACCTGACTAGGGGCCTCAACTTGTCCTTTGTCTTGGGAAGAGAGACTCACTCACATCCCAGACTTGTCTGGCAAACACACTTCAGTCATGATTTCATCTTATGCTCATAATTTTACATATAATGTTGCTATACACATTTCACCATGATATTATTGGCCAGCAGGTTATTAGTTTTCAAATGGTAGTTTTCAAATGGACAAGGCATATTTTGTACACAGATTATTACCATAGTGTATAGGGTGTGAACACAAGGGTGCATTCTGTCACAGTAACATTTTCAGAAGTGCCTCTGACTTAGGAGCCCTTGTTCTATTTTTAGAAGTGACTTAGGTGCTTAGAAACCTGCATCTCATTGCAAGTCAGTTACATTTATTCTCCTAAGTGTCTACAGTCTGGTCTACACTACAGAGTTAGGTTGATGCAAGATCATTAAATTTACAAAGGACATAAATCTATTTTGTCTATTCTGCCTATTCTGCTATGGTAAATGTAATCAAAGAGTCTTCCGCATTATGAAAATTTATCTTTTAATGTCTTTTTTTATACTTAGACTATGGTCTTGTGATGTCATGTTCTTGGGGAGGAAAAAAGTCACTAGTGATTTTACAATGATATTACCAGTATTTCTAATTTTTTGGTATATTATCACCTCTCACTTTTTTGCAATCCAATTAAGAAGACTTAATTCACTTTTTACAAGTATTTTGTTTTAGATCACAGATGTGATCATTTATCCAGTCCCTTTCTTCAAACAATAGAACATGAGAGAACCCCAAAGGCCCCATCACTACAGAATTGTTTAGGGCCTATGCACTGCTCCTTGTCGACTTCTAACACACACATCAATAAAGTTAATCATAGAAAAGTTCATCGAAGAGTTCATCAAAGAATTTGTCCTTAAAGCAAATACCTTTATTCACATTGAACTTGTGCCAAACAGGATAGGTTACTGTTTTACAGTAAATAAACTTTGAACACAATAACATGTTTTGTAACTGACGAACTTTCACACTGATAACAGAAGGTACAGAATTTTGCTTCTGCATTACCATAACATGTAGTCATGATTTTCCTTGGTGTCCCTCTTTAACCGCACAACGTGCTCAGTGCGGTACCACACACACCTCTGGCTCTGTTCAACACATGTATTTAACTGATACACTTGGACAGGCAGATTACAGATGTTGTCATAGACACTAAGGTGATGGGTACACTAAAAACAGGTAAGATACCAAAAACTAGGAGCTTTGCCTACCTTATGGGCAACCATCCTTCCCAGCATTTCTAGGATGGATCCATCTTTTGAAGAATGACCCTACCTACCACAAACAACATTCACAGCTCCCAAAGTCATTCTTAGGGCGACCTAAATCAGTGGTTCTCAACCCTTCCAGACTACAGTTCTCCTTTCAGGAGTCTGATTAGTCTTGCATACCCCAAGTTTCACCTCACTTAAAAACTACTTGCTTACGATATCAGACATAACAATACAAAAACTATGACTGAAAAATGGCTTACTTTCTCATTTGTCTGTACGAAATTTTAGTTTGCCCTGACTTTGCTAGTTCTTTCTATGTAGCCTGTTGCAAAACTGGGCAAACATCTAGATAAGTTGCTGTACCCCCTTGCAAGACCTCCGAGTTACCCCCAGGGTTGAGAGCCACTGACCTAAATGATAGCTGGCGTCACACAGTGGCCGTGCCCGCCATGACTCGCCGCCCCGGCGTCCGGCCCGCAGCGACCGCGGGGATTTGGAGCGTGTGGTCCCGGGAGAGGAATGGGGGGGGGAGGCGGGAGGCAGCCGCAGCACAGGAGCGGGGAGACCCCCCTGCGGGGTTACCTGTACTGCCTGGCGGTTAGCGCTTCCGGGGGCTGCACAGGAAACCCGGCCAAACGGCGGGAGAGGTATTTCTCCAGGGCTCCCTGGTCAAACCTGTGCTGCTCCCTCACCGCGGTGGTGCCCGGCTCAGCGGCCATCTTCCGCCCCTCGGCGCGCCGCGGCGGAGCCCCAGCCCCGGCCCAGGTACGCTAGCGGCGTAACCACAGCCCCTCCCCCTGATCTACGCCAGGTGACACCCCTCGCCCAGCGTACGCTATTGGCGCGGACAGTCCCCTTGCCTTTGAGGACCCTCCCCCGTGGGCAAGGCTCGGGTAAGTTGCCTGAAGTCGGGTGGTGCAGGGTGCAGGGGTCTGGCCAGCTCTGCCGTGCCAGGGAGTAGGTCGTCAAGCGGTAGCGAGAGCAAAACCAGCTCCTTCACCACTTCTCGGAGGTGCCAGGTGTGTGGCTGACAGGCAGACAGGCAGTCACCGGTGCTGGCACCTGTGTGTATGTCACAGCCAAATTTTGCCACAGCCACATTTGCAAGTGTTCCGACCAACTGTAGAGCTGATTCGGGGAGGAAAAAAAAGGAGGTGAACATTAATATAAAATGTGAACACTTCAGTCTTTTTGATTGTTTTCATTCAGGTTTAGAAGATTCCAACACTAGCTCTAGCCAGAGCATTTCATGTGCAATCACATTGTGACATGCGAATGACAGCCTGGTCGCAATGTATCACAGACAACCACGAGGTGACTTTTAACTCACAGCTGCATCACAGCAATCCTATTGTGATGTTTAACCTACAACCATGTCACGTGAGTGAAAACCATGCTGAAACATCAGCTTACAAGCCTGCTGTGTGATGTTTAATGATAATCATGTTGTGACATCACACTCTTGTGCATTATCCTGATTTTTATCACAAATCTTGCTATATTTGGGGTTTTCCTTAAACCTCCAAATTCCGGAGTCAAGTGGTTGTATAAGAATTGTGGCCTTCGCTTAAAAATGGAAGTTTCTAGCCCTCGTGGTTGGTCTGAAAGCATTGAAAATGTGAACCTTAAAGTCTCAAAAACCAGAAGACAAATATAAAGAACCCAAAATGTATTATTTTGTAAAATCTCTTTACTTTTCAGTTAAGTTCCTGATTTTTAAGGGCTTGACTCAAGATTTTTTGAATGCTTAGGGCTAGTAATGCAGGATATTTTGAATCAAAAACATGCCACAGATGGACCATCAGTGTTTATAATAACTGTGTATTCCCCATAGGGTGTCTGCCTTCAAAGTAAAAAGCAGTGTCTGTGCCTCCTGTACAGTGCAGTGCATATATCGTCTATAATACCGTGCCTGTGGCTTCCATTATCCTAAATAATGCTTTATGTATGTCTCCTGTACAGGGCAAAATATCTCTGTTCCTCTAATGCAGTGTCTCTACCGTTGTTATTATCAGATGCAAAGGTTTGGGCTCTGACTTCAGCGGGGCAATCACCAGCATTTATTTGCTATTTATTGGTCGTTAAAAGAAAAGGAGTACTTGTGGCACCTTAGAGACTAACCAATTTATTTGAGCATGAGCTTTCGTGCTCATGCTCAAATAAATTGGTTAGTCTCTAAGGTGCCACAAGTACTCCTTTTCTTTTTGCGAATACAGACTAACACGGCTGTTACTCTGAAACCTGTTATTGGTCGTTGTTATTATGATAATCCGTCGTGCACGCACCAGTAGACTCACCACCCCATTGCCCCCTGCTGCTCGGGCTCTTTTGTGCCCGGAACTCTCCTCGCGGGCTGGGTTGCGGCGGGGAGGACTCTGGCTGTGGGGCTCCCAGCCGGAAGGCCGCCGGCTGTGGGGACGTGTCTCTGCGCTGCCGGGCCGAGCGTGTGGCTGTCGCGAGCCGCTGCCATGGCCTCGGCCAGTCTGGTGGAGAAGCTGCAGCTCCGCGTGCGGGAGCTGGAGGAGGCGCTGGCCAGGGAGCGGGGCGGCGGGCAGGGCCAGCGGGCTCGCATCGAGAGGATGAGCCCGGAGGTGACCGACTCCAACCCCTACAGGTGACGGCGGGGGGAGCTGCCCTGTGTGGGGGGCACCTGCCTTTTGGGGTGGGGCGGGGCAGCTATGTGGGCGTGGGAGGAAGGGACAGCGCTGCCACGGGGCGGGCGGGGAAGGGGCCCTGCGATGTGGGGACAGTGGGGACAAGCCTGGCACGTTGGGGTTTGGGGTGGCAGGGAGGGGTGCTGCCACATGGGGTGTTGTTATGAAGGAGGAGGAAGAGAGCAGGAGCGAGCACTCTCCTCCACCTTTATTGAGACTGCAGAGAGTTGCCGTATGGCGGCTGTCTGTTGTGCAGGGGATTTGTGGGGAGAGGGAGGCTCCCTATACTGTGTGGGGAGGGGACGGTCTGATCCCGACCTTTGTTTAGGAGAGGCTGTTTATTAAGCAAATTAAGACATCTGCTCCAGTTTCATTCACTGAGAAGTGGTGCGATGTGCCACCCCACTCCGTCCCCCCGAAACCCTACCTGTCTCTTGGTGATGAATTATAAGACTGTTTTGTATTTTCTGTCTTTACGGGTGGAGTATTTTACTCTGAGTTACTTACGGAGAAGCTATTCATAAGGAATTAGTATACAGTATTTGGGAGGAAATGGGAGTTGGGACCCCTGGGTTTTTTCCCCACTAATTTACTTTTGCGCATTGGGTCATTTAGAGCTTGATTATCAGAGGTGCTGAGGCTCTACAGTGCCTAACTTGTGGATTTCAGCACTTCTGAGAATCAGTCCCATAACCTTTCTGTGCCTCAGTTTGCCCTGGGATTAAATAATAATATATAGATTTAAAATAGTCCTTCTTTAGGAACACTTCAACTTGTAATACTTTGCACTTATACAGCAATAAAATAATAATATAGAGTAGACACAGTACTTTTTGTAAAGCACTCTGTTATCCTCTATAAAAAAGTGCATATTAGTGCGAAGTATTACTGTTTAAAACATTTCTGCAGCAGGATTGTGTTTAATCCTCTCCATTCTAGTTGTCCTCACAACCTTAAAATAGCTCAGTCCCTCCAAATTTCTCTCATAGTCCAGTATTGAAGTTTAAAGGTTGTTCTCCCTGAAAGCTTTTGTTGTTTTGTTTTTTAAGGTTATCAGATGTTATCAGGGTGTTAACCTGGCACCTGGAAAGCAGTTATTGCAGCCACATTAGTCCTCAAAATGATTGAAAGTGTGTGTGTGCACGTGCGCACGTGTATACACACATCACATCACATTTTATCCTTATCCTGCAAACAATAATAATGTGAATAGTCTCATTTGTTTCAGTGGGACTATTCACACTAATAAAGTAAAGCATGTAAGTGCTTGCAGCATTGGGGCCTTAGTGTTCTATGCATAGAGATGGGTTTCCATTCTCACTTAGTACATGTCCACTTAGCAGTTTTAAGTGTAATGAGCACAGTGGTCTTCAGTTTATTCATTAGAAATCTTTAGAAACTCAGTATGCAGAAGAGTTAAAGACATGTTTTACTGAAGCTAGCAGGAAATGTTTTGTTTTTTTCCCCCAAGCTGCTGCTTACGGAATGTGATGGTGATACTAGTGGGTTGGTTGCACGATATAGTGATATTGGGGCTTTCATTCTGAAATGTGCCTAATACTTCAACTTTCTGAAATGCATAAACCTTAGAAATAGAATTGGAAAACAAATGAAATAAATGGAAAATAATACAAATTAAGGGTCTCAACTTGTTCTTGATAACAGCTAGCTACAAGTGGGAAATTTAATTATTGTAATCCGCTTTAGCAACTACTTACTATTAGATTTCAGGGAAGAGATTATAGTATCTGGTGAGAAATATGACAGTTTATGTTAGTGTTGATTTCAAAGCCATTAACTAATTTTCTTTGCTTTTGAATTTATCAACATTATTATGTTTATTTTCAAATAAATTACCATTTTACCTTAGTCTCAGTCTTCCAATCGCTAGTACATCTTTAATTGTTTGCTTAAACTTTACTTTTTAAAAAAAGTGTTATCTTAACCCTGGTCTACACTGGGGGAGATCGATCTAAGTTAAGCAACTTCAGCTACGTGAATAAAGTAGCTGAAGTCGACGTACTTAGACCTACTCACTGCGGTGTCTTCACTATGGTGAGTCAACTGCTGCTGCTCCCCCGTTGACTCTGCCTGCATCTCTCATGGCAATGGAGTACAGCAGTTGACGGGAGAGCGCTCAGGGGTCGATTGCTGCCCGCCGATCCGGCAGGTAGTGTAGACCTACCCTTAGAGGACTACTATGATAAAACTGAATATATTCATATTATGAATCTTTTTCTTTTAGATACCTTAGTGAAGTAGTGTAAATCTAAATATTTCTGAAATAAAATTATAGATGCTAATCCCTCTTATGTGTCCTTTCTCTGTAATCAAGAATTCCACAGCATTTACTGTGTAACTGTTAATTCTATTGTGAGCTCCTCTGGGGCTTGTTCTTTGTTATTTTACTTTTTCAACTTTTTACTGTTGCTCAAATAATTGTATCTCAAAGTGATTTTGAGAGAGCTTTCCTTGACTACGTTGGATGGTTTATTAATTTATTTGTTTTGTTTTTCCTAGTCGCCTTATGGCATTAAAACGAATGGGAATTGTGAAAGATTATGAGGTATGATTATATTTGTTTTAGAAAATCGTTTTTACTTCCTCTCATGAAGGCTACTTTGTAACATACTAATCTGTATTTATTTTTCTTGACACAGAAAATCCGTACCTTTACGGTAGCAGTAGTAGGTGTTGGTGGAGTTGGCAGTGTGACTGCTGAAATGTTGACAAGATGTGGTATTGGTAAGGTAATATACATTTTCTTCATGTACCAGTAAACAGATGAACTAGTCCGATATATAATAGGTACTGGCAAGATGGATTTCTTGTTTGAGTCTGCATCAATGTTAAAGTCAGCTGAAGCAAACAAAAGAGTAATACTGACAAAAACATTGAAAGTGATGAGTCTTCTGAGGTAGATTGTTCTCTGTTCTCTGCCCTTACCTAGGGCCTAGTCCTGTATGTTGCAGACCACCCTCAGCTGGGTGCTCCACATTCTGCAGGATCAGGTTCCTTCTGTATTGCTTTTAGTTCAGCCATAGAAGGCAGTGAAGGGAAAAAAGATGTTAATAAAGATGGGAGGGTGCATAATGCAGAGAAGGAAGATTGAGCACTTCTGTTTCTCATAAAAACAAGAACAAGGGGACATTCAGTTAAATTGAGAAACAATGAATTTAAAACAAATAAGTGGACACAATTTTTCACACAATGCACAGTTAATACATAGAACTCATTGTCACAAGATATAGAGGCTAAGAGCTTAGCAGCAGGAAAAATTAGATTTATATGGGTAACGAGAACATCCAGAGTTAATATAGTACAGGATTTTTTAAGTGTAAGAAGGGATCTAAACATTCATGCTTCAGGGGAAAAGCTAACCTCTAACTCTTCAGGGTTAGGAAGAAACTTTCCTTATGAAGAGGTTATTCATAACTCATCCTAATAAGCATGTTATATCATTTACATAAAATAGCTAGAGACATAAAGGGTAACAAGAAAATGTTCTACAAATACATTAGAAGGAAGAGCAAGACCAAGGTAGGCCCAGTACTGAATGAGGGGGAAAAAACAATAACAAAAAATGTGCAGATGGCCAAAGTGCTAAATGACTTTTTTGTTTCGGTGTTCACCAAAAAGGTTAGTTGTGATTGGACGTCTAAAGTAGTAAATGCCAGTAAAATGAGGTAGGATCAGAGGCTAAAATAGGGAAAGAACAAGTTAAAAATTACTTAATCGAGTTACATGTCTTCAAATCACCTGTGCCTGATGAAGTACATCCTAAAATACTCAAGGAGTTGACTGAGGAGGTATCTGAACCATTAGTGATTATCTTCGAAAAGTCATGGAAGACAGGAGAGATTCCAGAGGACTGGAAAATGGCAAATAGAGTGCCAATCTATGAAAAGGGAAATAAGGACAACCCAGGGAGTTACAGGCTAGTCAGCTTAACTTCAGTACCCAGAAAGATAATGGAGCAAATAATTAAGCAATCAATTTGAAAACACCTAGAAGATAATAAGGTGATAAGTAACAGTCAGCATGGATTTGTCAAGAACAAATCATGTCAAACCAACCTAATAGCTTTTTTTGACAGGCTAACAAGCCTTGTGGATGGGGGGGAAGTGGTAGATGTGGTATATCTTGACTTTAGTAAGGCCTTTGATACTGTATCACGTTACCTTCTCGTAAACAAATTAGGGAAATACAACCTAGATGGAGCTACTGTAAAGTGGGTGGGTGCATAACTAGTTGGAAAACCGTTCCCAGGCAGTAGTTAGTTATCAGTGTTTCACAGTCAAGCTGGAAGATCATATTGAGTTGGGTCCCGCAGGGATCACTTCTGGGTCTGTTCAGTATCTTCATTAATGATTTAGATAAAGTAATGGCTGAGAGAGTACACTTATAAAGTTTGTGCATGATACCAAGCGGGGAGGAGTTGCAAGTGCTTTGGAGGATAGGATTAAACATCAAAAGCACTTGCAACTCCTCTGGGATCTGGGGGTCATAGTGGATCACAAGCTAAATATGGGTCAACAGTGTAACACTGTTGCAAAACAAGTAAACATAATCCTGGGATGTATTAGCAGAATTGTTGTAAGCAACACAAGAAGTAATTCTTCCGCTGTACTCCCCACTGATTAGGTCTTAACTGGAGTATTTTGCCCAAATCTGGGTGCCACATTTCAGGAAAGATGTGGACAAATTGGAGAAAGTCCAAAGAAGAGCAACAAAAATGATTAAAGGTCTAGAAAACATGACCTTTGAGGGAAAATTGAAAAAAATTGTGTTTGTTGAGTTTGGAGAAGAGAAGACTGTGAGGGGACATGATAACAGCTTTCAAATACATAAAAGGTTGTTACAAAGAGAAGGGAGAAAAATTGTTCTCCTTAGCCTCTGAGGCTAGGACAAGAAGCAATGGGCTTAAACTGCAGCAAGGGTGGTTAGGTTGGACATTAGGAAAAACTTCCTAACTGTCAGGGTGGTTAAGCACTGGAATAAATTGCCTGGGAAGGTTGTAGAATCTGTCATTGGAGATTTTTAAGAGCAGGTTAGACAAACACCTGCTAGGGATGGTCTAGATCAGTGGTTCTCAACCAGGGGCCGGGGGGCCATGAGCAGGTTTCAGGGAGTCTGCCAAGCAGGAGCAGTGTTAGACTCACCGGGGCCCAGGGCAGAAAGTCTAAGCCCTGCCACACAAGGGTGAAGCCTGATGCCCTGAGCACTGCCACCAAAGGCTGAAGTAGAAGCGTGAGCAGCTCAGCCTTGCGGGGTGCCCTGTGACGTGGAGCCCCGGGCAACTGCCCTGCTTGCTGCTACTTAACACCGGCCCTGGCTTTTTTATGCAGAAAAAGAGTTATTGTGGCACAGGTGGGCCATGGAGTTTTTACAGCATGTTGGGGGGCGCCTCAGAAAGAGAAAGGTTAAGAACTCCTGGTCTAGATAATATTTAGTCCTGCCATGAGTGCAGGGGACTGGACTAGATGACCTCTCGGGGTCCCCTTCAGTCCTGTGATTCTATGATTTCTTCTGAAGCAGCTGGTAATGGCCTCTGTCTAAGACAGCATACTTGACTCTTTGGTCTACTGACCTGATAAGAATTGACATATCAGATGTTCTTCTGTATTAGCTAGTCATTCAAAATAAGTAATTGTTATCTACACGCTAGAGTTGCAGCTCAAAAATACAATCAGAAATTAGCTTGAAATAATCACATGTAGGAATGTCAAAAGAACAGTCACTAAAGTTAGTGTCTGTTGATGTGGATAATCTGCGGAATGTTCTGCTTATCTTAGATAAATGTGTTCTGTTAATCATCATTCTGGTGACTTGATCTGAACAGTTTGGTGTTCTCAGGTCTTAGTGACCAGTAGTTTAGGGCCCAGTCCTGCCGTCCATACACCTCCGTAATGGTTTGCACATGAGTTGACTGAGTAAAATGGATGGAACTACTCACATGTGTTTCTAGAATCAGGGCCCGTCAGTTTGCTGTTTATAATACCAACATGGTGTTCATCAGCAGAGACCCATTGAAAAGTCATATATATTATTATAATCTTCATTGTAGCTGCTACTGTTTGATTATGACAAGGTGGAGTTGGCGAACATGAACAGGCTCTTCTTCCAACCTCATCAAGCTGGACTAAGTAAAGTGCAGGCAGCGGAGCACACTTTGAGGTATATAGTGGGGATCAAATATGTTTAACATGGGATGTTAATTCAAACTCTGACATTTCACTGTACAAAAAAACCCACAACAAAGTAGCATGTTCATATGGAGTCAAAGGACTGACCTGCACTAGAATTTTTGCTGGTATAATGTAGGATATTTTTTGTTTGTTGTTGTTTATGACATTTTTACACTGGAAAAGTCTTAGTGCAGATGCAGTTAGACCAGCAAAAAGTGATTTTTGCCAGTAAAGCTTTTCATTCAGAGAACTGGCATAAGCTACACTATGCTAGAAGGGTTTGCCAGAATAGCTATACTAGCTAACCTTTTCTAAGCTAAAGTGTGTTTCTAAAAACTCCAGCAGTGCTTGTGACTTGGAGGAGTTGAGGGAGTTCTTTGGGGTTGTTAATGCATTCATTATCACTGTTGACTGATTTTATTTTCTTTACAAGGAATATTAATCCTGATGTTCAGTTTGAAGTACATAACTACAATATCACAACAGTGGATAACTTCCAACATTTCATGGACAGAATAAGGTAAAATGTTTTGAGAAACACACACGACTTCTTTTGACGTTTGTTAGTAAATAAAGTGATAAATGGGAATGAGGATATGGAGGTAGACATCACCATATCTGAGGTAGAAGCGAAACTCAAACAGCTTAATGGGACTAAATCGGGGGGCCCAGATAATCTTCATCCAAGAATATTAAAAGAATTGGCACAAGAAATTGCAAGCCCATTAGCAAGAATTTTTAATGAATCTGTAAACTCAGGGGTTGTACCGTATGATTGGAGAATTGCTAACATAGTTCCTATTTTTAAGAAAGGGAAAAAAGTGATCCAAGTAATTATAGGCCTGTTAGTTTGACATCTGTAGTATGCAAGGTCTTGGAAAAATTTTGAAGGAGAAGGTAGTTAAGGACATTGAAGTCAATGGTAAATGGGACAAAATACAACATGGTTTTACAAAAGGTAGATCGTGCCAAACCAACCTGATCTCCTTCTTTGAGAGAGTAACAGATTTTTTAGATAAAGGAAACGCAGTGGATCTAATTTACTTAGATTTTAGTAAGGCGTTTGATACTGTGCCACATGGGGAATTATTAGTTAAATTGGATAAGATGGGCATCAATAGGAAAATTGAAAGGTGGATAGGGAATTGGTTAAAGGGGAGACTACAACGGGTCCTACTGAAAGGTGAACTGTCAAGTTGGAGGGAGGTTACCAGTGGAGTTCCTCAAGGATCAGTTTTGGGACCAATCTTATTTAATCTTTTTATTACTGACCTGGGCACAAAAAGTGGGAATGTGCTAATAAAGTTTGCAGATGATACAAAGCTGGGAGGTATTGCTAATTTAGAGAAGGACAGGGATACCCTACAGGAGGATCTGGATGACCTTGTAAACTGGAGTAATAGGAATAGGATGAAATTTAATAGTGAGAAGTGTAAGGTCATGCATTTAGGGATTAATAACAAGAATTTTAGTTATAAGCTAGGGCGCATCAACTAGAAGTAACGGAGGAGGAAAAGGACCTTGGAGTATTGGTTGATCATAGGATGACTATGAGCTGCCAATGTGATATGGCTGTGAAAAAGCTAATGTCATCTTGGGATGCATCAGGAGAGGTATTTCCAGTAGGGATAAGGAGGTTTTAGTACCATTATATAAGGCACTGGTGAGACCTCACCTGGAATACTGTGTGCAGTTCTGGTCTCCCATGTTTAAGAAGGATGAATTCAAACTGGAACAGGTACAGAGAAGGGCTACTAGGATGATCCGAGGAATGGAAAACTTGTCTTATGAAAGGAGACTCAGGGAGCTTGGCTTGTTTAGCCTAACTAAAAGAAGGTTGAGGGAGATATGATTGCTCTCTATAAATATATCAGAGGGATAAATACCAGAGAGGGAGAGGAATTATTTAAACTCAGTACCAATGTGGACACAAGAACAAATGGATATAAACTGGCCACTAGGAAATTTAGATTAGAAATTAGACGAAGGTTTCTAACCATCAGAGGAGTGAAGTTTTGGAATAGCCTTCCGAGGGAAGTAGTGGGGGCAAAAGATCTATCTTGCTTCAAGATTAAACTCGATAAGTTTATGGAGGAGATGGTATGATGGGATAACATGGTTTTGGTAATTAAATATTCATGGTAAATAGGCCCAATGGCTGTGATGGGTTTTTAGTGGGGTAAGATCCAAGTTAACTGGGAAAGAATTTTCTGTAGTATCTGGCTGATGAATCTTGCCCATATGCTCAGGGTTTAGCTGATCGCCATATTTGGGGTCGGGAAGGAATTTTTCCAGGGCAGATTGGAAGGCCCTGGAGGTTTTTGCTCCTCTGTGCATGGGGCAGGGTCCTTGCTGGGGTCTCTGCTCCTTGGGTCTTCAAACCAATTTGAGGACTTCAATGCACGATATGGTGTGAGGCTTTTTGGAGTGGTGGGGAAATTCTGTGGCGCGTTGTGCGGGGCGCTAGATGATCAAGTTCTGCTAAATACTTGAACTTGAAGCTAAAATACTCTATTGGCTTCATAATTTTTTTTAAACATTAGGCCTCTAACTGGAAAACAATCGCATTTTATGTAAAATATATGTATATAAAGACACTTTTTTGTTTCCTAGCTCTGTTATTCAAGTAGATCGTGGTAAATAGCAATTACTTTTGTCTCACTTTAAATTAAATTTGTTCCATGTTTATATTAGTGTATTTTTAGCTTTCCAGCCAAATTAAAGATTCCATATGTTGTCATTCTTCTTTAAAAAGACATCAAATTGCACAGTCCCTTCTTTTGAGTATCTTGACTCTCATTTCCATTGAAAATAACACAATGTAATTAATATCTCAGAAATTAGTTCTGAAATGACTGCGGATATGTTATGTAAAGGGAAACCATTAGGGGAAATAAAAATTTATACTACATTTCTTAAAATTTGTAAGAGGTGCAAATTATGCCCAGTGAAATTTCCTTTAGTCTGAAATATCCTCTTATCTGAATCTCTTATGACTCCTCAGATGACCTCATTTTTAAGGACTGCCTTTTTACTTAATTCTATTGATGTCGCTGCACGTTTTGGATAAACAGGGTTTTATTGAATTGTTTGAGACTCTGTGAGTGTTAAATAGGATTCAGACTATTTTGTTAGATAGGAATGTATTTCCCATCAATTTATGTAGTGAAAAGAATGAAATGTCTTGACTACAATTTTAATAATGTGTTTTGCAAACCTTCCTCATGTAAACTGTAGTATTTACTTTAGTTATGGTGGGTTAGAAGAAGGGAAACCTGTTGATCTTGTGCTGAGCTGTGTGGACAACTTTGAAGCTCGTATGGCAATTAACACTGTAAGTACAGCACCTGAGGTCTGCGCATACACTTGCGGGTTTGCTAATATATTCTTCCATTATTATTATTATTATTTACAGAAGTTATGTGCACCATAAAGAAGGCAAAACCTTGTTAAGGAATCTGTTGATATATGTAAAACTAAGGAAGTTTGGGGAGGAAATGACCTTTTTATTCAGTTCTTGGAGCATAAAGAGTAGACGTAAAACAGGTTACATGTGATAGTAGGTAATGGTTAGTAAAGGAAAAGTGTATTTTTCGTTAAATTTTATTTGTATTGAGTCATCTTGTAAACGCTGTCTAAATTCACTAATGACTTTCTTTGTGTAACTATCCTATGGAAAATTGATAAGAATCGTTATATTTTTATGTACATTATTAAGGCAGTATACCGTTTTTACTGTGCAGTTTCCCTTCACAGTTGTAACAAATACAGCGTATTTTCCAAAACACACATTTTTGTTGCCATCCACCTGCTAGCTTGATCAGCATGTGTATATATGATGCATATAACTGTATAAATATAATAGATCCATGCTTGTGTGTGTAAAATAAACATAATTAAAGGGAGAAAACAGTAAAGAAATTGAATAGAAAATCCTAATAAACACCATATTAGACTCCTGGGCCCTGATCTGGCAATTGTGAGTCGGAGCCCTGTACATGTGCAGAGCCCCATTGATTTTTATGACACTCCAGATAAGTGCAGAGATCTGCCCTCCCGAATCTAATACCCATATTTGGACTTCAGTTTTTATTATTGTCACTAAAACAAGGCACAGAAATAGTTTACAGTAATACCTCTTTTTTCATCTGACAGTTCGTTTTTCTTCTGGCTTTAATGGGTAAAAGTCACAGATTCATCAGTATAATGCATGATTTCTAATAACCTTTTGCAACAAACTTCTGCAGTGTTATTTTATTGTAACTCTTGTGTATGTTTGTTCTTTCAAGGCCTGCAATGAGCTTGGACAAACATGGATGGAATCTGGAGTGAGTGAAAATGCAGTCTCAGGACATATACAACTTATCATACCTGGTGAATCTGCTTGTTTTGCGGTATGCAATCCTTGGCCAAGGGGTCCTTTTCTGAAATCTGGGATCCACTGGATTTCTAGTTTGTGCTTTTTAAAACAGGATGTGTGGTGTGAAACTGGTATTTCAAGGCTATATGGCCACAACTTGTATTAGTTCAGAGTAATTCTGGTTATTGCCTTTGTGTGGTCTGAGGTTTTTATTTGTTTTGTTTAATGAGAGTTTTTTTTCTCCTCCCAGTGTGCTCCCCCGCTTGTAGTTGCTGCCAATATTGATGAAAAAACATTAAAACGAGAGGGAGTTTGTGCAGCCAGCCTTCCTACCACTATGGGAGTAGTTGCGGGGATTCTTGTACAAAATGTCCTGAAGTAAGTTATTTGAATGAACTTCTGTGACTAGACTTACAATATCTTGATATAAAGAATCCATCAGGCTTCTTTCTGATAATTTTAAGAGCTTCACATCTTCAGGACTTTATAAACTTATGAGATGCGTGATCTTTCTTTCCCAGTGACAGATCTTCCTCTTTCATACACTCTCATGTGCAAAGGCGTTTGCTTAAAGGAGTTGATACGAAGATATGTGGTACATGGGTACATCTACACTGTAAAACAAAACCCTACTGTAGCGAGTCTCAGAGCCTGGGTCAACTGTCTCAGGTGCTATGCAGCTAAAAACAGCAATGTAGATTTTCCTGCTTGGGCTGGAACCCATACTCTGAAACCTGGGGGGGGGGGGGGGTGCTGGGTCTCAGAGCCCAGGCTCCAGCCTAAGCAGAAAAGTCTACACTGCTGTTTTTAGCTCTTTAGCTTGGGCCTAAGTTAGCTCAGGCTCTGAAACTTGCTGCCATGTTTGTTTTTCCCCTCAGTGTAGACTTATCCGAGTCACTGAACTTTTTGTTTTGCAGCTACCGTTTCCTACAGATCGTTTCAAGTGCTCATTCGCGATACTTGGTTTTTTATTCATCTTGAATTACGAAGCCTTGAAGAACGTCAAAGTAGCAGAAAAACGTCTGTTTCCTTTGCACAAAGCATGGGAAGAGAATTAGTCCTGCATAGTTTCTGTTCAGTGATGCCAAACAGCTATAAATATTTTTACTGTATAGTAACATTTTCTACAAGTAATTATCACATACTCCAACTGTTCAAAGAACTATGTGCACGAGAAATTTTGAACAATTCTGTGTGCATAACTTTATATTTCCCTTTCCTTATTTTTAAGTCTGGAAAATAGGATTTTTGTCTAGAGTTTGTGCGCTAAAATCCTATTTTAGACACACATTCTGGGAATAATTGTCCAGGTGCTGTTAGCTGCAGATGATGAATTAAAAACAATCCAGATCTCGTGAAGTAAAACGGGGTTGTTTTGCCTTCAGCTACAGAGGTATTCCATTGACTTTAGTATATGTTGTATGAATGCCTTTACGTAAAAGCAGAATTTGGTCCTGTAGTAATAAATATAAGAAATTAACTAATTTTAGTGTGGGATTTCCAAGACGTCATCCTGGCCTAATTTTGCTCCCACTGAACATTTTTCTTCAGTGGGAGGAGAGTTAAACCAACGTTAATTACTTTTGAAAATTCCATCCTGTCTGAATGGGATTGGACACAAGTAGGGTGGAGGTTGCACTATTAGACATTCTAAACTTATCATTTCCTGGATTTGCAGTCAAGTCTCAGATTTCATCCGTGATCCATCTCTCATCTTTATACGTATACAAACACAGGGCCAAAGTCTCATGCGGTATAATTCAGGATAGCTCCATTATTTGATAAAGCTATGCTGATTTACACCAAGTGAGGATCTACTACATAATTTCTGAAGTAGGTATAGGTAATTTAAAACCAAATACCAGTAATTTAGGGTACTAATACAGTATGACGACTGAGGGGTACAAAAAATAACATCTGGAAAAAACATTTAGGCAACTCGCTCTGAATCTGTGAACAAGAAAATACTTCCATTTCACTGCAGTTCTCATTCTGTTTTTCCAGGTTTCTATTAAATTTTGGTACTGTGAGTTACTATCTTGGTTACAATGCGATGCAGGATTTTTTTCCAACTATGGCAATGAAACCAAATCCACACTGCGATGACAAAAATTGCAGGAAACAGCAGGAAGAATACAAGGTAAAAATCCATCTGATAATGCATGCTGAAGATCTGTGGTAAATAAAGCAGATCATTCAGAATTGAAGCAGGGTTGACAGGCTGTTTCCTGCTGGTTGCACAAACTTTAAAGTTAGATGATTTGAAATATTTTTAGAAGTATTTGTAGGTTATCTTAAAGTAAGAGGTAAGCAAAGTGACTTATGAAACTTATCACTTTGCAAAAAAAACCCCAATCAAATATTTGTCACTTAGGCCCAAATCCTGCAACCTCTTACAGATGTGCTTAAGTGTGCAAAGATGACATTTAATGGATTTCTTTAAGAAATTATGCTTTGCTTTCTGATGAATAAAGAAGATTTAAACTGTTATTTTTTATATTATTAAAAATATCAGGAGTGTCACCTTTGGTCTTCCCTGCTTTTGCTCTAAGATTTGTTGAAGGTTTAAAGATGATATATACTGTAGGCTCTCTTAACCCCTTAATTGAAGGGTGAGAGTGTTGAATATTCAAAGTCTTATTTTCCCCAAAATGTTCATTAGTCATTGATGTTGAATTGGAGGAAGAAATTATTTCAGGCCTTCTTTATACATAGTAAAGGAGCATGCCCTTTTTTAATCCTGTGTAGGTCACCCTTAAACGTTTCCTAAAAGGCCATAAACAAACTCTCAAATATTTAGAATGACTTTACTCTCCTCAATATTTCAACAAAAATAACCACAAATTCATGTTTTTGTTTTGTTTTTTCATGTTCTCTCTCCAGGAAAAAACGGCTGCACAACCAAAACAAGTAGTAGTTGAACAGGAAGAAGAAATAGTGCATGAAGACAATGACTGGGGTAAGCAATCACCTCAAACTTGAACGGACACCACCAACAAACTCAGGGAATTTAACTAATCTTTATTAAACACTATCGGTTCACATTTTTTCACTTCTAATAAATCTGACAATTAAACTAAATCAATTTTAATGTTTTGATTCTCATACTGAACAGGTTAAAATTTAGTCTCAACACTACAGAAGTATATTTAAGTAAAATATTTTCATTTTATTTCTTTAATCTTGTGAAAATATATATTCATTAGATTTTATAGGATCTTTTATACAAAACTTAAGCTTGGGTCTAAGTTTATTCCTTTAAATATCTTGTCAACAAATCTTCATTATAACCAAGTTTCGGTAACATATATAAATTCCCTGTAAGGGCATTAACAACTGAGAGAATTGCTGGGCTGAAACTGTCAGCGAACTTGTCAAATAATTAAATTCATACACTCTTGAAATGGTTACTCTTTGAATATTGTATTTTTAATAAAATGAAAATATAAGCTTACTTTCAGGAAAAAAAAGTCCTTAAAATGAATGACTTAGACTATGAAAGAGTACCAATAGAGGAGTTGAAAGGCCCATCCCTGGAGCCCTTTAAAATACGTTGTATGGAAGATGACTTAAAAGGTCTCTTACTGGATGTACTGTTAAAGTACTTTTTTTATTTTCATAAGCTCTGGTTGCTGCAGTTTTCATCTAATGGTAATAAACTGTAATCAGAGAATCAGAGTTAAATAATTAGTTGACATTTTGACTTTTTGATACTTAGGTATTGAGCTAGTATCAGAGGTTTCAGAAGAGGAGCTGCAGGCTGCTTCTGGTCCACTTCCTGATCTTCCAAAGGGAATTACAGTAGCATATACTATACCAAACAAGGTAATGTTAAGTCCCCTTTTTTTTTATAGATTTATTTAATTACAGTATTAGAAGGTTCTATATTATGTGAAACTAGTCAACAATGAAAACACTGTAAAGCAGTTGTCTGCTGTATCCTTTGGAATGTACTAAAAAGCATTCAGTTATTACATAAACTGATGAAAATACATGAGTTATCAACTTATTACCATTTGTCCATGGTAAAACTCCATCTGTAACAATTCTAGTAAAATAACTGCATGCCTATACATTCAATTTGAGTATATCTTACAATCAAATTATTATTGCTTGAGTCTGAAGAATAAAATTATTTTAAACAATTTATTAGCTTGAAACTAGTTCTGAGGGCAACAAAAATGAATGAATTTTAGTTTCTCTATTCGTGTTGAGGTTTAAGCACACTGAGGAATTCCCCAGTTGTTTAGGCAGTCAAAACCATTTTTACAAATTACTTTTATCCTTTAAGAAAGATGCAGTCAAATTACCATAAAGCTGAAGCTCAGTCTGTGGGAGGTTTAACTTCCATTCTTATGCATCAAAACCTAATTTTCTTAAATTCTAATAAAAATGGAGTTTACCAATGGATTTTGGGTCAGATGTATAAAACTGTAAATGGCTATGGAATAGCTTATATTGTAATGTTTGGGCCTGATCTTGCAAGAACTCTGTATTCTGAACTCCTTGGGTCCATTATATCCTGTTTTATTCACAGCAAAGAAACTAAATTTTTCCCCCTTTTGCCAATAGGAAGAGAACGTTGTAGCTGTGGAAACAGTGGCAGAGTCTGAGGAAAGCCTAGAAGAACTCATGGCCAAGATGAAGAACATGTAGGCAAATGGAATATTGAATTAAACATTTGAGATCTTGCACTAGAGCTGGATCCAGAAATAAGGTCCTGTAAGAAATTCCAGTCTTAAAACTTGAACTTTTGGTAAAACAGAACCATAAAAACTTGCAGATGGCATCTCATAACTGTATTCTGGTGTCTATCTATATACTGCTTTAAAATACCAAGTTGTACTACTGTAAGTTTTCATTTCTCATCATGCTAGGGTCCAAATCTCTAGGGGAAAATGAAAGATAATAGACAAACTGACACAAAGTTAAGCATGGTGCCTGATCTGGAATGATATTCCACATGTTGGCAATATTGGGGGAAATTAAAGGTGGAGTAACCTTGTCTGGATCGAGTGGTTCAGGGGATTGATAATGGAGTCTTTAACACATATGTTAGTGCTTCAAATGCATACCAGACTTGTGGTAGTTATCATAGATATCCTAGAATATCAGGGTTGGAAGGGACTTCAGGAGGTCATGTAGTCCAACCCCGTGCTCAAAGCAGGACCAATCCCCAATTTTTGCCCCGGATCCCTAAATGGCCCCTTCAAGGATTGAACTCACAACCCTGGCTACTGTTCAATGGGCTATGTTGTCTAAGTTTGTAGCGTGGCTATACCTGTTTTGTGGGTAAATGGAAGGCTTCAATCTTTTCATAGGCCATAAATTTCACTAGAAAAATTGTAAAGGGTTGAGTGATTTGTCAGTTTGTCACATCCCTATTCTTTCTTAAACAAGTATTTGTGCATACATTGCTTTGTGTTTGATAGTGGTGTGAGTATGCAGTTGTAAGGCACAAGTGTTTTGGTATGAATTCTTTGTTACCTGATCAATGACTGAGTTGACCAAAACAGCTCCTAACATATCACTGCAGTTGTCAGCCATGTGTTTACATAGTAAAAATGCTTATGACTTATCACGAAAAAAAATTAACTGCACAGGAAATTTCAGTCATTTCAAAAACACCTACAAACCTTCCTTTGTTTACTTTTAAAAGCTAGTTATTCTAAAATCCATTTAGAATTATTTATTTGGCTAGCATTTAGCTCAGGACCCCTCAAGGGGTCACAAGGTTATAATGGGGGGGGGATTGCGAGCTGTCAGCCTCCACCCCAAACCCTGCTTTGTCTCCAGCATTTATAATGGTGTTAAATATATAAAAGTGTTTAATTTATAACAGGGAGTCACACTCAGAGGCTTGCTATGTGTACAAAAGTTTGAGAATCACTGATTTAGCTATTACTTTACATGGCTGACAGCTTTATAAAAAGGCAACTATTTACAATTTTATCCTATGTACAGTTTTACAAAAATAGTAATTAATACATATATAAAATTATTGGAGAGATGTTGTTAGTGTATGCAAAATAGTTCTTGACTTCTGACTATAGTTAGTAAAGCAACTTTTACACTTGCCCATTCCAAATTGTAAAGTGAGGTGGTAGAGTCAAGACCTAACTTTGCAGAAGATTGTGTACCAGTATTTAAAAAAAAAAAGCCCTGTGGCTGATGATGTTTTTCACCTTTGCAATTAAAGCATATTGGAATGTAGAAGTCTAAAAAGAACCATAGTATTTCTCTGACTGAGAAATCTAGTGGAAATTTCTGATTTTTTGCAACTCAGTGAACAAATACACTTCAATGCTGTATATTTTTGCTAACTTTGTTCATTTATGTGGTAAGCTACAATATATTATCAACTTAAATTTTTAACAGTGAATCTTAATAATGAGACCTTGCTATGGGTCTGTACTATTAAATTTCTGCTGGTACACTGGAAGACACTATCAGTTTTGATGTGGAGTTCTACTGTGTTCATTAAGTTACACAGAATTTGGCTTATACCAAATATACAAACGCTTCAATTTCATGTACGAACAGAACTTGGTGGGACACCTTTTCTACAGAAGAAGAATCAAGAGCTATTACACTTGTTTTGGACACCATTACAAAGAAGTCAAACATCCATCTGTTTGAAATTTAGAAGATTACAATTTTTGTCTAGATAAAAAACGCTTTTCCTATGCTGCAAGAACCTTATATCATTTGTGTAGTCTGTTAGTTGAAGAAACTTCTAAGTTTTAGTGCTGAATGTCAGTTTTGATTTTGTACATTTTTCATTGCAGCAGTATAAAACTAATCAAATTTTTTTTTCTATTCAGAAAAAGTGCTGAATGGGGGGGGAAATTTTCCCCCTTTTACAGTAAGCAATTAAGTCAAAGGGGAAGATAGATAATATCCCTTTGAGATAAACAGCCTCGGCACTTTAAGACTAGCTGAATAATTGGATTAGTTCATGAATGAAGTTTCTTCATAGATCTGACACTTTATGAACTCTAAAGTATGAAAAGGAACATGTCACTTTTAAAGAATTTATTTGTAAACAAACAGACTTAATTGATCATTGTAACTAACTGGGAGAAATACTCCATTGTACATTTAATACAAATCAGTTTACTGCTATTCACCGATGCTATTCAGTTCTTTCTCCTGGTTAATACAAGCATGCTTGTATACTGGAGTTTAATGAGCAGTTTTTCTCTACTAGAACTGAGGTGTGTGCACCAGTCCCCAATTAATTCATATGCTTCTCTCAGGTTACTCACTGAAAAAGCATATTCCTAGTAAAAATAAGTGGCTATAACTGACACCAATTAAAAAGCTTTAGCTAGAGAGGACAAAAATATCAGTCAGAGCTTGTCTATATCTTCAGTTCATACATGACAAGTGGGGGTGTAAATCTACAGTGCATTAGCATGCTGCACACTGAGGCACTAAAAGTTCTGTAGTGCACTTCAATCTGTTTCAGAGTTTAAATCAAAACACACGACAGAAATTTGTGTGTGTGGTATCAGGGTCCCAATGGCCAGTTAGTGTGAAGGCTGGTGGGCTGCAGATTTACACCCAGGCTTGCCCTGCACAAACTGACCACATAGACAAGCCCTCTGTCAACAACCTTGATCTAAAAACTCAAAAGCATGTCTTACTAAGAACCCAGTTTCCTTAAAGCCAAAACATGGGCAGGTGGAGTTTGGGGGTATTTTCCTTCTTTTGGTGGAAACACAATACATGGTTCTCAAAATTACTGTGTCCCTGAATAACAAAGTGCTCCTGAAAGACAGAAAGGTATAGTAACAAAATTCCACAAACACCATAACAGTGTGGACACTGAAGGAACTGATGTGGAATAAAAACTAGTAACTATTTTGCTGATTATACCCTGCAGCTCACAGGTCCTCTACTAAAAAGAGGTATAGAGAAAAAACAAAACTGATGTTTTCTGGCATGACAGCTTCAGACTGAACAATAACTAATAGAACACACTCAGCAGTCTTTCACTAAATGCCTGTGTGTAACACAGAGGTAACTCTGTACCACATGGTCCACAAAAAAGTTAACATGAACAGAAATATTTTAAATTAAAATGTAAATTTTTTGTTCAGATTACCATTCGTCACAAATATTTCATCTTCATTTTTTTAATCTCTGAAGAATGCTCAGATATATTTTTTAACACTTTAACCATCAAGCATTCTTTACTAGCATTTGTTTTTGTGCCAGTTTGCATCACCTTTGTCCATGGTCTAGAAAAACATTTGGAGATAATGTACTTCTTAAACTGAAAGTGTCTCCACTTGATGAGGGTCGGGAAGCTGCTTTTCCTCCTACCAACGAAGTCTCTGCTTCTTTGATTTCCATGGCTCTCTTGTACAGCTCAGCAGCCTTCTCGAAATCTCCTCCTTCATAGCTTTGGGAGAGAAACCAAAATTTAACCAACCCTGCCCCACCAACTCACTCCTGTACTGAAGTCTGCAAAAACATACAATTAAACAGCAAAAAACTTTGTTAATGCCGAGTTCAGATTGCCTGGTGTTAACCTGTGCCCTTCCAGGATATTGAGTTCAGCAAAAATTTCTGAAAACAAGGAAATACAGAGGTGAGGTACGGTAAAGGATCATACAACCTTAACGCTGGCACTAGTCACGAGGAATTATCAGCATGCACTCCCGCTGCATTCACTGTGTTAAGTGTAACTGCATTGCATCATGGAGGAATAAGCTGAAACAGCTTGGAAGAGTTGTGATTGTGGTAGGACAAAACCCTGGATCCAAGTTCCCCCAGGTTTGTTGTCAAAGGAAAGAGGTGCATATATACCTCAAGGTTCCAGTCTTCATTATATCAGACTGTCGCCCTACTATAATTAACAAAGTTACCAACACTGTCTACATTTTAGCCCCTAAATTGCCTAATAAAGCATTTTCTATTGATATAATTATTCACATTTGTTAATTTTTTTTTAATGGAAGCAGTTCCCTATATTAGGTGACAGGAGAAAAATATCTGGCCTTACCTCAACACAGCTAAGTTTTTTAGCGTTTCTCCCACACGAGGATGCATATGACCAAAGCTGTCTTCATAAATCTTTAATGCACATTCATAAAGAGGTAAGGCTTCAATGTGCTTTTTCTTTTTGGGTGGGGGAAGGAAAACAAAATGAAAGCCAGTTGTTTAAATGGGTATTCCACATACTATTTGGTTTCTGCAAACTGTATAGACACATCCTAGACTTGAGTTTCTTTGCTAAACCAAAACAATGTTTTGTTTTTAAAAGAATTGCTGTTTACATAAGAGTGAGACTTTTAAAGCAACCTAAAAGATTTGCACACTGAGTTCCCATTAATTTTAGGATAATTGGGGTCAGAGTTCCTTAGGTGGCTTTGAAAGTCTCATCCTAAATGAATAGGTTATAAACTACCAAAACACATTCCTGGGTTTTAGCTAATCAGCTGTAACCTCTTATTGAAAGCCAGGTTTACAGATCCCAAGCAACATAACAGAACAATATATGATATATTAAGTAGAAGTGTTTAATGTTATTGATACTAAGGAAACATTTACCGAGATCTTACCATCCATTTGTTTCTTTCTCTCTGACCTATATTAGGTTTAGAGTATAAAGTCTACAACTGCAGTCTTATCAGAGCTTAAAAGCCTAGGCAAGACTACACTTGATAAATGTGCATGAAGGAGTGCCAGAATTTCAGTCGGTAATGCTCCCTCAGTCAGTACTAAACCAGTGCTTTAGATGGTAGTTTTAAATCAAAGGCCATGATTTATATGATTTATTAAAAATCCCATGGTATCTTTTACAAGATTGAAGGGGTTAACAACCTTTTACCGCTGGCTAAATTCCAATCAGTGCAATCACATTTTCCTGCTAAATATGTTCTTTCGGATTGTAAAAATGTACATGGAGATTCTGAATTCCCTGACGGTGTCCTTTTATATGCTGTTAAATTTCATATATAAAATTGCTGAAATATATAAGACAGGAAAAACCTACCATCTGACAATAAAGAACAGCCAGGTTTACCAAGGCAGTAGCTACGCTAGGGTGCTTTGGACCAAATGATTTTTGTCGAATTTCAACAGCCAACTCATACAGAGGCACTGCCTTGTCAAGCTTTCCCTAGAAAACAAACCAATGTTGAAACCAGCCATGTAGTTATAGCAGGCTTAGATGCATGTATAATTTTTTTGTGAATAAAGAGCTTAGAAAAGTTGTAATTGCTTTCAGGAGAAGAAAGTTCAGAATTCTTGATCTATATGCTCATAGACTTTAAGGTCAGAAAGGACCATTATGATCATCTAGTCTGACCTCCTGCACAACGCAGGCCACGGAATCTCACCTACCCACTCCTGCAATAAACCTCTCACCTATGTCTGAGCTATTGAAGTCCTCAAACCATGGTTTAAAGACTTAAAGGTGCAGAGAATCCTCCAGCAAGTGACCCGTGCCCCACGTTGCAGAGGAAGGTGAAAAACTTACAGGGCCTCTTCCAATCTGCCCTGAAGGAAAATTCCTTCCTGACCCCAAATATGGCCATCAGCTGAACCATGAGCATGCGGGCAAGACTCACCAGCCAGATACCCAGGAAAGAATTCTCTGTAGTAACTCGGGTCCCATCCAATCTAACATCCCATCACAGGCCATTGGGCCTATTTACCACAAATAGTCAAAGATCAATTAATTCCCAAAATCATGTTACCCATCATACCATCTCCTCCATAAATTTATCAAGCTTAATCTTGAAGCCAGATAGGTCTTTTGCCGCCACTGCCTCCCTTGGAAGGCTGTTCCAGAACTTCACTCCTCTGATGGTTAGAAACCTCTGTCTAATTTCAAGTCTAAACTTCCCGATGGCCAGTTTATATCCATTTGTTCTTGTGTCCACATTGGTACTGAGCTTAAATAATTCCTCTCCCTCCATGGTATTTATCCCTCTGAAGTTCACTTAAACCTTGCAGAATTGGGCTCTTAATGAATATCTACAATAAACCATTCCTGTTGATCATCATTAATGGTCCAAGTGCCTTCAACTCCCATTTAAGTCTTTCCCGGAACTGTCTCTAGCTCTGATTATTTCTTAGGCATGTTCCTTCCTGATTCATTGGATGTACTGAATTAGTGATTTAATTTTTTTTTTACTTGGGATTCTATTTCTGGAATATGGATGTTTGACATTTAGCATGAAATGGAAATTCAGGAACACGTCCAAGGTAGTTTTGGATGTGTAAAGTTTATAGTTTTCTCTGTTTCTTCACACCCACCAGCTATGATTTTATATCAAGAGGTAACTGTGAAAAAGGTCAATCACTGTCTACGGTCAAGTATCTAACCATTCTTTATGTACCTCCAACTCTAGTCTCTTCCCTTCCACTCACTCCCCTTGTGTTTTCATTTATGTTCATCCAAGCGCAGCAGTTTGCTTTTCTGGCAGAGTCCACTGCAGCAGTCTGAAATGGGAAAAGCTCATGTGATCCCAACCCCTTTCAGAATGCTGCTGGAGGGGTTAGCAGTAAAAGCACTTGTGCAAGAGCACAGGAACAGTCTGGCCAAGAAATAAGTTTACAGGATTCTTCCAATTTAGAAGAATGGCAAAATGCAGAAAGAAACACTCATCTACTATCACTCTATTCTGAATTTGAACTCTTCAGTGTAACAGTTGGAAACGTTAGGGTTCACGTTCTGCCTAGCCGCAAGGCTGAGCACAGTTTACATTATTCCTATAGACAGGGATTCCCCTTCATATCGGACCAGACAACTGACAATTTATATTTATAAGGTATTTTGAAAACACAAAATTACTATTGTCACCACATAGAGTATTCAGCAAGAGAGTGATTGCTTATTTTTCACTGAAGTGAAACGAAGTAGAAATGGCTCAAGATATCCACAGAGAGAGCTGCTGCCAGTTCTATTTAAATACTTAGATGGCTGACTGGGTTCATATGTAAAAATTAGGAGAAATTATTCTGAAGTGCCAAAAATATGGTGTCTGCATCTGGGTTGATTGGAACAAAAGCTTGCAAAGGATGCTGCATACAGTATGCAGAGGAACACAAAATATGAAAGTGGAGAAGAGATTTCCTGGCAACAGCCATAATGCTGTCTTCTAACTGAGTTGTTTTCTTTGTGGTAAATATACTGGCTGAATAAATTTGTCTGAATGAAGTTAAAGGAAAAGCTTGTAGGTGCCCAATACACTGAAGACATTATTAAAGAACAGCTTTTCTTTAGGAAAATGTTCCACAGAGCTCCTACGAGGTGCAAAAACAGAGAGAACTTTAATTTATATACTTAAATTTGTTTTTTAGTGTGTTTCTGGAGGATGCTGATATCCAAACTCTTTTTGATACTCTGCCTCTTTTGGGATGGAAAGTGCAAGACATTATTTTTAAATGATGTACAAAGCACACACATACTTACCACCTTTTTGTAGAGTACTGCAAGGTGTTTCACAGTGTAAGCCAGTGAGGGATGATCAGGGGCTAGTGCTCTCCTCCTAATTTCTAAAGCTCTTTCATACAGTTCCTCAGCCTTATCGTAGTGTTTCTTTTCATTGTACAGAGCTGCAAGGTTGTTCAAAGACTGTGCACAGTCTGAGTGGTCTGGTCCCAGGACCCTCTCCCTCATTTCTAGGGAGCGCTTCAGAAAAAGTTCAGCTGTCCTACAAACAAATTCACACAGCAATACTCCAAAGATTAAATGTGTGCATACCATGAAAGTTACTTTTGTGCCTGCAGAAGTGCCATTGTATTCAAATAGAAATTTCAACTGCCTCTAGTGAAACAAATACAGCAGAGCAACTCATTTAAACACAGTCTTAGTGAAAAACTGTATATCCAAACACAAAAGACGGACAATAGATAACAGCACGCTGTCTGACTGAAAGCATGTAGTTACAGAGTTAACCAGAGCATCAAATGCAATCTCAGAGCACTCATACTAGCTGCCCAAAAGCTAGCACTTTAGGTCAGTTGGGTAGAATTCTTTTCTTATATTACATTACCTTGTGAATATTCCTTTTGAGTCTGATCTGTACCCTTTTTTATACAAGTAAAGTAACCCATACTCATGCGAATAATCCCACTGGCTTCAGTGTAACTCCTCCCAGGAGCAAACATTCATGAAACAAGTAGCAAGATCAGGTGACCAACTCTGGAACTATGTAAAAATTCAGCAAGTAGCAGTTAGAATTCCCTTTGCAAACAATTGCAAAGACTGTAAAAGAAATAGGTTTATGTACAATAGGCTCAGCTGCTATAATTTACACATTAAGAACTAGCTTAAGGCTTTCTCTGAAGTAATTGTTCAAGTGTCTATCCTATCAAACAGTTATGTATTTTATTACATTATCGTGGTACTATTCTATCACACATTTAATATTTTCCCTCTGTGGCAAAAAGAAAGTGATTCCCCATAGAATCCCTGCATGCAATATCCATTACAGCTAGGTAGTTTGTCATCGTGACAAACACACATTCTATTGGACAAATAACCAGGGAAGAGTATAACAATATTGCTCGGGCATGCAGGAGTGAAATCAGGAAAGCCAAATCACACCTGGAGTTGCAGCTAGCAAGAGATGTTAAGAGTAACAAGAAGGGTTTCTTCAGGTATGTTAGCAACAAGAAGAAAGTCAAGGAAAGTGTGGGCCCCTTACTGAATGAGGGAGGCAACCTAGTGACAGAGGATGTGGAAAAAGCTAATGTACTCAATGCTTTTTTTGCCTCTGTCTTCACGAACAAGGTCAGCTCCCAGACTACTGCACTGGGCAGCACAGCATGGGGAGGGGGTGACCAGCCTCTGTGGAGAAAGAAGTGGTTTGGGGCTATTTAGAAAAGCTGGACGAGCACAAGTCCATGGGGCCGGATGCGCTGCATCCGAGAGTGCTAAAGGAGTTGGCGGAGGTGATTGCAGAGCCATTGGCCATTATCTTTGAAAACTCATGGTGATCGGGGGAGGTCCCAGATTGACTGGAAAAAGGCTAATGTAGTGCCCATCTTTAAAAAAGGGAAGGAGGAGGATCCTGGGAACTACAGGCCAGTCAGCCTCACCTCAGTCCCTGGAAAAATCATGGAGCAGGTCCTCAAGGAATCAATTCTGAAGCACTTAGAGGAAAGGAAACTGATCAGGAACAGTCAGCATGGATTCACCAAGGGTAAGTCATGCCTGACTAATCTAATTGCTTTCTATGACGAGATAACTGGCTCTGTGGATGAGGGGAAAGCAGTGGACGTGTTGTTCCTTGATTTTAGCAAAGCTTTTGACACGGTCTCCCACAGTATTCTTGCCAGCAAGTTAAAGAAGTATGGGTTGGATGAATGGACTATAAGGTGGATAGAAAGTTGGCTAGGTTGTTGGACTCAATAGGTAGTGATCAATGGCTCCATGTCTAGTTGGCAGCCGGTATCAAGTGGAGTGCCCCAAGGGTCGGTCCTGGGGTCGGTTTTGTTCAATATCTTCATAAATGATCTGGAGGATGGTGTGGATTGCACCCTCAGCAAGTTTGCGGATGACACTAAACTGGGAGGAGAGGTCGATACGCTGGAGGGTAGGGATAGGATACAGAGGGACATAGACAAATTAGAGGATTGAGCCAAAAGAAATCTGATGAGGTTCAACAAGGACAAGTGCAGAGTCCTGCACTTAGGACAGAAGAATCCCATGCACCGCTACAGACTAGGGACCGAATGGCTAGGCAGCAATTCTGCAGAAAAGGACCTAGGGGTTACAGTGGACGAGAAGCTGGATATGAGTCAACAGTGCCCTTGTTGCCAAGAAGGCCAATGGCATTTTGGGATGTATAAGTAGGGGGACTGCCAGCATATCGAGGGACATGATCGTTCCCCTCTATTTGGCATTGGTGAGGCCTCATCTGGAGTACTGTGTCCAGTTTTGGGCCCCACACTATAAGAAGGATGTGGAAAAATTGGAAAGCGTCCAGCGGAGGGCAACAAAAATGATTAGGGGACTGGAACACATGACTTATGAGGAGAGGCTGAGGGAACTGGGATTGTTTAGTCTGCGGAAGAGAAGAATGAGGGGGGATTTGATAGCTGCTTTCAACTACCTGAAAGGGGGTTCCAAAGAGGATGGATCTAGACTGTTTTCAGTGTTTGCAGATGACAGAACAAGGAGTAATGGTCTCAAATTGCAGTGGGGGAGTTTAGGTTGGATATTAGGAAAAACTTTTTCACTGGGAGGGTAGTGAAAGACTGGAATGCATTACCTAGGGAGGCAGTTGAATCTCCTTCTTTGGCAGTTTTTAAGGTCAGGCTTGACAAAGCCCTGGCTGGGATAATTTAGTTGGGGATTGGTCCTGCTTTGAGCAGGGGGTTGGACTAGATGACCTCCTGAGGTCCCTTCCAACCCTGATATTCTATGGTTCTATGTCACCCTATTCTTGAGACAGGTCAGTTTAGTAAATTGGAAATATTTGTTTCACATTAGATGGAGAGAAGGAATATATACACAAAAGATGAGTTCAAGCCTGGAGTCGCCTTGTGGGAGCCAAAGAAGTGCTCCCTACATAACGGCTACAGATCAGGCTTACATTTATCAGTTGATACAAACAAATTCCCTTCAGCTGCATCAAACTATCAAAAGAGACTCTTTAATGGTTGATTCAGAACTACAGCACAGTACTCTGTTTCAAAAAGCAATAACAAACTTTCATGGATATCTTTACTAGAAGACTGTGTGCCATTTTGCTCACCAATTAAATTGGGAGGAAAGAGCTACAGGAAATAGGGAGTATTTGAAAAAATTGCGGATGAACTGACAGATGGTGGAGTATACAATGATCTCACAACAGATTTTACAGATATCAGTCATTTATCATCAGTGACTTTGGCCTGACTGCATGACAAGTAAAACAAGAAATAACATACATGCATCAACTGTTACAAGTCAATTCTCATAACTAGGATTTTGCACTAACTAGTGGCTATACATGTAAACACCTCTAAATCACACCGCATTTTAACTTCTTTATTCTGCCACTGAGATCCTGAGCCCTGGTCTACACTGGGGGGGAGGAGGGGAGAGGTGTCGACCTAAGATACGCAACTTCAGCTACGCGAATAGCATAACTGAAGTTGGCGTATCTTAGGTCGACTTACCTGGCCGTGGGGATGGTGGCGAGTCGACCACTGCTGCTCCCCTATCGACTCTGCTTCCGCCTCTCGCGAGCTGGAGTTCCAGAGTCAACAGGGAGCGTGTTCGGGGATCGATTTATCGTGTCTAGGCGAGACACAATAAATCGATCCGATAGATAGATCACTACCCGCTGATCCGGTGGGTAGTGAAGACCTGCCCTGACATTCAGATACAAGAAAAATATCTAAAAGGACTTAAAGACTTGAGGTGAAATTCTGTGTTGCACTTCTAAGAGGCACAGCAAAAAAGAACAGGAGTTAAGGTGGCTTTAAGGTACCCTCCCAATCCAGGGCTGCTTCAGGTATCGGAGAGGCGCTCAATATAACTTACACAGCTCTGGGGGCCTATGTTAAAGAACATCTGCAGGTTGCTCTGTGGGCTGAGCTTGCAGGGCTCTGGCCCTGACACATCACACCCTCTAAACTGGGGCTTGTGAGGCAGTCCTTGGGACACAGTTTCATACATGTCTTCTGCTTTTCTTGTGCAAGGGCAGGGGTCGGCAACTGATGGCACGCGAGCCAATTTTAAATGGCACACTGCTGTCTGCCGAGGACAGCAGCGTGCCATTAAAATTCCTGCCTGGCCTGGCCCACTCTTCTCTGTGCACCGCTCTCTCCTTGCAGGGCAGGCAAGCTTCCCTGTCCCGCCGCCTCTTCCCCCAGTGTGCAGGGTTCCTGCCCCTCCTTCTCTCCCTCCCTCCGGCCGATCAGCTGACAGCCCTTGCTACGGAGGGGGAGAGGGAAAAGCGGAACCGCAGCACGCTCTCTGCTCCAGGGAACTTGGGGAAGAGGGTGGAATCAGCATATCCCCTCCAGCCCCTGCCGTGAGCCACTCAGGGCAGGGGGCTGGGAGCACTCCCACGACCCCAGCCCACACCCGCACGCCCTCTGCCCTGACCTCTGCACGCCCCTTACAGCCCCCCAGCCCTCTGCCCTGACCCCTGCACGCCCCACACACCCCAGCCCCGTGCCCTCACCCCTGCACCCCCCACATCCCCACCCCCACCCTGAGCACCAAACGGGAGCTCCTGCACAAACACACACCCCCACATTCCCACCTGCACCCCTCGCACCAAATGGGAGCTGCCCACGTAAGTGCTCCACACCCAAACCTCCTGCCCCAACCCTGAGCCCCCTCCCTCATTCTAGCTCCTGGTCAGACCCTGCACCCCAACCCCCAGCCTGCTCCTTCATCCCCAGCCCTGTTCTCAGTGCACTCCCACCCTCATCTCAGTGCAAAGAGAGGAAGAGAATGGGCCAGAACCAGGGAGAAAGTAGGTACCTACTCTATGTGGACAGGGCCAGGACCCCAAACCGGCAGCGGGCTGAGCAGGGCCGGCAGCCAGGACCCTGGCTGTCAGGAGCTGGCAGATGGAACCCCAGACCGGAAGTAGGCTGAGCCGCTCAGCCCACTGCTGGTCTGGGGTCCCGGCCGCTGGCCCTGTTCAGCCCGCTGCCGGTCTAGGTGAACGGAATCCCAGGCCGGCAGTTGGCTGAGTGGGCCGGCGATGTAAGATCAGCATTTTAATTTAACTTAATTTTAAATGAAGCTTCTTAAACATTTTGAAAACCTTGTTTACATACAACAATAGTTTAGTTATATAATATATAGACTTATAGCGATAGACCTTCTAAAAACATTAAAATGTAGTATTGGCATGTGAAACCTTAAATTAAAGTGAATAAATGAAGACTCGGCACACCACTTCTGAAAGGTTGCTGACCCCTGTGCTAGGGGAATTCTCTCCTGGCCAGTTACGTAGCTTTTGGTGCCTCTTTATGCTGCTCTGGCCCTTTTGCACATCATAAAGGAATCAGAGCAGGGGCAAGGATCTCACCTATAATATATATGTGCAATTTATTCATTACTTTCCTTGTAGGACCGACATTTTGAATGCTATAAAAGAAAAAAAAACCTTCCTGTTAGAATGAGAATTTTATATAGGAGTCTGATGTAACAGAGAACCATGGTAGAGAGAACATAAAAATATCCCATATATTTACAACTAGTGATAGTTAAATTTAATGTAGTAGTACATCAGTTCTAAAACAGTGATGTGGTAAATATCCAGATGCCAATGACACTCACTGTACAGCAGACTTCAGATACTATGAGTTAATTTCATAATAGAAAACCATAAAAGAAATTGGACTGTATTTAGTATTTGAGAGTGTTTAGCCTTATCACTAAGAATTTTTCATGTGGTTCCATATAATGTGTCTCATTAGATATAAAAAAGAGAGAGGGAATTATGACTGTGTGACAAACATTACTTACTCAAGATTATTCTGCAGATAATAGAGAACTCCAAGCTCATTGAGGGTTCGAGCATTATCTGGTGTGTCTTTGCCTAACGTGAGCTCTTCCAGCTGCAAGGCTCGTTGACGTAGAAGAGCAAATCCAAACTAAAGCAAAGCACAAGGTAACGAAAGTCCATCAGCATCAAAAGTTTAACATCTACGACTGAAATTCACCCCCATGCAGAGGGCCAACAAAAGGCCTTTGTGCCAAATAGACCCCATGTAAGCCTATTATGAGAATTAAGGGTTGCATAGGCCTTTTGTTGGTCCTGTGCATGGGGGTGAATTACACCCAGTATGCCTCCGTGAAATCACAGAATCATAGGACTGGAAGGGACCTCGAGAGGTTATCTAGTCCAGTCCCCTGCCTCATGGCAGGACTAAGTATTATCTAAACCATTCCTGACAGGTGTTTGTCCAACCTGTTCTTAAAAAACTCTCCAATGATGGAGACTCCACAACCTCCCTAGGCAATTTATGCTAGTGCTTAACCACCCTGACAGTTAGGAAGTTTTTCCTAATGTCCAACCCAAACCACCCTTGCTGCAATTTAAGCCCATTGCTTCTCCTATCCTCAGAGGTTAAGAAAAACAGTTTTTCTCCCTCCTCCTTGAAACAACCTTTTACATACTTGAAAACTGTTATCATGTCCCCCATCAGCCTTCTCTTTTACAGACTAAACAAACCAATTTTTTCAATCTTCTCTCATAGGTCACGTTTTCTAGATCTTTAATCATTTTTGTCACTCTTTTCTGGACTCTCTCCAATTTCTCCACATCTTTCCTGAAATGTGGCGCCCAATACTCCAGTTGAGGCCTAATCAGTGCGGAGTAGAGCGGAAGAATTACTTCTTGTGTCTTGCTTACAACACTCCTGCTAATACATCTCAGAATGAAGTTCGCTTTTTTTGCAACAGCGTTTCACTGATGACTCTCATTTAGTTTGTGGTCCACTATAACACCCAGATCCTTTTCTGCAGTACTCCTTCCTAGGCAGTCATTTCCCATTTTGTATGTGTACAACTGATTGTTCCTTTCTAAGTGGAGTACTTTGCATTTGTCCTTACTGAATTTCATCCTATTTACTTCAGACCATTTCTCCAGTTTGTCCAGGTCACTCTGAATTTTAATCCTATCCTCCAAAGCACTTGGAACCCTCCCAGCTTGTTATTGTCCGCAAACTTTATAAGCGTTCTCTCTATGCCATTATCTAAATCATTGATGAAGATATTAAAAAGAACCAAACCCAGAACCAATCCCTGCGGGACCCCACTCATTATGTCCTTCCAGCATGACTGTGAACCACTGATAACTACTCTCTGGAAAAGGTTTTCCAACCAGTTATGCACCCACTTTACAGTAGCTCCATCTAGGTTGCATTTCCCTAGTTTGTTTATGAGAAGGTCATGTGAGACAGTATCAAAAGCTTTACTAAAGTCAAGATATACCACATCTACCGCTTCCCCCTATCCACAAGGCTTGTCACCCTGTCAAAGAAAGCTATCAGGTTGGTTTGACATGATTTGTTCTTGACAAATCCATGCTGTTACTTAACACCTTTTCTAGATGTTTGCAAATTGATTGCTTGATTATTTGCTCCATTATCTTTCCGGGTACAGAAGTTAAGCTGACTTGTCTGTAATTCCCCGGGTTGTCCTTATTTTCCTTTTTACAGATTGGCACTATATTTGCTCTTTTCCATTCTTCTGGAATCTCTCCCGTCTTCCATGACTTTTCAAAGATAATCGCTAATGGCTCAGATATCTCCTCCATCAGGTCCTTGAGCATTCTAGGATACATTTCATCAAACCCTGGTGACTTGAAGACATCTAACTTGTCTAAGTAATTTTTAACTTGTTCTTTTCCTATTTTAGCCTTGGATCCTACCTCATTTTCACTGACATTCACTGTGTTAGACATCCAATCACCACGAACCTTCTTGGTGAAAACCGAAACAAAGAAGTCATTAAGCACCTCTGCCATTTCCACATTTTCTGTTATTTTCCCCCACATTGAGTAACGAGGCCTACCCTGTCCTTGGTCTTCCTCTTGCTTCTAATGTATTTGTAGAATGTTTTCTTGTTACCCTTTATGTCTCTATATATTGTGACAAAGTTCTTGCTCTACCTTGGTGGGTCTTGCGCTTATTGGCAGATTTGCTCGCCTTGGAGCTTCACGGCAGCCCTCAGCTTGGCCGTTTTTCTGAACCCACAGTCCAGGTCGACTCCTCCTGTGTCTGACCAGGAGTTGGGAGGATTTGGGGGGAACCCGGGCCCGCCCTCTACTCCGGGTTCCAGCCCAAGGCCCTGTGGAATGCAGCTGTCTACAGTGCCTCCTGGAACAGCTGTGCGACACCTACAACTCCCTGGGCTACTTCCCCATGGCCTCCTCCCAACACCTTCTTTATCCTCACCACAGGACCTTCCTCCTGGTGTCTGATAATGCTTGTACACCTCAGTCCTCCAACAGTCCGCGTTCTCACTCTCAGCTCCTAGTGCCTCTTGCTCCCAGCTCCTCACATGCACACCACAAACTGAAGTGAGCTCCTTTTTAAAACCCAGGTACCCTGATTAGCCTTCCTTAATTGATTCTAGCAGCTTCTTGATTGGCTGCAGGTGTTCTAATCAGCCTGTCTTAATTGTCTCCAGAAGGTTCCTGATTGTTCTGGAACCTTCCCTGTTACCTTACCCAGGGAAAAGGGACCTACTTAGCCTGGGGCTAATATATCTGCCTTCTATTACTCTCCTATAGCCATCTGGCCCGACCCTGTCACAACATCCTCTATCTACTATGCTCTGGTTTTGCCTTCCCTTTACAATATGTTCTAGTCTTCTTAAATTTTTCAGTCCAAACAATCTGTTTCAATTAATTTCTTAGGTCTTAAGAACTCAAAATGGAATTCAAGCTGACGTCGTATCAAACCATTATAAAAATATTCCTGAAGGATTTTGTAAAGCTTCATAGAAAGGCTTCGTATGGCAATACTTGTCATAAATGATGTGGAGTGAGAGTAAAAAGTGTGATCAGATACTTCAGAGACCTCTTTGATAACACCCCCAGCCCACACTAATAGTTCTAATAAAAAATGTTTGTGTAACTGAAATCAATATGAAAGTTGACAATGTGAAATCCCCATGAACAGATTTTATTTTTCTTTAAATAACTGTGGTGGGAAGAGTGACATTTCCATTGTTTTTCTTTATGTTGCTTCAACTATATAGTTCCTAGCAGAGTTCTTGTAGTATGGGTGCTTCTCTGCCTCTATGAGGCAGAGACTGAACCTAAAACTAGAATTCCCCTAGGAGCTTTATGGCAGGAGAAACAGAAGAAAAAAAAGAGTAAAAAAAAAAAAACCATGGACGTGCCCTAAGGAGGGAGTACACGCTTAGGGCTTCATCCTTAAACCACTACCAAATATAGTGGTTACTGACATTGTCACCAGTGTGACACTGTTATCTACGGTAGTAGGCACTATGCACAGTAGTGTTGTAGAATTAGGCCCTCAGTTACCTCCTATAGAGCACTTTCTCTAGTTTCCTTTCAACAACATATAGTCTCAGCATGAAATCTGAATCCCCAAAGTCTGATATTTGGAGGGTTTCTATATCCACTTATTTATTCTCCATCACTCACTACTATATTCCAGTTGTACTTATCCACCTTTATTTCCAGTGAGGTTGAAAGAGCAGATACCAATGCTGCTCCTAAAGTGGTTAAGCTGGCAAACTTTCAATTATCAAAAGCACTTAAGCATCAGATTTTCAGAACACCTCCTCAAACACACTTCATCATCCATACAACAAAGCCACAGCTAGCCCCTATTTTGATTAAGTATCAAATCTTTACCAAATTGCCTTTCCGCCTTGCTGCTTTTTGTCGCATTTTAAAGGATTTTTTCCTCAGCTGTTCAGCTTGTTCATATCTGAAAATAGTTATTTAAAATGTTAGAAGAACACCATACATGGCAACGATATACATTTTGGGTTAGATTTTCAAAATGCCACCTAAGTGACTTAAGAGCACAAGTCCCCCTGAAAGTCACCTAGGTGCTTTTGAAAATCGCACGTTTTGTCAAAGATAGAAGTATGCAAAATACTTATGATTGCGTTAGGAGTGTTAACAGGGTAGCAAGATTCTTCTGTTACCCCTCCCTCTTAGCGGGCATTGGAATCCTGCATAGAAATGCTGACTAGTTGTAGATAGCATGTCTTAATTCCACCCCAAATATAAACAGATTCAAGTTGCTTTCTGCGTAGAGAGAACTGGCGAGTAAGACAAAAACTCTAAAGGCAGTGCTAGAAACTTCCTAGTTTGAAGGAGAAATTTAGGCTGAACTATTATGTTATTGCAACTGCCCTTAAAAGAAAATCTCCAAGAAAGAGGGGGTGAGTTTGGACATAAATCTAGAGTGCGTTCTGCAACTGAGAGGGTAAGGACTCAGAGTCTTGGTTTTCTATGGTTTGGTTAGAGAGTAATTTGCAGAAGAAGAAAGAGAAGAATTTTGGCAGTTTCCTCTAGAATTACATGCAAGTACAGGAGCTTGATCTGCAGAGTCAACAGTACAAACTGTACCAAAGGACTTTTTGAATGAGTGTTACACTTAAGTACATTTCCCGGAAGAGGACTCCTTCCCTTTCTTCCCCCCACTCCCCCCAATATCACTAAGCTACTTGCAATGAGCACTAGGAAAGGAATTGCCTCATAAGAAGTGTCAGGATATCTTCAGTATATTGAAGTATGTATTGGAGAAGAAGGATGGTCTTGTCATTAAGGCACTGGATTAGGACTAAGGCGATCTGGGTTTTGTTCTTGGCTCCACCAGAGACTTACTGTCACATTGGAAAGGTCACTTAATCCACGTGCATTAAGTATTAAGGATAAATCATTTTGCTCGTATGTAAGCCTTCCCTACTCCATAGACACGGTGTTAAAATAAAACAAGTAGAATTTGGATACATTTATCCTTCGGAGAACCCATAGAAATCTGCAACCGGACTTGTAAATTCTACCTACACATTTGCCTGGAGCTAGTAATTTGTTTTTGATGGACAAGTAAAATATCCTTAAGATATTTTTCCCTGTTATCATCAGTTACCTACCTCCTGTGTTTGGGCTGGTAAGTATTCACAACTATTTTGCGAGTGTGACAATTGTACCAATACAAGGGCATTTTTAAAAAACATTACTTTGTTATAACTATATATTTGAATACTGCACAAATATGTTTACTAATCTTTTTCTAGACCCCAAAAAAGGTCGTCTCCTCCTCTTGAAACAAGCACATAGTTCTCATTAATATTAATAACAGTTCTGCACATGCATCAAAAGGAAGTTACATCTATTAAAACGTGTAATCGTAGAAACAGACAGACAATGTAACAACCTCAAAAGACTTGCATGTTATGACAAATCCAGGAAATCACCAATACGATTAATCTTACTTGTTCTGTTTCTGGTATAATGTTGCAAGTGCATCCAGTTCACGAGCAACCCTGGGATGTTCAGCCCCATAAGCATTTTCAGAGATTTCCAGAGCCTGCTTATATAACTGCTCAGCATTTCCAAACTTCTTCCACTGCACATAAACTCCTGCTAACTGATGGAGGGACTGTGCTACCCTTGGGTGATCTGGATCCAGTGCAGTCTCCCGAATTTCCAGAGAACGCTGCAGAGGAGCAACTGCCTGTAATAAAAGAGTTGAGACTGTGACTAGAGCAGGAAAGATAATGTACAAAAAAACACTGCAATACAAAACATCCTATCAAGCACATACTATGCTCTGCTTCAATTCCTTGCTTGCTTGCTGTTACATGGTATTCCCTTTGGTTCCTAGATGCACTTACCTGGCTGAGAAGACCTAGATCTTTTAAGAAACGTCCCAGAGTTTCATAAAGATCAGCCAGACAGATCATATTTTCCTCTCCCTCACAGCTTTTCTCATATTGCTTTAGAGAGTCAAAATACTCTGCTGCCATTGAACTCTTATCTTTTCCAACAAGCTGCCAGTAACTCAGTAATTCTGCAAAATGCCCCCTGTTTTAACAAGAAAAAATAAGTAAGAAGTAAAATACAGAACACCAAATCTCAGTGCTCAGAACCAGCTACCCTGCTGGATGGCAGGGTCCAAGGAAGGGGGAATATGCACATCAGGAATTTTCCCTCATGCTGCAAAGTGGCTGCAAAGCGGCTCTGTGAAGGCTACTGTAGTCCAGCAGTTAGAATGACCCATGCAGCACCTTACTGGTCTCCCAACTGTGCAGCAGTGAAAGGACAGAGGGTCTCTGCATGACAGTGGATTCACTGCCCCACCCCCATGCACACCTACACACTACCATGCTCAGAGCACCAACGAGCAGGGTTCACGCTACACAGGGATATACCTAGCTGCACAAAAGGGACAGGCAACAGAACAGCACTGGTTCCCATGCCTTGGGTGCTTTGCAACTGGGCAGCCAGGCAGGATATCCCATAAGTGGTATTACACTAGATATCTCCGTATAACTTTATACTTAGCTATTTCTTAGCACCCTTCAGCCAGCTTTCAATCCCTGCTATACGGTTACATATTGGTATTGGTCTAGTTTAATTTCTTCCCATATTTGTGCATTTTATCATTTCTATTATTTATTTTTTAAACAAAACATTAAAGACACTTTATTTCATGCCTTTAACTTGACACTAAACCATTTCAATATGTTTATACATACGAAGGCCCTGGCTACTCTCTTACCTTTTGTAAAGATTCTGAGATACAAAGAGGTTCAGGAGACACTTGTGTAGCTTCTGCTTGTTGCCTTGTTGTTGGAAAAGCCAAGGAAGTTCATCTGCACTTCTCCAAGTCACTCTGCCTTGACTAATGGAAGAAAAGCAAACAAAATAAAATCCCTTTCCATTCCTAACATTTAAAATTATAGGGCTTGATTTGGAAAATAGTAAGTCATACAACTACATGGACAAACAACCAGTTAGCATCTCTTATATCACCAATTACCTGACTTGTGTATGCAATTTCCCACCCGCTTTTTGTGAAAAGGAGGTCTATAATATGAAACTATTAACCACAGCTTGAATCAAAGATCCAAAGTTTGTCTTTGACTCTTTACAATATTAACAGATCTACAAAACTCAAGAAACCCAGGGTAATGCAAAAGCAAAATGTCCCCAAGTTATCTTTAGACACACCCTCGTTTACTGACATGTTTTAATGCAAACTGAAGTTTTACAAAAGGGCAAACCCTGTACCCTGTGCGTAGCCTGAATTTCTAGGCTCTGTGCCCAAATAGTCCATGACAGTTGAGGAAGGTATTGTTTCCTCCACCATAGATTGCTCCTATGTTCTCAGGCCTATAGAACCTGTGTTTCCTCTGTGTCCCCCCCTCCATGGCAGATTAGTATGGCCACTGATTCACTGGCCCCATGCCCATGTCTTCCATAGCCCAACACTGTTTTGGTCCTTGCAAGTACTGAAGTGCAGAGAACTGTGCTCCAAAGCCCACAGTGGGTACACTTCAGGTAGAGTCTGAAGCAGCTATGAATCTATGCCTAGAATAGAAGTGGCTGCATCAATAATAATCTGAACTGAACAGGATGAGGTTTAATGTTACACAGTAACGGACTGCTTCAATGAATTAGGCAGAGAAACCATTTGAAAGAAAGTAAGAAATATCCGCTGTAAAGACTATAACATTTTTTTGTGTTCTGAGGAGTTCTGAAATACCTTAGCTGCATGGTGAAGTAGTCTATTAGTTTTTCTCGGTAAGTAGAAATAATCTTTTGACCTTCTTCCATGTATTCTAGTTGCACCGTTTCCCAAGCCTGGAAAAGAGAGTTATAGTAATCAATATATGTCTGTTACATACTAACAGTGCATGGGGCTCCCTAAAAGACACAAATGGGAAACAAGAATCCTGTGCTGAGGAATTAAAAATCTTTTTTTGCTAAAGGGATCTTCAACTTGAAAGCAAATCAATTTTAAACAAAATGAGGTAAGAGAAGCTACAAAGGCCCAAGGTATTTAAGAAGAGGAAATATATCATCATGTGGGAGAGGGAGCGGGGAAAGGAGGAAGCCTGATATTTATTTTTCTCAGTAACAATAATTTCATTGGGTCTTTCGTGTTCACCCTTTACCTTGGAAACTGTAACTCTTTTTGTTGCCACTAACATCATAGTTCTCAAATGGCCTCCCAGGCTTTGCTGGGAAAGGGGAAGAAAATGGAGGTACAACTAATAATGCATATTTACTTTTTGTGAAACTAATAAAGTTATACATTGTTGGCATTCAACTATAAACAAAGTACTAAATTAGACTAAAGCTCTTAGATTTATCACTTGCTTAAAAATTATCATTCTCCTTTCCCCTTCAATTCTGGCTTGATTTTTAGTAGACAATATTTTCTAGGACTGCTAGAGTTAACAATCAATGAAAAAGCAACTTTTGAATGCCGATGGTGAACAACATTGATCATCTTGGAAAGAATTCTCAAGATAGCAGGCACTGATATCAGATCAGAACTGAAGGGAGAAAAAGTGGGAGAGAAGACATGCATATAATCAAAATTATGTAGTTTGAAGGCTGATAATCTAGTTAACCACCAGGGCTAGAAATTAATGTATAACTGGCAACTTCGGATCTCCCACTTTCCATGGTGTACATCATTTATTTCTAGTCTTGTTGGTTCTCTAGACCTTAAAAATGGTCACAATATTTAGACCAGCAGTGCTCTTTAGCACTGGTCCAGGGCTTAATAAAGCACTGGTCCTGGACCTTGGAAGCAATGAATTTTTTATTCCAAGGAGGGAAAAAATACAACACTTAGTATGGCTTTGCAACCATTCAAATAGTCTACAAAGTGTCTTTTTTTTGGTGCCTGCCTTAATTCTTGACTAAGTCAATGACAGTTACATAACAAAATTAAACAGATTTATATAGTATGCTTGTATCTCTAAAGGAAGACAGCAGGCCATACTGCTTTGATTTACCTTGTTGTAAATCTAGAGAAACATAAGTGGATTCAAAGTTACTCTTGGAGTTACACCGATGTATTTAAGAGCAGAATTTGGCAAAATATTTCTAATTTAGTGGAGTATTATTTGCATATGTCTAAATGTACGGAATCTTACTTGGAGGTGCTGAAACTTTAGCAAACCACAGCCATATGTCAGCATACACATCTTGTGCAGACTGTGAACTAGAGAGGCTAACATGGCACAGGATAGTTCGGGATAAAGTTCCATCAGTTCTGATTCACTCACTCCATTGTGGCTAACACTGATGAGACAGAGAACCTGTGTGGCCAAAAAATTAATGCTTTAATAAATTTAACAACTGCTCACTGAGTAACTCAGGTATACTGAATCCCAAGACAAATACTGAATGCTAGGTTTTAAAACACAATATAGGCTTCCTTGATACATTTAGTACACAAAGTACATCGTACAGTTACCGAGGGTGGGCTGAAAAACAGGCTTCACAAATTAGTTCCACCTAAAGATGAAGTTATGGATGTATAATTTAGGCAAAACTCTGCTAGGTTACACTGGTGTCAATCTGGAGTCAATCTTATTGGTTTCAGTGGAATGACTCAAGGTTTATACTGCAGTAAATAAAGGCAGTATTGGACCCAACATGGCATGACGTCAGAAATCTTTCCAAAAATATACAAAACCATATCTCTAATGAACATTGTTACCCAAGTATTCTAAAAATATTTATGTAGTCTTACCTTTAATACAGTAACTGGTTTCAAAAATAGGGACTATTTAGACTGGAAACATTATTGAAAGGGTAAATTATTCATCTTTGGGGTCCACATAACTAAGACTGTTACGCAAATTTGTCAATTTCCATTTTACTACAGCAAATTAAATACATATTTTACCCTTCAAAAGGTGTTTTGTTGAAGCAATAAGGGAACTTCAGAGATTGCAGTTGCTCGAGACGCTATTCAGTACAATATAAATATCTTAATCTCACAAGAACTACATGCACCAAAATTGCCTGCAAATACAATTTTAAGTATTACTGCTTTCACATTCTGAGACAAATTTGTTCCTCATGTAACTTCAATGAGGATGGATTTGGCCATTAATTTTTTTTTCATCTTAGAATAACCCAAACATTGGATACTGGCTCTTGAATGTTTGTGGATCAATATCTTAACAGAAGGACACAAGATGGAGCACTACTTAAGTGTCTGCTATAGACCACCAAATCATACTGGAAAACAGAATGACTGGCTCCTTAAGCACCTACCTATAAAGTATAGACGAAAAAAAGCTATGTTATTATGGGGACTTCAATTTGAGTGAATATGGTGGAGGGCTCATGTGGCCAGTTCTAAAATGTCCTCAGAATTTCTAAAAGTTACAGATGATCATTTCCTAACTCAAAAAGTGTTTCATCCAACACAGGGGAATTTTGTATTAGACCTTCTCTTGACTGATAAAGAGGAATTGATCACAGAACTAAATATTGGTAGTTGCTTAGTGTAAGTGAGCATAGCTTGATTATATATGTTAAGTGCAAAACAAGACACAGTCCAAACTAGTGCTATATATATTTGGCACTTGAATAAGGGCCAGTTTCACACAACTGAAAACAATTATAAGTCTAGTCAACTGAGAGAAAGAATTTACACAGAAAGATGTGAATGATAATAGAGAACTGTTTAAGAACATTTTACCGAAAAAGCCACAATACAGAAAGGCAGGCTAAACTGGTCAAAAAATAACCCATCTTAGAAGGGAAGTACATAATGAATGGAAAAAAGGGGAAGCTGATGGTAATGAATATAAATCAGAGGCTAAGAATTGTAGAAAATTGATAAGGGAAGCAAAAGGACACCAGGAATAATTTATGATCAGTGGAGTTAAGAACAATAATAAGAAGGAGTTTTTCAAGTATATTGGGAACAAAAGAAATCCTAACAATGGTACCAGTCCATTACTAGAGGAAAATGGTAGAATTCTTAATAACAATGTAGAACAAGCAGAAGCATTTAAACAAATATTTCTTTTAGTATTTGGAAAAAAAGACAGATGATGTAGTCATCATGTGATGATGAAATATTTTCCATGCCACCAATAACTCAAGAGAACATTAGACAGCCCTTACTAAAGACAAACATATTTAAATCAGCTGGTCCAGAAAACTTGAGTTTTAAAAGAGTTGGTCGAGGAGTTCTCTGGATCATTGGTGCTGTTTTTCAGTAACTCTGGAAACACTGGGAAAGTTCCAGAGAACTGGAAGAAAGCTAATCTTGTGACAATATTTAAAAGAGATAAATGGGATGACCTGGGTAATTATATGCCAATCCACCTGATATCTCTCCTGGACAAAATAATGGAACTGCTGATGCAGGACTCAATTAATAAAGAATTAAAGGAGAGTAATACAATTAATGCCTCTTGACATGGGTTTATGAAGAATAGATCTTGTCAAAGTAACTTGATATCGTTTTCTGATGAAATTACAGGTTTGGTTGACAAAGATAATAGTGTTGATGTAATAAACATAGACATCTATAAGGCATTTGACTTTGCACCCCACAACATTTTGATTAAGAAACTAAAATAAAATAAAATCAACATGGGACACAATACATGGATTGCAAAAAGAAAAGGAGGACTTGTGGCACCTTAGAGACTAACAAATTTATTTGAGCATAAGCTTTCGTGAGCTACAGCTCACTTCATCAGAGGAATGCATCCAATGAAGTGAGCTGTAGCTCACGAAAGCTTATGCTCAAATAAATTTGTTAGTCTCTAAGGTGCCACAAGTCCTCCTTTTCTTTTTGCGGATACAGACTAACATGGCTGCTACTCTGAAACTAAATGGATTAAAAACTAACTAATTGATAGATCTAAAAGGGCTAATTGTGATCCTTGGCTGTATAAACAGGGGAATATCAAGTAAGAGTAGTGTTAATATTGTCTTTACTCTGTCCAGTTCTGGTGTCCACAATTCAAAAAGGATGTTGATAAATTGGAGAAAAGAGCCACAAAAATGACCAAAGGATTGGAAAACATGCCATCTAGTGAAAGACTCAAGGAGCTCAAACTATTTAGTTTATCAGAGAGAAAGTTAAGGGGTGACTTGATCACAGTTTATAAGAACCTACAGGAAGAACATAACTTGATAATAGAATACTCTTCAATCTAGCAGACAAAAGTAAAACAAGATCCAATTTAGACAAAATTAAAAAATAAGGTGTAAATTTTTAAGAGTGAGGGTAATTAACGATTGGGACACCTTATCAAGTGTTGGGGTGGATTCTCCATCACTGGAAATTTTTAAATCAAGATTGGATGTTTTTCTAAAAGATCTGCTCCAGTTCACAGAGGAAATAATTCAGGGAAGACCGATGGCCTGTATTACACAGCAGGTCAAACTAGATGATCACAATGATCTTTCCAGCCTCATAATCTATGAAACTATAAATTATAGCTTTGAATCAATGAAAAGTCCTCAAGTACTTTCTTTTTATTTAATTCACAGAAACTCATCCGGAGGAAAGGGAACATGTTCCAAAAGTTTCCATTGCATTTTTTGCTTACCTCTCTCATAAGGTGTTTGTCTTTATCGTTCAGCATGGACTCCTGAACTGATCGCAGAACAAGTCTGTATAGTGATACTGTATCTTGACATTGGAAACACTGTTGAAGGATTTCATCAATATTTCCTGCACTTCGAGCACTGAGCGAATGGACAAGATTAGCTTTTTTAATATGTTAAATTTGACAACCACAAAGTGAATTTAAGCTATTGAAGATCTTCATCTTGTGAAGTGTTGTGTGCCCTCAACTCCTACGGGCTTCAGGAGGTGCACAGAATCTTGCAGGATTAGAACCCAAAGAGTTTAACACCTGAACACATCTACCAACATATGCCATAAGAGTCTCCCTTTTGTAATAATAAATAAATAATAATAATAAAAAGCAGCGATATAGGATACCTTTACTTTAGCAGGCAACGGAATGGGAAGAAGATCATATCACATAAAGAGACAGAAATGTAAAAAGAAAAGGAGGACTTGTGGCACCTTAGAGATTAACAAATTTATTTGAGCATAAGCTTTCGTGAGCTACAGCTCACTTCATCGGATGCATTCAGTGGAAAATACAGTGGGGAGATTTATATACACAGAGAACATGAAACAATGGGTCTAACTATACATACTGTAACGAGAGTGATCAGGTAAGGCGAGCTATTACCAGCAGGAGGGTGGGGGGGGGGGGGGAGGAGGTGGTGAAACCTGGGAGTGGATGGGTCATTACACAAACTAAAACTATTTCCCCATGTTTATTCCCCCTCCCCCCCTCGCTGTTCCTCAGACATTCTTGTTAACTGCAGGAAATGGCCCACCTTGATTATCACTACAAAAGGTTTCCCCCCCCCACCCCCACCCCGCTCTCCTGCTGGTAATAGCTCACCTTACCTGATCACTCTCGTTACAGTGTGTACAAACCCAATTTTTTCGATCTTCCCTCATAGGTCATGTTTTCTAGACCTTTAATTATTTTTGTTGCTTTTCTCTGGACTTTCTCCAATTTGTCCACATCTTTCCTGAAATGTGGTGCCCAGAACTGGACACAATACTCCAGCTGAGGCCTAATCAGCGTGGAATAGAGCGGAAGAATTATTTCTCATGTCTTGCTTACAATACTCCTGCTAATACATCCCATAATGATTGCTTTTTTTGCAACCGTGTTACACTGTTGACTCATATTTAGCTTGTGATCCACTATGACCCACAGATCCCTTTCCACAGTATTCCTTCCTAGGCAGTCATTTCCCATTTTGTATGTGTGCAACTGATTGTTCCTTTTTAAGTGGAGTACTTTGCATTTGTACTTATTGAATTTCATCCTATTTACTTCAGACCATTTCTCCAGATCATTTTGAATTTTAATGCTATCCTCCAAAGCACTTGCAACCCTCCCAGCTTGCAACCCCTCCCAAATTAATACTCTTATTTTATAAAGTGTGTCCCCAGCGGCAACTAAGCAACTAAAAATAAAATATTTAAATAATAAAGAACAAGCAGCAATTGTGAGCCACCAACCACAAGCGTCCTCCTTTGGAGTCTCTAAAGTGAGACTGCTGGCCTTTTAAAAAAATACATGCTAGATCAGCCACAAGTTGCTGTGCTCAGTTATGTTCTTTGACACAGTAGGGAGGATTAATCCTCTCCACCTGCAGAAATTACAGGGTGAAATCTTATGTCCTGTATTATGCAGTAGGTCAGACCAGAAGATCATAGTGGTGCTCCCCTGGTCTTAAAATCTTATGGGCTCATCTACATGGCCCCAAAGTTTGGACTATGTGGGTGTGAAGTGTTCCACTGTAACTGTCCCATGTAGACACTGCTAGCGCAAACTAAAAGGTACTTAGTTCACATTAACAGAGACCCGTTTGAAGAGGAATACGTTAACGCACACTAGGTATCTTTTACTTCACACTAACAGCAGCATTCTCATGGGGCAGTCACAGCGCCGCACTCTGGTGCACACTGGAGTTTACACCCCCATAGTCTACACTGCAGCACAGTGTAGACTTAGTCTAGGATGCAAAGCATCAGGCACATCAGCAAACCCAACAGCCCACAGACAAAGCACCTCTCAAAATAAAAGGAATACTTCTCAATTAATATTTAAAAAGGGAATAAAGGGACTGACAGCTACAAAAAGAAGAATGAAGCAAAAGGATGGAGAGAAACCTGGATTTGGTTCCTGGATTCAGAATAGGGAGAGGATCATATACATACATTCAGATTCAGTGGGTACCTAAATATTTAGCATCAAAATCGGATAGATCATTAATTCTTTATAGTTCTGTTTTCTTTTCTTTTTTATAATAAATGGGGAAATAACTTTCTATTTTCTTCTGCTAAAGCAATTTCATCTCAACAAAGAATAATTCTGTTTCAACTGAACATTTTCTGATATGCTGATAAAGCAATTTGTATTTTTAAAATCTACAGACTCACACAATAATGTCAGGCCATCTCAACTTACCAAGCGATCATTTTGCCCAAAAGAGTGACATACAAAGCATTGCAAGTTGTGGCAGAACGACAATGTTTCTCAAGTTTCTTCTCCTAAGACAAGTATTAAAAAAAACATTATAAGCCAATGTAATATTAAGCACTTTGAAGAGTTAAGGATTTGACACTAAAACACAGATTGTGGATGTTAAAAAAAGCACACAACTAGTGTACAAAACATTGTGTGTTTTTCCTTTAAGTGGGATATATATAAGTGGAGGCTTCCTCCTGAGAGCTACATCATCTCAGGATATGATCGACACCTTGTTAGGATCAGACTCCATGGATAGGATTCAAAATGTCTTCTTTTCACATGTCCAAGCATTTTTACCGCAATTACATATTATACTAAAACAGGAGGACATGTCTGCAGAAAGATGGGTAAAAGTATAGTTCCCTTACTAGTAATTTATACTATTCCATCTGAATTTGGTGCTATCAGCCTCTGGATAAAAATATTTACACCAAATCCTGTGTAAAATGGCTATACGTTAACTAAATAAAACACATTTTCCTGGCTATTGAAACATTAACAAAAATAAGCTTTTGTCAGCTCATTTTACTCTTCCACATCTTCAATAAAATTTATACTAGACTCTAGCGTGAAATACTTTCAACAGAATTACAACAGACATACCTGTTCGTTGGTCAATTTAACATCTGCACAGCTACATTCTGCACTAATGAGACATTTCACATCTTTAGAATTCAATGGCTCAAGATGAAGAGTTGGCCACAACCTTTTAGTGGGAGAGAACAAAATTACATTCAAATCCAGCAAAATAGTATGTGAAAGAAAAGAGACCTAACTATGTGACGGGGAAAAAAAGATGTCAATGCAGAAATCTGAAACTACACTCTTCTGCTGTTAAAGAATTTTAATAATACAAAGTCACATTTGTATTTTTAACCTTGCCCTAAGATGGCTGACTACATCAAAGTACTGGAAGTCTGCAAGTGCACATGCCTATGTTTAATATGCACTATATCACCTTTAATGGGGAAAATCGAAATCCAAAATTCCCACTGACTTCAGTTGGTACAAAATCAGACTCAGATTTTATTCTGCAACCTATCTATATGTATAATAAGTATATTCAAACCCAGGCTAATTTGAAACCTCCTCAAAGAACAACGTACCTCCAAGCCTGCGGACATGTTTCCACGTTCACAGATACAATCACCCTTACATTCACTGGCAGTGGATCTATCAGCCATTTCATATGTTTTTCAGCTTGCTTAAAAACAAGTTTCAGGGCATTAATTCAAAATTCATTAAAAACAAATGCCACAAATCACTGTCGTCTCATTAACTGTTCAGCCCAGTGAAAACAATCTTCCAACGCCTCTGTTCTCTTAAAATTGTTCAGGACCACATTTTTGATATAGAGCTAAATTCCCCTTTTTATGTGCAGCAGCATGGTGACAACTTAAGTAAAGCAGTTAGCGTAGTATCATGTAGACTCTCGCCACCTAAAGATTGGATACGTGACCCGACCCACAAATCAGTCCACAATTTTGGACCCACCCCCGCAGATAATGCAATGAGACAAATCAAAAGGCAACATACTCTGGCAAATTCCATAAATACCACGTTTTATGGATAAAACAAATGACAATTTAATTCATCTAGTAAAACTGCAAATTATTTTCTACATATATCACTCCAAGTTTGTTTTGCATTTGTAAAGGCCAAGCAGGTTGGAAATGTACCTGTATTTGGTCTATAGAGTCAATAATTATGATAATGCTGCCTTGGTGACGAGCAGTAAGTTTTTCCAGCCAACGAGGAAACTCTTCCAAGAGCTTAGCTGGATCCAATGTTAAAGGTGACACTAACCAAGAATGCTGCATGAGCTGCAAAATTATAAACATGCATAAAAATATTGCATCTTAAGAAATGCTTAGGGGAGTTGGACACAAGATAAAATCATTCACTCCTGGGGAGCTGATTTCAAACAAGTCCATCCAAAGTTGTTTTCCCTTCACTACATATAAGGAGCAAGAATTTAAGAAAAAGGAGAATGTTTTTTGAAGTTCTTGTGTATTTAATTTTAGATGGACAATGTGAGGTTAAAAATCCCATGGGACCATCTGGGGAATAAGAAGTGCGGAAAATGTACAAATAAAAATGTGAAGATTTTTAACAACACAGGGAAGAGTTGATTTAATCTTTCTGAAGGGCTCAGTACTATGCAGCCCTGAGTGTCCTCTTTTGAAGATAAAGGGAGCCCAGATCTTGGCAGAATCAGGCCCCTCATTTATTCAACACATATCAGACACGTACTTCTAAAACAAATTAACATAGAAGAGTAATAGTCCAACTATAGTGGGGTGCCAACTGGCAAATGCAGCTTCAGGTTTCTCAATGCATAGACAAAAGACATGCCAACTGCTGCTTTCCTTGGCCAGATGGCAGGAAATAGTAAAAGAAGCTTATGTCGCTTTCTTTATAAACCATCAATATTTTTCAGTGGAATCATAATTGATAACAATGTATTATGAAAAGCCTCAGAGGTGAGATTTTAATATATTTCTGATATATTATCAACTCAACAAAATGCGGAAATCATCATCTGTATCACCCTGATTTGGTACAGACAGAGCCAAAAGAACTTTAAATAGATTCATATGTGTATATACACACACAAACACACACACACACACACACACACAATGAATAATGCTACATGTGCTAAACAATAACTAGAGTACCTTTAAAGTAAGCCGTTTAATTATTAGTGCAGATTCTGAACTGGCAGACAAGGGCTTCCCAACAAAGTGATAGAGAATTAGTGTGTTTGGTGAATGCTTCTGTTGCAGTTGAATCCTATTGGGGCAAAAAAAACACACACACATTCCCAATAGCCCACATTTTTCTAAATATATTCTTATTTCCAATAAATATTATTGTAGATTTGTCAAATGTAATTATATATTTCAGCTTGGCACCTGCAGTATATACATAATAAAATAAGTCAGAAAATTAATCATCCATAATCAAATATTTTCCATCAGAATTTTCACTTTTTATCTCCACTGGACTAGAGGGATTTTCAGGTACTTGCTACATTCACAGATTACAAAGATAAAACATCAAAAAGAGGAGATCCTTGGGGGAAGGGTGGGTAATGAATGCCCTGATGGCATCAGCATTCAAGTGTTACTCATCGGAATACTGTCAGTTTATTTTATGGCAGTAGGTTCTGTTGTAGATCATGACTGACTGCAAGATGCATTTCTGCAATAGGTTTCTGGATTTGGATCCTCCCTTCCATTTACCTCAGCGGGGGCACTTAGCGGAGATGAAATTTTCCGTTGTAACCACCACCACCCTCATTCTCAGAACAGTGCACAGCTCCCTGTGTAGGAGCTGAGTTGGGGTTCTCCGTGGCACTCTCCCCTGTGGGTTGTAACGGGGTGCCTAGACTTTAGAGGGTTGCTTTTGGAACTTCAGTATTTTTCTAATGCTGGTTTCTCCTGCTACCGTCCAATGTTGTGCTGTTCTTGTTTGAAGTGTAATTTAAAAAAAATATTAACCATTTTTAAAAATACCATTTTGACAGGAGAAGAGATTTGCCAGAGCCTGGTCCTCCAGACACAAGAAGAGGTGGGATGGGTGCTGGTGCTGCCACTAGATCATTTAGACGTTCATAATACTGCAAACAGAACAATTTAAGTTACAAGGGCTCCAGTATTAAAGAAATACATATCCTGATTAATCAATATACTGATTAATGCATCCTCCAAATATTTAAGCACATACTTAACTTTAAGAATGTTTAGTTCCATTGAAGTCAGTGGACTAAGAGTAAAACAAAATATATGGATATAGAAACAAAGTGCTTTTGTTGTTGCTTTTTTAATGGGGAAGGAAGCATGGAAAGTGCTAGAATCACTAAAAACTACTATTTAATACCTCTTCCATAAAAAGTTTAAAAGTAGAAAATAATTTTTAAAAATTAGTTTGGGATGAATTTGCAGTACTAATAAATATGACTGACTAGTGGCATTGGTACAGTAAGACCTAGTACAAGAAGGCATGCAATTCCCTCTGCACCTCTGCTAATGCACTGCAATCTTGGCCTGCCAGATCCCAGTGGTGTTCCAGACTTGTGTCTCATGAGAATGTATTACCAACTGGACTAAATTATTGTGTTGTGGTTTTATGAGGTGAGCAAATGTCCATTAGGGACTAGAGTGAGACAAAAATTCATTTTGCCCCTGACAAGGCAAATTTGAATGTAGACCTCCAAGAATGGAAGGATGGTCCAGTGGTTAGTGCATTAGGTTTAATTCCCTGCTGCACCACAGACCTCTGTGTGACCTTGGGCAAGTCACTTAGCCTCTCTGTGCCTTAGTTACCCATCTCTAAAATGAGGATAATAGCTCTGCCACACAGAGTGTTGTGAGGATAAATACAGGCACTCAGATACTATGTTGATGGGGGGCACATAAATAACTAAGATAGATAGCCAAGGATAAAAGGATAGTGTTCTAATATTCTGTGTCACCTACTGCTACAAGTAGTTACACTTGATTATATGGAACTGGCTATTTTTAGAAGCTACAAATTCTTATAGAACCAGAAGTACAGAATAATATGAATGAAGAATAGCAGAGCATATTCCTTATAATTCTAAGAAAAGGAATTATCTCTGTGTTAACTTTTTAATTTCCATTTCTAAAATAAGTTAACCAAATTTACTGGAAAAACAGCATTCAAACTTGTCTCTGTTCAGCTTTCATCTCTATTGGAGGCAGCACAGCAGACTGTATCAGGTTTGCCAATAACGTATGGGACACAACATCTACCAGTGGGAGATGGACAGTTTTCCAGGACTAACTCCTCACATTTGATCCCTATCATTACATTTTTGCATTCCAAAACCCCATAGAAGAGATTCTCTCCCATTATGGCCTCGCCCCTGAGTGCGCTGTGGCAGTGTAGAGGAGCCATAAAAGCCCCTGAGCCAGGGTTCCCTCGGTACAGGTACTGCATAGGACAGCTGTTGGCTCACTTAGATCGTATCTAACAAAGAAATTATACAACTTTAACTATTCCCGTATGTTATTAAAGTGGTGCAACCCCCTAGTGTGAACGAAGTTCTAGGTGAATGGTATAGCTTATTCCTGTAAAGGGTGGAGGAACAGCAACGCTGGTATAAGGCACCTTTATGCCGCTATAACTAGGGGTTACCTTGATTTAACTACTTCAGTAGAAAATTCATATCCTTAACTGAAATAGTTCAATCAGTACAAAAAAAGTGGATAGACCAGGGCTAACACAGGACCCTTCGCAAGCCCTGAAACAGGGGGTGAGGTCATAGTGCACGGTACAACGGCCATTTTGAGAAGCTCCAGGTTGCCGAGCTGTTCAAAGGCAGTTCAGGGAGGGCTTCTGTAATTTAGAGCAGTCCCCTGGACTTCTTAAATTACAGCATGGGCCATTTTGGTTCCCAATCAGCCCAAAATCCCAGGGACAAAACGATGGCTTACAGCCACCTTTGCCCCTCTTTCTCAGAGCTGTGCTTGTGCATGCTGCATCTCCAAGAGGCGCAAGCATAGAGTGTCAGCCAGTTCCTCTGGGAAGCACAGCACAGCACAGCACGAAAGCACACCCACTTATTCAAGCAGCAACATAATTCCCCACCAGAGACACTTTTCACGGATTCCTCTAGATGTATTAATTCAACCCTTTCTAGGTGTATCTGTTTTTGACTCCTAGTTTTACAAGGGCTTACAGGTGAGGCAGTCCAGGAATCATAGAATCATAGAATATCAGGGTTGGAAGGGACCTCAGGAGGTCATCTAGTCCAACCCCCTGCTCAAAGCAGGACCAATCCCCAATTTCTGCCCCAGATCCCTAAATGGCCCCCTCAAGGACTGAACTCACAACCCTGGGTTTAGCAGGCCAATGCTCAAACCATTGAGCATTTCAGTACCCCTTTATTTTTTATTTTACTATGTCTTTCTCTCACACAGAGTCAGAGACATTAAGATTGTGGACTATGTTTCATTATCATAATCCAATTCCAACAGACCTAATTCTCTGTATTGACACAGGGCTTTCATTTGCTTCAAAAAGCTGTTTGAGGCCTTTCATTTAGACTTCAAAGTATGGTGTGTTACTCACCCTCTAAGAGAACCCCTTATTTCTGGACAGTATACTATCACGGCAACATTTCCTCCAATGGAGAAACAAGGACCATTTCTTCACCAATGACACTTTAAAACAGACATAACTGGCATTGTTCCAGAAACTAAATATATCATCTGTCTAACACATATGGTCTCCTCTAGCCTAAGGTGTAAAAGCTCCAAGGTTGTTCTCAAACATAGGTCCTTCCATATAACAGCATCATTGCTGCTCATGAAACAGAGACATTTATTTCCCTTAATCAACAGACATTTCTATCTGCTTACTTTCTCAAATCCTAGTTCACATGTTGAGTTAGAAGCCTGCTGGAAAGCTTCCATCTGTTCTTGTTCATCATGTGCATCCCACAGCACATCTCCAAAAACTTCCTCTTCAGGCGCAGTGGACTCCTCTTTATTACCCAAATCCTTGCCTTCTACTTCTGTGCTTTCACAGCCCAATATATCCTGTGTAAGAAACAAACCACATGGAAATATTGTAACTTATTCCTTAAAAGTATATGCTATCATTGCCCCAGATTCTTTCAACTAGGCAGTGGGCACCGCTTACATGTCATTTTGGACTTACATTTGTGGCATGAAATGTATTCCATATGGTATGGGCTGCATACCATACTGACACACACTGGACAGGACAGTTTTTATGCACTGTATCCCTTCCCGCTTTAGGTAACAATTCTGGGGTAGATGAGTGAATTCTATTCGTGTCAATGGATCTGTGCCCATGTACGCCAGCAGAGAATGTGACCAAATGAGTCCTAGTGATGCTTTATATTGAGATCTCAAGAAGCTGCTTTCAGTTTTCCCCATGATGGAGGTTACCTACAGTAACATAGTTCTTAAACTATTTTATTCAGTTGTGGCTTTCCTTACTTCCAGGTATTAATAATGCTGAAACATATGGAGGCCTTTGAATTAAGACAAAACATCACTCATTTGTAGTGAATATAAATAGATTATTAAATAGACCGTGGATTTACTACAGTGCTTGCAGAATACTGGCAATATGGCAATTTTGTAAAGCCATGGATGGCACTGCCCCAGAGTCTACCATTCAAATTGTAAGCAGGAATGCGCAAAGTAGCCTCTCATGTGGAATACACAGCATCATGCACTCTACCTGTTTAATTATCTTTTCCACACAATTATAAGTTTCATACGCTCCTTCTTCCACTCCTCCCATGTGATCAATGAGCTGAAAAAGTTAATGACAAAATATGAAGCAACTCTGGGATTGACTATTAAACACAGATGCAGTTACTGAGGCATGTAGATATAAAATATATCCAAAGCTTATATTCTTTCCAGAACAACATTCGCCACCTTTCAAAATGAAAACTACTTTGGAGGCTTAGCCTCTGGCACCGTAAGACAGAATTTCATTTAAAAATGAGATGCTTCCACCTCACCAAAGATACTTTGGCAGTGGATAAGAAGGCTTAACGATGAGCTAGGACCCAGGAGGGTTCCTCTCTCAGCTCAGGAAAGCTAAGAGAGGACTTCTGGATAATGATTTACTAAGGCAGCTGCATTTCATTGCTAATAAAGGTGCCTGTAAGAAGAAGTCATCTTCCAAGGGAAGTTGGCCGCCAAGAGAGTGTATTCAAGCAGAGCCTGAGTACGCTTCAGGGGATTATTTGTTTGTTGTCCTTTTCCTTATTTGAGTAGTCAACCCACAGGCAGGAGGAGGAGGGGACTTTGAATCAGAGTTCCTTTGTTTTGATGATATCCAAAAAACAATACAGGAAAATGTACTATTAATGATGTGGTTAGATTATTTCTCTAACTGGAAAGTCCTGTAAAATGTAATAGGGATTTAGCATATAAAAAGTTCATAGTATTCTATAGGAATTAGAGTATAGCACAGAATTTAAACAGAGAATGCCACTTGTATATACATTTTTAAAAATCATTCCAAATCATAGAATCATAGAATATCAGGGTTGGAAGGGACCCCAGAAGGTCATCTAGTCCAACCCCCTGCTCGAAGCAGGACCAATTCCCAGTTAAATCATCCCAGCCAGGGCTTTGTCAAGCCTGACCTTAAAAACCTCTAAGGAAGGAGATTCTACCACCTCCCTAGGTAAATTCTATAGCAGGGTTGTATTTTCCCAGAGGATGATCCAAAATAATACAGAACAGTTCTTTTCTATTAAATATTATAGGATTTTTTCATAAGGATTCTGTAAGAAATTTAGAGCCAAATTCTGCTCAGTCGCACCCCCTGCGCAGCTGAGAATAAAACTTTGTTCAAGTTTCTGTACAGGCACAGTGCTCAATTTTTTAAATCTACAATTTCATAAAATTCAACATCATACACCTGTTCACAAAAGATGTCCATAACAAAGCATGCGTTGTAATATTTGAGGTTACAAGTATTATGCTACAAAATAAGAGGACAACAAATCTCTGAAACATAACAACCTTCTACATGTTGTACCTTTGCTTTGTTCACATAACAAACTTGCTCAGTTAACTGCTGCACAGGGTCTGAGCTGACTTTGCCATCTTCTATTCTGCGGTAAATCAGCCGGGGCTTTCCTTCAGGATTTTTCAATAAGGCTTCTTCACAGTCCTCCAGCAAACAGCTAGATTGGAAATCAGCAGTCTTGAGCTATAATACACTGTTGCAGTACGCAGTTTAATCAACATAAGCTCCAAGGACGGGTTTCACTGCAAAATCTAATTGAAAGGGCACACCTTTTACCATGAAGGCAGCCAGACATTGAAACAGAGGATATCCAACGTCTGGGCCAGGAAAATGGAGAAAAGTTCTCAGGTTGCTAATTGTACTCACGATATTAAGATTCTTTCAGTAGCAGGTTTACACATGATTGCTTTTTTAATTCAGAAGTCTATTTTCTACAAACCCTCTCATCATACTGGTACTCAGATTAAACAGTAATAGTTCTGCATTAGGTTTTCATACACATAAGAATAGAGTCACAAGTCATTATTAACAAATGTCAAAAGTATTGATGCACTGTCATCAATTATTTGAATGCCCTATCCTGCTCCCTAAAGTCAGAGGGAAAACTTTAGGGTTCAGGACCTTAGTTAAGGCTCACCAAAATGGACAATTTACACTCACAACTTGAATCTAAACAATGCACTGTACCTGTATGTGTGTGAAGGAATATCTGTCTTTATTCTTGAAAGTTCTGCCTTGTGAATCTATTATGCTACACAGAGAGCCAGCATCAGGGAGACAAACTAGCAGATAGGTGTAATCTTCCACACATGAGGCATTATAATCTTAATCTCACTTTTTGTACAAGAAACTATTTAAATTAATATTGTTGTCAGGAAGGTCTCATTCTTCTCTGAGCTGTATTGTCCACATGGATTCCACTCTTGGTGCACATGTGGCCCATGTACACAAGATTGGATTTTTTTGGCCAGCAATATCAGTAGGGCCAGAAATGCTCTCAGTGTCTTTGCATTGCCCCCACTTCTCCAAGGACATAAAGGGCAGAGCAGACCCAATTTTCCCTCAGTTCTTTTTTACCACCTGTGCCAGCAAGATGGAACCCCTGCAGTGTCTCTGTCAGCCTGCTGCTTTGCACACAGTGCTAGCATTAGTTAGTCAGCAGTATTATCAATTAGCAAGTTGTTAATTAGCCTTTTTGCCCATTAGCAAAAAAACCCTTTTTTAGTCAGATATTTAGTTTATAGGCTAGACACCCCCACATCTGAACCAGGGTGCTAGCAAAATGGCAAAAGGAAAATCGTCAGGATTCAAAACCTAACTCCTTGTGTAACATTTCAATGGCACATATCAACAGACACTGTAGGTACCTTTTTTTGTTTAGGAGAGGGACACATTCCTGAATGATGTTCTATATGTTGCTCTTTCTCTTAGCAGACTCAAAAAGCTAGAGAAGCCTCATCCCAAGTTCCTGACCAAAGCTGACAGAGTTCCATATGAATCAATTTATTCATCTCCAGCTTTCTTCCCCAATCCTCACTCAACTCCAAAGGCAGCTAAACTTCAGACACTTAATGTAGTAATGTCATAGTTCATTAAAAGGCCAAAAACTAGACTGTTCCTGGCCCCTTGCTAATAAGATTATGGGTCAGACAATATCCTGACAGAGATTATCAAAATGGCTGTTCAACTGTATAAGGACAAATTGAAAATGACGACTCTATGCCCATTATTTAGTGTTTTCACTTCTAATCCCTCTTTTCTTCCTCCTTCATGGTATACAGCCAAAAAGAAGAAAATTCCAAGCTGCAAAATAGAAACAACTGAATTGTAACATTATCCTTAAGTCAATACTTTTGGTTTAGAAAATTATTTTTCTTCTAGTAAGACGACCAATTATTCACTGCACAAGTGAAAAGCACTGCATTACCAGTTGTTATAAAATATCATGGATTTAGTAAATTACATCACAACAGGCTAGGGCAAGACTCTGCACTGAAGAGCCAGGAAATTAACCGAGAAGTAAGTTAGAGAGACAAAAAGAATATGCAACCAAATAAAACAGGTAATATAGGCAGGTGACTAGACAGATAAGCAAATAAAACACACAGAATATGTTCACACATGCCATCTCTAATTTCTATGATTCTATCACTAGGAACAGCAGAAAGCTGTTCTTGGAAAGCAAGAAATTTGCATATTTTGATGGCTCTTTTATGTTGTATTTTAACAGAATCTAGAGCCACAGGAACAGGGAAACCTCAGAAAGAAGCTGCTTTCTCTTAACTGTCTGTGCTAGAAAATCTAAAGTCTGAAGGAAGATTTGTTAGAAGAAACTAGCTTAAGAAATGCTGTAAGTGGAACACTGCATACATGTTAATAAGCTATGTGTTATACATAAATTATCAGTTTCTCTTTGCTTTGTCAATCTACAAAACTATTAACTTACCTTGGCAAAGTTAAATGTATGAACAAAATGACTAAGGAACTTTTCTCAATTTCCCATTTTCTCACAGCCTGGAAATGATTTCCATTTTCTACTGGAAAATGAACAACTTGAAAGAAGTACCCCATTGTTTCACATATTCTTTGAAGTTTTGGTGAGTAGTTCTGAAAGGAAATTTAAATAAACTGACCTTTATTATTAATTATGCATTTCAATAAGGACCTATTAATAAACCCCAATTTATTTTCAATATAAACTTTCTCCCATTGAAATCCATAACAAAACGCCCACTCATTTCAATGGGATCAAGATCTGACTCCTAAACTTTTTAAGAACTACCACAGAGTTTTGATGAACAAGTATTAGAGGAGAAAAATAGAGAACCTTAAATGAATGATTAACTAACATAATTTTTGTGCTGTTCTCACCCGAATGAAGATGTCCACTTCAGGTTGAGTCTCATCTGTATTAATGAGATAGCACCTTACTGTGTTACTCCACAGAGAGTGGGAAAACAGTGGAGTGACCTGCAATAAACTGGCAATAGCAGCATCCCAGTCATCTGCAAACAATATACAAAACCACAGGTCTCCTTATCTTGTTACATCATATAACAGTTTGCATCAATGCTCTCTTAACACACCCTAAGGAAATAATATAAAATATATATTATATTTAAATAAATATATATTTATATATTATAAAAATATAGCAAAACAAAACAGCAGAATGTTAAATACATTCACATTACATACCTATTATGTTTCTTTTAAAATAAGTGTTTGTGAAATTTAGCCAAAATGTCAAGTTGATGGCTTTCATACAAAAAAATTAAATTCTCTAACAGAAGTAATAAAGATGCCCATGTAATTAAATGCCTAACTAAGCAATTGTTAGTAAAATACTGCTGCTTTAAAATTAATTGTAAATATACTAAGCTAACAAATGTTGGTGAACTAATAGGTAGCATAATTCTTCTTTAGATAAACTGCATTGTTCTCCATGTGTATGCTGTATGTCAATTCAGCTTATCACAGAAAGCTTTAAAGCTAATTCTTTTCTTAGCTTCTCATTTTGTAGGCTAACATTACCTATGATCTGAGCAGTTTCAAGGAAGCTACTTGACATGTGAAAGTCTTAACACTTTAGCATTACTGAAAGGTAATTTTGTGTGTAATTTTGTATTTTTATGAGATCTCTAATAGCTCACTATAATCTTGTAAATTCCTGCAAATGTATTTTGAAATATAAAACACCATTTTTCTGATAAGCTGACTAGTGAGTTACTAATTGTCTCCTGAAAATGTCAAAAAGTGACCTTTCACTAGCAGTAAAGTGGTGTTGCAAAGTGACATATACAGAGAAACTCAAAGTTAAGGATGATACATTACTTGTCTGAGTAACTAATTTGAACTGAGTCTGTGTCACAGGCTAGTATTGAGATTAAGGTAGTGAGGCAAGCCAAATTAGAAAGTGTTGTTACTAACTACAAAATACTGGAATTGATAGGGAAATCAGTGATAATCTTTCCCATAGTACAAATGTAATTCAGCATGCATAGGTCCTGATCATGCAATTGGATCTGTGTGGATGAACCCTCAAAGTCATGGAGAGTTCCATTTAAGTCAATGGGATTCTGCCTGGAAGGGTCTTCCTATGCAAATCCAGGTGAAGGAGAGGGGGCATGGTTTGTGACATCATGCATGTGGCCTATGTGCCGAAGGATCTGAGCAGTGTGAAAAATATTTGAAATTATTTGAAAAATAAGGCAAAAATCGGACAAGATACAGGGACTATGTCAGGCTAAAATAAAGCACATTTAAAATACATTTTTCTTGGTTATGTTATTCAAAGCAGGGTCATCTAAAGCCTTTTCTTGAGCCCCCCCAGGCAATAAATTGGTATTTGGTATATTTACTCTGAAGCATTCAGATTCACTGTCATTACCTAAGAATACTGCTGCACATATTATTAGCAGTAAAAATATTAAACACCATTAGGCGTGTCTTAGCTATACTTTCATTTTATTTTTATAAAAAGCAGTCATTCAAAGGAAAATATGGAGTGACAGATACAGTAAATCCCTTAACGGGGGATAAGAATGGATACAAAAGACCTCCAAGGTAAACAGTACTTGTATGTAAACAGCCACTTGTTAAACCCGCTTAGCAGACAAACACGAGTTGCTTACCTCTGTTTATGTTCGCAAATGGTCCTTCCACATCTATGGAACTATGAGCAAACTCGGGCCCTCTGAAAGACTGCTGAAGTTGCATCATACTACCCATAGATGGCTCACTTCCCAACACTCCACCAGTCCAATATTCAGATTGGGCTCCAGTAGCTTAAAAGTAAATACAAACTGATTTTCACTAAATGAAATACATTATCAAACCTAAACACTTCAGTTAAAATTGGCTGACAAATGCCACTAATTGAAATTCTTCTCCCTTAGCATGTTCGCTCACTGCTTTGTCTAATGTGGTTTTAAATCTGCACTCCCTCACTGTTACTATTTCTTTAGTAGCATGGCTTCTCAGTAACAGAGCATGTTAGTACATGGGTCTCTCAAAACTGAGGACGCCATCATTGGTTTCAAATGCTGTATTAGGTCACCTATAAGGAAGAGTTTCATAGTTTTACTGTAGTCATTTGTGCACGTCACAAAGTCACCACACTGTTGACAGTCTCTGTTTAAGAAAGACCCAGACCTAAGGAGCAGAAAAGTGTTGCAGGTCAGAAGTGAAATACATTTCTTAGTTGGGTGGAAAAGCTTTATAGTTAACTTCTCATATTATCCTTGGATTACACCATTGCCTACTAATCTATCACTTTCAAGACCACTAAATTCAAATTTTTGAAGAAAAAAATGAAAATAAGTTAAGAAAGATTTTTAAAGGAGGGATGAGGAAGTATAAAACACAAATAAGAAGGAATATAAAAGAAGAAGGGAGAAAATATACATGGGGAAGAGGTAGGAATCATAAGCCCGTTAAAATCAATGGTGTCACTAGAATTTAGCACGTGCATAAGTGCTTTGCAGAATCAGAGCCATACATAGCACTATGAAACATTTCTAGTTCTGAAGGTTATTCAGCCACTTCAGCTGTGATTTGTGTTACATCTTGTTAGCAAAGCAGGGTCAGATGTAATAGCACGGGACACTGGACTTCAAGGGAAAACCCAAGTTTTGCAGGAAGTGATGCTGGTGATCCCTAGTCTGTATCTAACCAATACCATGGCATGGTACTAATGGGCACTGTGCTGATGGAGATGCCATGTTTTGGATCAGATGTAAAACCAGGAGACTGAATGCTTATAACCGCTAAATATCCAGTGTTGTTAAAGATTAAGGCTGTTCAAAACTGGTCCCCCCTGTCAAATTCCAATTTGACATTCTGCGTAGGTTTCCAATTTTGTTCATTTTCTGTTCTGATGGGTTATATGGGGCTGATATGCCAAACTGGAACATAACCTCTAGACTTGAGAAAATGAGATCAGATAGCAGGAAACTCACAATGAAAATACAAGAAAAGCAGAAAGGTTCAGGGAAGGTAGAAAGTCAAGGTGTTTTTTAGAATATGGAGCACTATAAATATAAATGGAATCACCAAAAATGGCTAATTTGTTTAGGGCCTCCACAGACTTAAAAAAAACACAATTTAAATTGTAAACTGTTTTTATCCTTCATACAATATCTCTTTGTGCTTTTAAAACTTGCATTATAAAGCCTCACAATCTATAGTGCATATATATTTTCTTTTGCTATACTTCATAAAATTTAATCTTTTTTTATTCGCTTGCTGAAAGTAGGAAATGGAATTCTTACCAGTAACTTCTGTGCAATTGTCATCTGAATCAGACTCTTCGGGATCGAAGACTTGGATCCCTTGGGCTTGCAGTCTCTGAAGTTTTGTTTCCAGCTCTCGTTTGGCCCTCAGTAAATCCTGAATCTCATTTTCCTTAGTTTCCCTGAAAATCTAGAAAAAGGAAAGGATTTTTTTTAAAGTATAAAGCCAACTCCTACTATTTTATCACAAGTCTTGTGAAATTTGATGTTTGATCTATAGCCCCAGCTTCTGAATTCATGTGATCTGCTGTCATTAAAAAAAAAGTGAGATTTGAGCCCTCGCTATGGTAGAGAAAGACTTGAAAACGTGACCCAAGTGAACATAAGAACGGCCATACTGGGTCAGACCAAAGGTCCATCTAGCTAGTATCCTGTCTGCCAACAGTGGCCAATGCCAGATGCTTCAGAGAGAATGAACAGAACAGGTGATCATTAAGTGATCCATCCCCTCACCCATTCCCAGCTTCTGACAAACTGAGGCTAGGGACACCATCCCTGCCCATCCTGGCTAATAACCATTGATAGCTCTATCCTCCTTGAATTTGTCTAGTTCTTTTTGAATCCTGTTATAGTCTTGGCCTTCACAACTTCCCAAGTGCAACCCATTCTCTCAAAATCAGAAGGCGAATAAAGGAATCCAACATTTATATTATTTTTAAATCAATGCCATGATTTTGGGGTTACTGACTCATGATTTTTGAATGTTTGGGATGGACAGTACTAAAATAACCTCATAAGTAATATCCATGGTTTTTAACTTAGTTTTAAGAAAAGCCAGCTTTTTTCAGCAACAAAACTATAATTTGTTCTCAAAGATTTCCCTATTATTTTTTGAATGGACGTATATTATTTTACTGTGGATTGTTGTACTGACAGCTATACACCTTTAATTTAAGTAGTTTAAAATACAGAGACCAGATATCTGGAATTGTCTTATATATGCAATATTACTATCACAAGCTAAAACTGATTAACGAGCTTGGTCTTTGATCAAAACTAAGTACTTAAGATCCCAAGCGTATACAAGAGATCTGTAGACTTAATTACAAATACAATTTAAAACAAAACTCTTTGAAAGCAATCCTTGCCTTACTTATCTACCAAAACATTTCCTCTGCTACAGTTGATCATATTGGCAAGCCCTAAAACAGTGCAGAGAAATGCATTCACTGTCTAATTTTGGGTGCTAGCAGTGGGATCAGCTGCAGGAGGGGAAAACCAGAAGCATCAGCTTGGCAATTAATAAGCATTTCAAGTCACCCTAATGCAAAAATATTATGGCTTTTATCGTCACTTGGCTCTTGTATTTTAGTAGCACAAAGAGATGTGCCCATAGCTGGCACAGGGGGTATTTTTTTAATGAAAACTAAAAATGTTGAACATTAAAAAATTAAATATAAGCATTACTGAGAAATAACCGAAGTCAGTGAGCCTACAATTTATTTTTCTTTATAACATCATGTAACATAACTTCTGATCTGCATGTTCCTTGCCCCTTCTAGGTGTGAAATTGGCAAAAGCTGATGAAATGGCACAGAAGGTGCCAGGATGTTGAGCAACAGTAAATTTTCTCCTTTCCATTTTCAAAAGCATTATTTTCCACTAAGACTAAATGTTATTAAAAAACATTTCTACAGGTAAATTTTGGTATGATTAATTTGGAGTAAATAGTGGATTAAGGCCCTGGACCTACAATGAGTTTCAAATCAGCAGACATCTGCATCTAGGCAGAACCTACCCAGAGAGAGTTCACTGAGGGATTTTCTTGGTCATTTTCCTGGGGGATAAAGTGAAGATGCTTACCTTGAATTGTCTCTTGACTTTGTCTCGGTCGTGTTCAAATGTAGCAGCTCTCTCCATGGCTTGATATTTGGCTTCTAAAGCACTTTCTTTCTCTCTAAGTATTTTCTGGTAAGTTTTCTGAAGAGCCTGAAAATATTTAATATATGATTTCTCTGAAAGAAAATTATTATTGCTATAAAGTTTTAGCATACTTTTCAGCTACTGAGTTTAGATAGCAAATTCAATAGTTTTGCTGCAATAGCCCTTTTACAACTCTTAATTCAATGAAGAAGTTTTTGTTTGGTTTTTTGTTTGTTTAGATTTAAACATTGCATTGCAGTGTTGGAACACAAATCAGTGCAATCTTATCATGAATGACAAACAAAATATTTAACATTTTTATTAAAGCTAATGTTAAAGTTATATAATACACAGGTTGAGAAAAGAGTGTCTGTACATCTGGGTATAGTGCTCGGGGGTTCTTGCAACAAATTTTTGGGTGGCCTCAGAATGTGGCCACCAACTCTTGCTGGTGGCTGCTCTGACAATTTTTCCTAAAATACTTAATAACTTTAGAAAAAACAAATAAATATGTGCATATACATGTCCAAATCATTGTAATTTATTTATGTAGGGGTTTATTGCAGACTCAATAATTAAAAATAATGTACAGTTGTCTACCATTACTGGACCTAAACAGAATAGAAACACAATAAGGTGCTTTGCATGTTTTGCTTTTTTTGGTTGCTTTTTTATTAGACTTGCTAGCTAGTAAGTCTGCTGTGAAAAGTGACTTTTGTATATTTGTTAATACCACTTTTACAGCAGACTTGCTAGCTAGCTGGGAGGCTGTGAAAAGTGATATTAATAAAATATCACTTTTCACAGCAGACATACTCAGCCCCGGTAAGCTGGGGGACAAATTAAGCCCTGGATGGGGAAGTGGGTAGTGGGGCCAAGGGGTGAAAGGGGGATAGATAGATGGGAGTCAGGGAAGATGGGGGAAGTGAGTCCAGAGCAAGAGCCTGGGGCCCTGGTGCACAGATGGGGACTGGAGGAGGCAGCGAGGGCCAGGGGCGATGTGCAGGGGGTGATCCTGGAGCCCTGCAGCTGTGGGATGGAGCCTGCTGCCACACGGCCAGAGCCTGTACCCCCACCCCCGGGCTTAAGCCTGAAGCCGAGCCCCACTGTTCCCAGGAAGGTGGGGAATTCACACTGGCTGCTTACTCCTACATGTTTGTGGCTCCAGAAGGGGACAGAGACCAGTCCCTACTGGTGGCCCTGGGGGAGGTTTACTCCCCACACCCCCCATCATCACCCAGGAGGCTGTGGCTGCAAGAAAAGCCCCTGGTGGCCACATGCAGCCACGGTGGCCACATTTGAGAAACACTGGTTTAGATTATCCGCAAATACAAAGTTTGTTTTTAAAGTCATAAAATACATATAGTGCAAGCAGACTCCAGTGCTCTAATGCAGCCCCACTGACTTCATTTTTACTTCAGTGGGGCTCTGAAGAAACCTGGAAAGAAAAGTGAAACTGACCAGTTCAAGCTGGAAATATTGCAAATAATAAACCAATTGTCTAAATGGTGAAAAGTAAATTAGATGTTTTATTTTATTATAAAAATTTAAGCTTTTATTAAAGATGTCTAGATTAACATAGGTAAAGAAATTGAACACATTTTTTAACTGTCCATTTCTTTTTTTAGTTGCCGATTTGTCCATGTAAAAATGCCATCTTGATCTGAAATATTTTGCCAGCAGTTGTGAATCTTGTTTCTACCATGCTATATTTAAAAACTGGATTTTTATAAGGGTGCTACTCAGCAGCTCCACACAGAGTAGGCGGGAGAATACTGGGAGGTGGACAGCTTGTCCAGAAGATGCTGGGAACAGGAGGAGATAAAGAACCCTCGACTGCTCTCCACCAAGAGACTAGTTGGGAGGAAGGAGGTCAATGCTAAAGCCATAGTTGAGGGGTCTATTCCCCATTTCAAAAGGCGTATGGGGTAGTGGAAAGAGATCTGGGTTCTGTTCCCAGTTTTGACACTTATTTCCTGAACAACTTTAGACAAATCTCTTGTCTTCTTTATCCCTCCGTTTTCCCATCTGTAAAATGGAGATACTCAATTTATCAAGTGCTTTGAGATGTAAGGATGAACAGTGCTAGACAGGAGCTAATATTTGCCTCAGAAGATGAGATCTTCCCTCCCACCCCTTTCCCTATCAACCATGGCGTGGGTCAGTAGAATTGCTAGTTACCTGGAGCTCTGCCCGGAGTCTCTTGTTCTCCAGGTCCAGCTTGGCTTCTTTCTTGACCATAGAGGCCACCTCGTTGTTCTTGCTGACACGGAAGATCTCATATTCTTTTTTCAGGCGCTCATACTCCGCCATGCACTCCAACTCCTGTACTGAGGCAGTGGATTTGAAGCTGGCCCCAATGAGGCCTCCAGGCCGCGAAGCACCCACCCGGCGGAAAGAACTGCGCAGCAGGCGAGCTTTGGGCTTCACCTCTACTGGGATCTCACAGGCTTCGCCACCACCTCCCCCATAAGTGTCCTCAATCACCTCCCCGCCAGTGCCCGCTGGGCTCACCAGGGAGGAAGCTGTCCCCATCGTTGGGGGCCAGGTTGGGATGCTGCCCTCACTGCTGCTCCCCTTTCTCCATGGGTTTGGCAGCTGGAGTCACCCAGTAGCCAGGCATGGGTGCCAGGCACGTGTCACTGGTTCTGTCCCTCTAGCAGTTTATACCAGGGTCATGCCTGTGGTGTCTGTGCACCGGTGGAGTGGCTGGCAGTGGGGCTCCCCACACAGGTCAGGGGCTTGCCCGGGCTCTCCCCACCAGTCCCTACCAACTAGACTGGCTTCAAGCCCCACTTCCACCCAGGGGAGCAATGACGGGCTGCCCCGCTGTCTAGGGCGGGCCCACGGGACAGCAGCAGCAGCTCCCCAGGGTGGCATGAATAACACCCCTCGGCAGGGGGGGAGCCAGCCATAGCCTCGGGGACTCCGTGCCCCCGAGCCCCGGGTCTCGGGCAGCCGCAGCGCTGCAAGGGGCGGGACAGGGCTCAGAGGAGGAAGGAAGGAGGGAGCCACGTGGGCCGCCTCCAGCCCGCCCCGGACAGGGCAGGGTGGGGGCCGGGACTCGGGAGTCTCTGCGCCCGGCGGGCTGCAGGGCGCCTCCTGCGGACAGACCCCGCTCTGCGCGGCGCTGCTGGGCCGCCGGCTGGGAGCGCCAGGTACCGGCCCGAAGGGTGAGGGGAGGCGGGGCTGGCGGCCCGAGGGGGAAGAGGCGGGAGGGTGCTGACAGGGGCTGGTGGAAGAAGGAGGGAGGGGGGCAGGTCGGGGAGAAGAGGGGCCGAGCTGGTGGGGAGGGGCTCGTGGGGAGATGGGGGCTGGAGGGGGGACGCCTCGCTCGTGGCGCGGGGGAAGGGAGAGGGGCAGAGGCAGCGAGCAGGTACAGAAGCAAGGGGTTGGTTTGTTCCCCAGAGCAGAGGGACACGTCTCGAGATAAAAGAAATAACTGTGGGCGCTAAAGTATGGGGTGGGGAGGAGCGAAAAGAGGAGGGGGGAAGCCTATTTCCCTAGAAGAGTTGAGGAGGCAGGAGTCGGGAGGCAAAGCAGCCACTTATAGCATATTTTTTAAATTCTTTTAGCCACTTTTAGCATATTTTAGTTGGAGAGGTTTCAGAAACAATTTGCAAGAAAAAGAACAAGGAGGGGAAAGGAGCCAAACCCAAATAGGGCGACGTGGTAAATAGAACAATCTGTTTCCACCAGAAGTAATTAGTACAGTAATGCAGCTGGGGGAAACAGCATTGTACTTTAGGCTTTATAAGCTCTTTGGGGCACTGGCTTTTTTTTTTGTTGTGGGTTCCTACAGCGCTTAGCACAATGGACTCCTTGTCCCTGGCTCAGGCTGCTAGGCACTACATGTGACGTTCCCCTGGTATTATCCAGAGCAGTGATCTGCTAGGTCACTCCAGTCCTTGACTCTGGGAGCCAGCCTTACCCTGCTCTGCTGTGAGAACCCTCCCACTCCTGGGCTGTTCATGCACAGCCTCTGGCATGTAAGCTGCTCCTTGGATTGTGCAACCAAATGACACTAGCCAATATCTCTGGGCCCAGACACAACCCTAGGAACCTCAGTCTTGCAGTGCCCAGTTATGCCCACTGGATGCTGCAAGCTTATAGGAGTTCATCAATTTAACAAATAAGTTGATATGTACCAGGCTTGTTATCCCAAGGGGAGTCTCTGACATGCTTCAACCCAAACACACTGCTTCAGGTAGAATAAACAAACAAATGTATTAACTATGAAAGATAGATTTTAAGTGATTATAAGTCAAAGCATAAAAAGTCAGATTTGGTCAAATGAAATAAAAGCAAAACGCATTCTAAGCTGATCTTAACACTTTCAGTGCCCTTACAAACTTAGATGCTTCTCACCACAGGCTGGCTGGTTGCCCTTCAGCCAGGCTCTCCCCTTTGATCAGCACTTCAGTTGCTTGGTGTGGTGTCTGTAGATGTAGGTGGAAGAGAGAGGAAGAGCATGGCAAACGTCTCTCCCTTTTATCATGTTCTTTCTTCCCTCTTGGCTTTGCCCTCCCCCCTTCAGAGTCAGGTGAGCATTACCTCATCACAGTCCCAAACTGACCAAAGAAGGGGGGATGACTCACTTGAGAGTCCAACAGATTCTTTGTTTTTGCCCAGGCCAGTGTCCTTTGTTCCTGTGAGGCTGGGCTGGCTTTGTCCCATCCATGCCCTGATGAGGTGTGAACTTGCTTGGCCTTGATTTAAGCCATAAGGGCACATTTTCAGCCTCATAACTATATACATGAAATTACAACCTATAACATTACTATAACATTACCATAACAATGCCAAGTACATCATGAGCCTTCCGAAGACACCTGACATGACAAACTTTGCATTAGATATCACACAATCATATTATAAGGATGAACATGGGGGTGTACGCTGTTCCCATGAAGTACAGAGTGTCACACTACAGTCATACAAATAATAACAAAAATTAATGGTAATTTTTGTGTGCACTGAAAAATCTTCCCATTTTCAGGGGATCTCAGCCCTTACCATCCATTGAATCAGTTACTGTGCTAATTTGTTATCATTTCCCAAACAGCACAAATGGAAGTGCCCATTTGTTAAGGATGGTTAATCAGTTTCTATGTTCTAGCAAAAATATTTACGATTGTCCTTCCAGAATATGATTCCCTCAGAGGACTGCCACCTGTCCTGAAATTCACAGACAATTTAGAGCACCAGAGTTATTTAGGCTTTTACAATGCTAGGTCCCAATCCTGCAAGCACTTATGCACATGAGTAGTACTAATTCAATGGGACTGTTCATGTCCATGAGTGCTTACCGGATTGGGGCATTATGCAATGTAGCTGTCATCCCGTAGTTCTGTAACTGAATCCGCTCCTGTGATCTTACCAGCCCACTTAGCGCCTATCAAAGTCATTGGGATTTGATGGTGCCGAGCATTTCACAAGGGGTGATCAATGCCTAATAGGAACAGGCCATGACATTATGACATAATGGACAACGTCTACATAGGGCACTCCTACTTCAATGTGCTTTGTTGGAGTTAAAAGGCATATCTTTCTCCTGCCTTCATGTCTCTTTACAGCTTTCAGATCTACTCCTCGCGGATATCTTGGTTGTGGAGAAGCCAGGAAAATCCCTGCTCCCCTTAAAATTTAAGACTTAAATTATCTGTCTTCTGGCTCTAAATATTTGTTAACCTTCCTCCCCAGTAACATATGTCCTCTTTATCTTCTGGGGTTTGAATTCCATCAACTAAACACATTATAATGCACTATTTACATCTGTCTTTATCTTCAAGACTTTTGTCTGGCTCCCCACACATCCTGGGATATTTACACAAAGAAACCAGTGAGACTCACAAGCATGTTGGTTTATTCCCAAACCTCAGAATCCATCATACTGTAACAGTATGAAAGAAGAACAAAAAAAAATGACCAACCACATCAAAGAAGATCTTGTCTGGCTTATACATTTGCTGGGTGAGCAATTAACTAACTTATAATGTAGTAAAAGAAAAAGTATTTTAGAGAAATCTGATATGATCTCTTTCCGAACGCCTACACAATTGTTTCTGTCAGAGAGGAAAATTAGTGTATTGTACACAAATCAAAAAGGAAATGATTTTATTTTCTTTAATAACTCTGGCTTGTGAATTATGGGGTAGTGGCATGTAGCAAGATACTATGCTAACATGGAAAGATGTTGCATGTCTGTATGAAGAAGCAACTCGTTCCTTGGCTGAATGATGGGCTGTGGTTGATTGTCCTATGTAAAACTTATTTCAGCTAAAAAACCATTTGTGGCATACTGAATATGGGGTGTGTGGAAGTGCTACATGGTTCCTCACATTGACATCAATGGGAGTTATGCATGCCTAGCCAGAGCAGCATGCTTTCTATAAATATATCAGAGGGATAAATACCATGGAGAGAGAGGAATTATTTAAGCTCAGTACCAATGTGGACACAAGAACAAATGGATATAAACTGGCCATCGGGAAGTTTAGACTTGAAATTAGACAAAGGTTTCTAACCATCAGAGGAGTGAAGTTCTGGAACAGCCTTCCAAGGGAGGCAGTGGGGGCAAAAGACCTATCTGGCTTCAAGATTAAGCTTGATAAATTTATGGAGGAGATGGTATGATGGGTAGCATGATTTTGGGAATTAACTGATCTTTGACTATTTGTGGTAAATAGGCCCAATGGCCTGTGATGGGATGTTAGATTGGATGGGACCTGAGTTACTACAGAGAATTCTTTCCTGGGTATCTGGCTGGTGAGTCTTGCCCACATGCTCAGGGTTCAGCTGATTGCCATATTTGGGGTCGGGAAGGAATTTTCCTTCAGGGCAGATTGGAAGAGGCCCTGCGGGTTTTTCACCTTCCTCTGCAGTGTGGGGCACGGGTCACTTGCTGGAGGATTCTCTGCACCTTTAAGTCTTTAAACCATGATTTGAGGACTTCAATAGCTCAGACATAGGTGAGAGGTTTATTGTAGGAGTGGGTGGGTGAGATTCTGTGGCCTGTGGTTGTGCAGGAGGTCGGACTAGATGATCATAATGGTCCCTTCTGACCTTAAAGTCTATGAGTCTATGAGCATATAGATCAAGAATTCTGAAATGAAGCAGGGCTCTGAGTTTCCTCATTTGCATGTTAATATACAGAAGCTCTTCTATTTCAGAGCAGCACTGGTGTCTGAGTTCTGAGAACAAAGTCCAAGATTTGGTCATGCTTTTGGTTGCACCAAATTCTTTTCTGTGTTCTGGGTTCTTTGCAAGCCAGAATTGTGGCTTTCCTCACATGTAATCTCATTACCTTTGTCCTAGAATAAAAAAGACACGTTCTGCATTATAATGGACCCTTGATCCATTGCTAATAATCCACTGATAGTAACAATTAAATTGGAGGAATTGTTGATATTGCTTCTCTGATTGGTTCCTCCCACCTCCACCCCCATATGTGTTACAGGAATTTAATATGGGGACGAGAGAGTTTCTGAATAAGAAAATTACACTGCTTCCCCGTTGTTTCATGGGTTGGTTTTTCTGATGTTTAAAGATTTTAGAATAGACTTCTCCAAAATTTAATTTATAAATCTTTAATAGTGAAGACTGGTTAAATATAGTATAATTCAGAAGGGTCATTGCATAGCTGCTGGAAACAGAGCCTCAAGGAATGTGAAGACTGGCTGTCTTAATTTTCAAAGATTATTAAGTGACCCTGGTAAATGATAGTTCAGCCTTTGACCAAATATCAGATCAAGTTCTCCAAAAATGGTGTCATATTACATTTCATTTTTCTTTTTCTTAAGCCTCAACAGGAGCAACTTGACTAGCAGTCCTGTTGGGAATAAAACAATTAGGCATATTGTGATAATGTCATTCACAAACCAGTATGGGGTAGAATCTTTGAGCTAGGTTATGTCATAGCAATCCAACTATGAGTCCAGTTTATTGAGTTCATTGGGACAACTCGCATACATAGCTAATTGTGTTTGTAGAATCAGGACCCATCTTTGTAAAGCCCCTCCATGGCTGCTACTCCATGCTTTGGGCTGGAAGAGCAACTCCTGCCCCTTGTCACCTCCATGTGAGGGTCCTTACTCATTGGATCCATGTAATTGCAAATCCAGTGGTCCCCCCACCAGATCTACCAACATCTCTACCCTTATATCGACTCCATTCTGAGTCAATAAAGAGTCCACATCTCTGGAACACAGGCGATGCGTCCTTTCCCCTGAGCAGCCACTTTGCCCATATTTCCCTCCTATGCAGATTATTATTAATTATTTGTATTACCATAGCACCTAGGAATCCTAGTCATGGACCAGGACCCCTTTGTTTTAGCTACCACCCTGCTTCTATGGGGTTCTCCACAAAAGGTGAATTTCACCCTAAAAGAATATTATTTGTCAGAGACTCTACAGGCTTTAAGCATGTCATCATATTACTTCAGTGTTGTCAGAGAACTTTACACTGAAAGCCTATCACAGATTTTCCAGAACACATTCATTCACAGTGGAGACACAATGGGGCCAAATTCATCTTTAGTACAACTCCATCTGAACTTCACTAGGGTGAATATATATCCAGCTTGTCAATTTTCTGTGCAACTGGCCTTATTTCTTAGAAAACAAAACTGCATTGAAATAATAAATAAATAATAAATCTAAAGTTTTAAAAAATCTATTTGAAATCCATCATGGTGTTACTTTTGTCTTCAGTGTATACCGTAACATTTAAAAATGTGTGTTCATATGCTTAATTTGATGTTTAAGTTTTCACACTCTTGCCTTTATTCCATTTTAGGATATATTGTTGATCATGAGTTTGTAGGCATGGATCTGTCCCCTAGAGATAACTGGAGCATCAAGAACTGCTGTACTATATGAAGTTTTCTACAGATTTGTTCTGTGCAATGCCTTTTTATTTGTGGAAAAAGAAGGTAACTGTATAATTCTGATTATAAACTAAGTGGCCTTGCCTCTCACACACATTTTTGTGCTGTTTTATTACCCTGAGATTCATGACAGCTAAGAATTAGCACATCCAGCATCTAGCCACATAAATATTCCAGTATAATTTAGTATAAAGAGGTACAGAAAATAGCAAAGAAATTTGCAGCTGGAGTGAGTGTTTCAGAACATAGGCTCCCACAGTCTGACTGCATGTTATAAATAAGAGTTTTGCTATGATTGGAATAAATTATTGAAAACAGGATGCTCTAAATAGAAAACAACCGTGCGGCTCAAAGCTATCTTCTTCCTTATAAATTCAGAGTTTAGAATAATTAAATACTACTGACAAAGGCAAAGCATTAGAAAAGCCCTTCATAAATCAATAGTAAGTTGTTTGTGGCTGTACTGTACCAAAACTGATCAGTTTTTTATGATTTCATGGATTATTCCAAAATACATGTCGAAGCACAGCTTTTTGTCACATCATGATTAAGAGAGTTCTAAGGGGGATGTGTAGTGAAAGTAGTGCAATGTGGTAATTCTAAAAATGTTGCTTTTATTCTGGATTATACATCACTCTTGTTACTGGCTGTGAAGCTTTTAGTCTAAAAGTTAGCCTGATTGTCATCCCCAGTATTCTGGCCCATGTTATGAGTAGAAGCCTGGAGGGGCCGAATGGTGGAGCAAGTTTTAGCTTGGTTAAATTATTTTAACCCTTTTCATAGTCTCCTGAAAAGGTAGAATGCAGAATCTGGTATATAGTACAAAAAGAGCTGAGCTCTCAATTAATCAGCATCTCAGTTTTGTTGGATTCATTGTGCGGGTACTGGGCAGTGTTGCTAGCATGTGATATACAGGAGGTCAGACTAGATGATCTGGTAGTTCCTTCTGGCTTTAAACTCTATGTCTTTATGTAAAATAATGCCTGATTCATAGCCCGTTGAAGTTGATTGGAGTGTATCAGTGGACTTCAGTGGTTCTTTGAGTAAGGTCCTTCATAGAATCAGAGAATATCAGGGTTGGAAGGGACCTCAGGAGGTCATCTAGTCCAACCCCCTGCTCAAAGCAGGACCAATCCCCAACTAAATCATCCCAGCCAGGGCTTTGTCAAGCCTGACCTTAAAAATCTCAAAGGAAGGAGATTCCACCACCTCCCTACGTAATCCATTCCAGTGCTTCACCACCATCCTAGTGAAAAAGATTTTCCTAATATCCAACCTAAACCTTCCCCACGGCAACTTGAGACCATTACTCCTTGTTCTGTCATCTGCTACCACTGAGAACAGCCTAGATCCACCCTCTTTCAGGTAGTTGAAAGCAGCTATCAAATCCCCCTTCATTCTTCTCTTCTGCAGACTAAATAATCCCAGTTCTCTCAGCCTCTCCTCATAAACCATGTGCTCCAGCCCGCTAATCATTTTTGTTGCCCTCCGCTGGACTCCTTCCAATTTTTCTACATCCTTCTTGTAGTGTGGGGCCCAAAACTGGACATAGTACTCCAGATGAGGCCTCACCAATGCCGAATAGAGGGGAATGATCACGTCGGTCGATCTGCTGGTAGTGCTCCTACTTATACAGCCCCAAATGCCGTTAGCCTTCTTGGCAACCAGGGACACTGTTGACTCATATCCAGCTTCTCGTCCACTGGATATGAGTCAAATGGCTGATATACCATACAAGGCCCGGTACAGGGGACAAAAATAGCTCTGCGATTAGCCAGCATTCACCATTAGGCCAGAAGTTTATGGGTTTAAATTTCTGAGTAAAACTTTGGCATGAAGACATTAAAAATTAAGCTCCTTTCTGTTGGTTTCTGGTGTCTGAGAGTTAAAGTTCTCCAGGGCATTTTTAAGAGAGTAGATGTCCTGGTCAATCAAATTTGTTCTGATAGCCCAGGCTATGTGTGCATTACTGAATACAAAATGGCTGTCATGTGTTGGGTGGCCAGGTGTCTGGTTTTCGACCAGAAAGTCGGGTTGAAAAGGGGACCTGACAGCAGGAGCAGCAGAAGCTCCCTAAAAGTGT